ATTTGAAGACTGCTTAAATTTGTATACTTTGTAAATTTGTATTTGCTTAAATTTGTATAGATATGCAGACGACCAGTCCTGTTGCACTGCATCCGGTCCACTTCCTGTTATTCTTTTCTTTTTGTTTCGTTCCTTGATGTCATTCAATAATTGCAGCTTTTCCGTGTCTAATTATAAACGGGAATCGATCCTGCATTGCATTCGGGCCCGTTGTTGCAGTACTGTACCGCGCCGTTCTGCATTGTCAGTTTGGGTGCATAGAAGAAACGCATTTCATTGAACAACCGGCCGGCTGTAGTATTTACCGGCAGCAACCGATTATGCTCATCACAAGGAAAGGTCGGGCTACCGAAACCCGGAATCATGTTGCAAAAGACCCCACCGCAGCCGCGCATGACGAACGGTAAGGAGCCAGCTTCCACCTATATCAGCGATACAGTACAAATTGACAGCCTAAAATGATTCAAACGGTTTCACGGATTATGAGCGAATATTGCAAAAAATTAAATAGCTGATTGATGCAGAAGTCGCAGCTGTTTTTGTAAAAACTGAGCGCACTTGATCCGTTGAGCGATTTGCAAAATAAACGTTCTGAATACGTTTATTGATGGAATTAAGCAAATTTTTCTTTGAGTGTGTGAAACAGGAGTTTGAAGAGGTAGAACAGCATTAGCATATCACCGTTCAAAAGATGTTCCTTCGTCCAGCTTTACGCTTAGTCGTACCTTGACGTATGTAAAGCAGTATCCCGCGTTACACGCTACCCGTTGCGCTCGGGGATCGACGGAACCTTGTAGGCCACATTCTTCCGCAACCAAACTCAAACACTTGGATGCAGCTGGTTACAGACGGCACGCTGTCCGCTGAAACGTGAGATACCGATCGTTCGGAATTTTATTGCAAAGCGTACTTATGTGCGTTATTGCGTAAGATAGCGCCGCAACGAGCTTAGCGGAAACAGGGAACGTGAGGAGTCGCGTCTTATATATTGCGCCTTCTAGTTTCAGCAGAAATTTTTACCATCTACCTGAAATGTCACTGGCAACTGCTGCTACCGCTGCCGTTTCGTTATTCGCCGGCTGATTGGTCGATGGCACTCTTGTAGCATTTCCGATGCTCTTTGATCCGGAAGCCGGTGCCGGCAAAGCCATCGGGAGCATGGGCGCGTGCGACGCCGGCGTCGCCGTGCCCATAGTAAGTTCATCCAGTTGAGCCATTTTATTGGTGAACAGTACAACACCAGTAAAAATTTCTTCTGTCGCTGGTAGCTGCCCATGACCGGGCTCTCCTTCTCTTCACATTCGTACCTTGACCAGTGCCGCCCTAAAATATAACATTTTAAAAATATCATTGAAAAGGAACAAGGAGTAATCTGCGAAGTGCAAACGAGATCAAACAGAGTCGGCTTCTAATAACTGACAGTGACCACTGCTATTACATACATAATTTGCCTAGCTGAGCACCCAGTGGTTGTTATGTGATCAGGAGTTCCCCAGGTAACCTGCGATCTCGAGAAGGGGCAGTGATAAATTAATAAAACTATGTAATCGGTGAAAAAGGCCGTTCCGAAAGAAGAGCAAATTAGGGTAAGCTAGAAAACTGAAGATATTATGTGTTTGCGCCTTTGAGAGCAACCTACCAAATCTTACGCCGCAGAGCTACCCTTCTTGAAAAATAAAATCTTGCGCCCGGAGCCCGCCCGGTGTGTCTGGGTGCAAACAAATTTAAAACTCTTTTATCGATTTGCTTCTGGCGTTACGGTAAAAGTTTTTTTTCGCACGCTGCCGTAACGCAACACATGGCGCGAGACGGAGCGCCCCTCCTCTCCAGAAGCCCAAAGACCAGAGTCTGGTCATGTTAATTATTGTTAACAGAATAATGTTAATTATTCTGCAGTGTCCATGTCTTTCGTAGCCCGTTTCTTTCTTGCATACACTTTTGCTCTTCTTTTCGGAACGGGCTTGCATAAGTACCGCCTCACCATCACGAGAGTGTAGCAGATGCCCTCGGGACAGATGGCGCCGGTACCCTTGTCCAGATTGGATGGCGTCCAGCCTTTGTACTAACCACAGGAAGTTCCGGCTGTGCCGGGTTGCTCCATCGTTCCGTTGCAGTTGTAACATGCAATGACTGCAGCCCACAGTCCTAGTCGTGTTCAACGTTCTGATAAAAACATCCAAGTATTTTACTGTATATCCATGTGCTGATGAGCAATTTAATTAAAGAGTGAATTTGCGGGATACGTTGTATAAATCGAATATAATTGACACAAGTGGCTTAATTCATGGTTGCCCTGTCCATTCGATCATGTCGGTACTGCAGTGTGATTGGTGAAAAAAAATTAATAAGCAATAGGAATTTGCTGTAGGCACCCCCTATAGGTACCTACAGGCACCCTTAAGTGGTATCGGGTGCATTATCATTTAAGTGATTCACCATACCACTTAAATGATTCTCGATATCATTGAAGGGATATCGAGAAGAAACGCATCAAATATTTGGTGACAGAAGGTCCGATTGCCTGGGAAAGGCACACCAAAGGCCTCTACAAGAAAACTGAATACCAATGCGTCCGAAAGAAAACGAAAAAAGAGGTGCAGGCATTACTTAATTCAAAGGCGATGCCTCTAGAAAACGAAGCGGAAAGGGGTGCATTTAGCCTCACCCTAAATAAGTGTAAAATGCCTTTTCAGATAATTATACCAGGAAGATGGCGTTCCTACTTACGTGATTATATAAGTGCAGAAAATTAAAGTATTGCGCTTGGCAACATAATAATGGTAATTCATACACCTAAGATTATTCGTGTCTATGTGGAGACACAATTTCAATGAAGCAACGAGATTTTTTGAGACATTTAATGAATAAATTTGTCATCAGAATTTCCTTTTATCGCAGTGCACATGCCTCACAAACTTTAATATAGCCATTGCATCATCTGGTCGTTGATGATTCTGACAGGGCGAACTGTCTTTAGTTTTGAATGTTATTTTCTTTAATTTTCTAATTAGTTTGAGTTAAGCAATTAGTGCAGACAAACCTGAACCCGCGGCACCATACAAAAGTAATGCAGTCCACAACCATGCCATTGCAAAAATAAGTATACTTAAAAGTTCAGAATTTAAATTGTACATACTGGGAATGCAGTTTAGGCAGCTACGATGAAACAACCGTAAGATACCAACGTTTACGAAATATGCAGTCGATTGCATAATAATTATTACTTTTAACGGCGCTGCGCTGCCCCTAATGGCTTTGTAAAGCGAGAACATAATGTTCCTCTAATGCAACAGCCGCTTGCAACTGTCGTATAAATTTCTGGGTAGTCGTCTTTCAGGTTTTTTTTTAGTATGCCAATATGGTGTTAGCAAAGCTGCTGTTAATTTAATAGATAACTGTTTGACTGGATTGCGACTGCTTCCGGCACGTCAAAGACACGCAAGTGGCATTTTACAGTAGCAAGTGTTTACTGTAGCAAGTCTTTCTGTGAAACGGACGCGCTTGCTGTGATTCAAGATGATAAACCGCAAGATAACAAGCTGTTGTGATTCTTTCTCGCAGTTATTCGATACCGCACCATCTACGAGTATCATCGAATATCCCTCAAAACATGGGGCATTGCCAATAATACTGCGATAATTTATGAGCCTCTTCCAAGTAACCCTGAACACATACTCGTACCGTTAACTAATCATCACTCCACTGAGATTTCCGTGGGTCGCTCAGTAGTGCGTTTGTAATTTTGCAGCATGCATTGCGGAACGGTGCTCTGATGGCGCAGATCGATTTCATCGGGTAATTCGATATTACAAGACCTCCTTGTCCATAGTTACTTAGCGATCTCCCAGTTCTCACTTGGTGAGCATTCCGGGGAAACTCGCTAACACAATGTCTAAGTTGAATTGATTGAGATTGGAGTGCTTTGCACAGGAGTGGTATGCCGGTGGTTGTCAAGTATCTGCTTCTAACACCGCCTGCAATGCGACCTCAACGCCCTCTCACACCGCCATCATCACCCCCAAATTGACCACCAGTTTGTCACAAACGATCTCAGAACAAGGCAACAAAACCGGCCAAGTCGAAGGGCCAGCCAAATAAGCTGACTGATTACCGCCTCTTCATCGCTTGATCATCCCGCTTCGTTCACTGCTACTCCGGTCCGCTGGGAATCTCATTTGAATCAAAATGCACGGATCAACGTTTCGAATACCACAACACCCAGTCCATTTGGTAGTCTCTGTCATGAACACCCAGTTAAACCTGATAACCAGCAAATCTTAACCTTGTCTTGGCACCAGGCACGCACTTCCCGCCAAGTTGTAAACAAAAAACCAAAGCACAGTCCATCTTGACTGTTAGTTCGTTTTTAATTTTCTTCGTGGATAAACCTTAATGTGAAGCACCGTTATGTTGTTTCTAATTGACTTGGTTATTGTATCACGATTATTTGGTAGAAAAGCACCACGACTATTTTACAATTATTCGCGCCTGATTTTGCGGCACATAATTGTGTACAATGCAACAATCTGTTGCAAGTAACACATAATTCAGAATAAGTACTTTTCAACACTATGGAATCTTTTAAGAAAAAGCGCACCACTAAAGGAAACCTGTTCAAAGAACAAGGCACGAACACAACAGAATTCACTATAACACTTCTGTGCCTGGTTACTGATTCGTTCTAAAAAAATCCCCGGATACCATTTCCAGCGATATTTTTCACCCATATCTAAATCTAGAAATACTGAAAAAGGTACTTTCCAGGGAATCGCTTGTAGACCATAAGAGCCTTTGAGGCGAAGCAAAGATGACCTGTACGTAGCAAAGATGTGCAGTAATTAAAAAAATGGCTAAAAACCGATTTGCCGCGGTAAGCGAACACCCTGAACAGCTATCAAAATTATTTTAGCTGATAGATCACCTGATCAAGTACTGCATGATCCTGTAGTGTTATGGGATAAGTACTGAATACACACAAAGTCGAATCATTTGCAGTGAAAGTTTTGTTTCAAATGTTACCAACTTGACGCTCTTGCACAACAATGCTTGCGCAAAACATAAAATAGTTTGTAATGTTTCCGAGGTTTATTTACGAAAGGTCACGCTTGCATCCACTTATTGACATAGGGTCTCCGGCTTAGCTATCAGGACAGCCGACGCGACTCTTGACAAATTCCGCTTCACCCAGCACACCATCGCCATTTGTATCCATCATGCGGAACAGCTGCTTAACTCGACTTCCTGCCGCTGCAGGATTTTGTGCCGTTGCCACTTTTGGTGACTGCAGCTGGTCCATGACTTCTTGCACCGTCTGCAAAACGTTCTCCATCGTAATTCGCCCAAACGTTAATCGCAGAACATTACATGATATTTCTGCCAGCATGTAAATTTGTTTAAAGCAGGAACATACTGGTGAACGATCCGGATGCCGCTTCGCTAAGGGAAAATTGCGAACCGACTGATAATTGCATTCATTTCCGGTTTTGCAGTACTGCACGGTCCCGGCCTGCATATGTCCAGTGGATCGATGCCGAGACGAGAAAGACCGAATGTGGTCAAAGGGGTCTCCCTGGTCGGGATCAAGTGGCGCAAGTTTGTCACTATCATCACAGACGCCGATTGAGTCCGCTGCGCCGGGAATATTTTTGCAGGACACTGGTCCACAACCACGCCATACTTTTGGAACGCTTCTATCGTTTTCCGTCTAAAACATTTAACGACAATGAGCTCCATAAAGAGAATTCAGAGATAACTATGCCACTGGCTGACCAATAATGAACGAGCTGACCAATAATAACAAAGATAGGTTTGATTTTCTAGAAGCATTTCCGGTTAATTAAAGATTTAGGCGTCTGCCAAACGCGCAATTTATCCATGTTGCGTTAACAAATGTTGAATGCCTTTGGGTGATCCAGTCGAATTCAGGAGGACGTCCGAACGAAAACACATTTCGTCAGACACTTTGCTGCTAATTTAGCCAAACAGTTCCAAGAAACCGTCCACCTGATTTTTTCGCCGAAAATGCCCGCTTTGAGTTGGCAAGATTTACGCCGAGTTTTTATTGACGAGTGGCCGGTTTAACGGCAAAAGCGTCCGAACAGTATATCCAGTTACAAAGGGCTCACCAGCGCCAACCTAAAGTGCTTTCCAAATTTTTACGGCTTATGGGTTGGACTTGCTGCTTTACAATCGCCGAACGGTTTTGCTGGCCTAACAACCAACCGTCTGGTAAACGCTTCATTCGTTCAGACGTCCTCCAGATTTGACTGGATTATCTGGAGTCGTTTCACGTTTGTTATTGCGCAGTTTGGCGTTCGCTTAAATCCGCTTAAATTGAATTAAAAGAAAAACGGGTCTGGATGTAACGTTTGTCGTTTACATACAAAAACATAGGTGTGACAATATTTCGATGCGCACGCATTGTCATCGGATCGGGCCCTGTCGTCAGTGGGTACCAGAATGCCGCATGAACCATTAACAGCACCTCAGCAATTGACGCAGAAGTGGGGCGTATATTCCTCAGTGGCTACTGCAATTTACATTAAACTTTAAAGTGATGTAATTCGTGAGACGAACTTTGCCGTAACTGACCATCTGCATCTGTTCGTACTATCTGTATGCCGAAAAAAGAAACACGTACGCTCGGCATTCACCGCGAAATGTGTGGCGGCTCTGTTGCAGCGGTCGGTGTCGCAGTACTGCAGGCGGCCAGTCCCATTCAGAACCTGACTGACCAAGGTATACAGCTGATTAAACGGCGGCCCAGAGGGGACTGGCACGCTTTTGTCATTCCAGAACCCTTCCCAGCGGTCGTCCGCGTCACATAGCACTGAAACATTGCCTCTATATGTCAGCAAGGAGCAAGGTTTTCGACCACAACCCCGTTTCACTCTAAGTTCTAAAAGGAATAGCGAGACATTTGAAGCCGTGACGTCAATTGCCGAGGGTTCTGTTGTGTGTTCCATAATATACCCACCCACCTTTGCGCACAAATATTTGGCTCTGCAAATACAAAAGTTTTTACGGGAGTTCCTTATCGCTAGTTGTCGGTGATTGCAGTATTCCTCTAAAACTACTTACATATTCGTTTGTATAGCAGAATCCATCCGGACAGGGCTTCGCAGTGCTTTCCAGATCGGACACATTCCAACCAGCACCCAATCCACATGCCATGCCGGCATGATTGTCACAATGGTAACAAGAGATGGTCGCTGCGCTCGATGCTGAATTTAGATAGAGCACCGTTTAAACAATGATTTGTTAGGTTGATTAATTCAGAAGTTTCTTTTTCCTTCAAGCAGTTGTATTTTAACATGGAATCCATTGCGAGAAATTATATTTGTCGCGGTGCAGTAGGCATCCTTTAGCACGCACCCGTTTTTAGGCTTCAAGACCGTACAGATGGATAAACCTTTTCGGCGATATACTGGTTTGTAAAATACCAACTTTTATAGCTACTTCGAAAATCTTTTGTGCACATTGGTTCTGTCTGTTTTCGGAGTGTATGGGTATGGGTTCATTAGAAAGCTCATAAATCGCGCTTTTTAATAGACAGAGTTTCAAAATCAACACTAATAGCATAATCGCCTTAGAAATTTTTCTGTTGTGTAAGCCCTAGAAAAATCTTAGCCAAGAACCAGATGGAACATCTTCAGGTCTGATGTTTTCAAATGGAACTAAAATTATTTTACACGCTGGGCTTATTCGAAAAAAATCTTGAATGAAAAGCTAGGAGGATACACATTTTTGAACATGGAACTAATTCTTCTTATCGAGAAAACCACTGAGCGTTGGAGTTCGAATGTCTGTATTAGAGCGCTAAATGCTTGCTTCACGCTCGCTCGCGGTAGTTTAACTTTCGCAAAATTTTTCTCAGCTCGCTCGTGCTAGCTCGTTTGCTCGCTCGCTCGGCTCGTTTCGGCATGTCTCACTGCTCAGATCGCTCGGCTCGTAAACCGAATCAGTTTTTCTGCTCATTTAACTCGGAAGCAAACTAATAAAAAATTATTGCATTTTTAATTTTTAAATTTTCATTCAGATAAAGTAGTCTTTACCAACGCAGGTATTTTTGTCATGTGGACATAGCAAGTATTGTCAGTTTTCATATCCTGAATGTATCCCATTTTATCGGTTTCGATAACTGAGATGCTCTACAGTCGCAACTCTGACTGGCAGACGCAAGGGTATTATTAATTTATACGGAAACAAACCCAGATCGGTGCATACCAACGGACAACAGCGTATCGAGATGGGGCAAAACTAATGGGTACTTTTTGCAGAGATTGTTCAAGGCCACGATTTTCGGTTAGGTATACATTGATCGATGCTGCAGAGTGACTAGTAGCGTCACCAAGTATGTGGCAGATTTTGCCGAGTAGTGCAGTTTTTCAAGGGCCGTAACAAAAGTACTGCTCAGCTCGCTCGCCCTCCCAGAGCGCCGCTCGCTCGGCTCACTCGTTGGTCAATAACCAACAACTCGGCTCGGCTCGTGAAAAAACTGACAATACAGACAGTGGTTCGCTCATTCGGCTCGTGAGCGGCGAGCGCTCGCGCAGGGCTCTAGTCTATATCGCAAAACCAAGAAAATCCAGTGTGTAGAATAATGTTTTCTTTCCAATGGTACCAAAAACGGCCAATTCCATTGCGGCAGTGGAATGCAATACGCGTAAAACTGTCCGAACTTTATTTCCAGTAAATCAGGGTTTTCGTGTTTTGGGAAATGGAATGGTCCGCTGCATCGGTGGACCAGTTTGAGCAGACAACCACGCTACCTGCAGGCTGCGTAAGGCGTTCATGAAATCGCCGCCTGCGCACGGCTGCAGCGGTACGCAGACACGCAGCCCGCGTGCGGTTGGGTATACTTCGATTGAAACTGTGATGGCAGCTACGTGAATCGAACCGTGCTGCTGCACCCCTGCGTCATTTTGGACCCGCGGTACCTTTTCGTTTTAGACAGATTTGGGTTTTTGTTCTGTTCTTTGCTTCTCAAAAGATCTCTCATTTTAAAGAGAATTTTTTTCTGTTCTAGAAAATATACTCGTAGTTACTGTAACTTCTGTGGGGATGAAGCAAGACCAGTCTATCGCCTTAATAAAACACAGCCGTCGTAAATATTGCCTGAAGCACTTTTTTACAGCTGCTAGTGCATTCAACAGCTGACGGCTTTGTCGAACTGAAAACTAAAAGTTTTCAGTTTTAGTTTCCTTTTATACTAGAAATCTGGTACAAAACTGTAGCGATGTCTGCCATGCTTTACGCACGTGATGATACTTCGGCAAAAACATCAAATTATCAAAGCATTTAAAAAGTAACGAAACACGTAAGCTTTACATAATCGATAGCTTTGTGGTCATTATGTATGGTAGTTTAAGCAATGTGGTTGAACAGGTTAACGGAAGAGTTAGAAATATGTGATAGATTTGACGGCTACTTCTATACATACCTGTAGCGGTAAGTGTGCCCAAGGAGAAGACGATTGCAATACTCCATAACTGCTCCATTTCTATGACCCTAATGGGAAAAAACGGTTTCTGGAGTTGTGAAAAGGAAAAGAAAAAAGCTTTAAAAGCCGTCTGTCGCATCATGTACTACTCCAGTGTATTGTATGTATGCTGTGCAGCAGGCAACTTTGGAAAATGCGGCCTTGTGTTCACTGTCAACGTTTCAAAATGCTAGATTCTGATGTACTGAGTGATAGCATCGCAAACGCGATCGACTGATAAAGGCAATAAACAAACGTCGTCCACTTTGTGGTTGCATACTGCATGACTTATAAAAGCCTAACTTATAAAAGCCTAACTGACTAAAAAGAGCTAAGCTCTTTTCATAATTTTCACAGCGCTGTACATAGACCATCCTCACTGGACAGATAGAAGCGCCACGAAAAATGAATCAGCTTCTTCTCATAATTCGTCGGGTAGTTTTCTCCGCCAGCTTTCATAGGTATCGAAAACGTCATCAAATTTTTCATAGATCTTTCCAGTTTTTATTAATAATTTAAGTGTTCAGCAACGATGCGCAAACCACCGCGTATTTAAGTTATGATGGAAGCATTACTAATGCTAGCAGGTTACCCTACCATTAGTTATTCTTTCTGGTGTGCCTAGTGGGTGTAGTAAGTGTCTCAAAATTTGTTTGCTGTACAGTAATGCAGTATTACGGCACCTGAATGATCGATAGCGATGACTAAAGTGTGACAGCAAAGACAACGGTTTATTCGTTCCTTTCCTTTCAGCAACCAACGCAGCAACTGTTCCGTGCTACCACTGTAAAAACCACGCCGGTATGGCCTTGTGGACAAACGACCGGCTGGAAGGTTTCCGATCTGGAGAACAGTGCAAAACACTGCCCGGACGGATTCTGCTACACCTATGAAGACGTAAGTTCCGTTCTCACATTGCCTAACGGCCTACTCCAGTACAAATATACCATCACCGACCAAGAGCCGACCAAGAGCTGTCGTAAGTCGTTTTGTTGCAGAGTGGAACATATGTGCAAAAAAGTGCGTGGCCTTATTTCTGTATTCCTTATAAAACAGAATATGGAGTAATTTTCTCGAAATTTGGAATCTGACCTTTTGTCCGTAACGCGCTTGTTATTCCCGGTAGAATTCCGAGTGAAACGGGGTTGTGGTCAGTTTCCCTGCAACGATTATTAAGGAAATTTAAATGCTTCGGCACTATGTGACGTCGGCAGCGACGGCTTCTGGGCAGACAAGGAAATCCCTCTCCCGTTGGAACCGCCATTCAAGTGGCTGTACTCCTCATTGTCGGGGTGGTAGTCCTGAATCGGACCGGTCGCCTGCAATACTGCGATTCCGACCGCAGTAACAAGGCCGCCACGCATTTTGCGGTGGATGCTGAACATAAGACGGACGGCGGACATCTTATTGCTCCATTTTTATCAGGACAATGTTTTAGCTGCAAAATAAATAATAATCTTTTCGGCGGATTGCAGTATCCCCTGAAGCAGGTGCACCCTTATGCTGCGCCAACTGCAGCGGTCCGGTAAATGGATTTCCTGAAACCATTTCCCGTTTTTAACTGAAACGTTCACCAGATGTCTTGCGTCGAAATGTCGCAAAGGTTAAATGTCTCAAAGCAGTATGTCCCAAATCAAATGTCCCAGCGACTAGATGTCCCGCGGCGAGAAGTCGTGCGTCGAATTTGGGTGCGGCGAAATGTCACACTCCCCACATGTCCGGGTGCGACGTTACGTGCGCAAATTGTACAGCAAAAACTACAATGCGTCTTTCTAATTTTAAATCCGTTGCGTGCTATTGCTCGTAAGTCAAGAAACAGCAACCGAGACACCTATTTCTTCTGCTAGTGAGCTGTGTTTAAGAACTTTTATTTTCTTATGTTTCCTCATGTTGGTTATAGATGTGAAATCAGGTTAGGCGAATTCCAACGGGATGCCACAAGCCCATCGCTGATGCGGCAACGCAGATTGCAAGTACTTTAGCGGAAAATATCATGCTGATAATTGCGATGAAAGTGGCCAATGAAGACCTGGAAATGCCACTGATAAAGAACCGTTCAATGTCACTCGCGCGTTCTACGGTGTTATGAACGGCAAGAGAACAAGCATCACGGTTCAGTACTGTCGCAACGGTAATGGCTGTAACCAGGGGCCAATTGGCGATCTCCATTTCAAAGACCAGCTTTCAGGCGACCACGAACTAGTACGAGAAATCGGGCAAAGAATGCATGAGTGATTTTGTTCGCTAAAGTTATATTAATTTTTAATGTGGCGTCCTTTACAGACTATGCAACAGCTGCTACATGTATTTAACACAACGAGAAATATGGCGAGATTCCGGCTGTCACAGGCGCAGGCCTCCGCCAAGGATATGTTCGAAAGGATGGACAACAATGGCGATGGTCTGCTGAACCAACAGGAGTATCTGAATTGCAAATACAATCCAGAATTGATAGAACGCGAGGATGTAATCCACGTGTGCTGAAGGTTCCTTGGACCGTGGATAAACGGTAAAAGGTCAGGGTCGCCAATTACTGAAGTGCTCTACCGTCATGACAAACGTTTGCGGTTCGTCGATTTATGGGTCGCGAACGCAAACGCGAATCCTGTACAGATAGCATATCGCTGTCCTTTCTAATATTTCCTATAACACTTTTTTGTACAGCGACTGACGACACAACAAACTGAGTAGCATAACCAATTCAGTTCGCAATAGCCTGACGGTGTCTAATTATTGTGCTTTTAAGCATATGAATGTGCATTACACTGCCGAGACTATATGTTATTGCTTCATTTTGGTTTACAATAAATCGCAAATTCTCTTTGCGGCATTTGGTAACATTGGCGCAGAACGGTTTACAAAAACCGTTTATAATACACTAAGTCTGCAACTTATTCCGCTGGACGCAAATGCTTTACTGGTTTACTCCTTTAACTAGTAGACCCCGCGCAAATTGCGCGGAATAAGTTAGCGGCTGATGACTGCAAAAGCAAAACCTCTGGAAATTGACAATATTTATTTTCGTTGATAATGCCATGATCGTAATAAATACTTCCTTAACAGCAGTCACTGTTGACGAACAGCCAGTGCATCAAAGCGCTCGCGCGGTGGCACCGTTAAAAACATTTGAAAATAAATTCTTGACGTTGCCACTCCGTTCACTATTTTAATTGCTATTATTGTAAAACGGAAGCTACGAACCCCTACACAGAATGTCTCGCTTGTTGTTCCGCGAACTCCGCTCGTGTCGCGGTCCGGCGTCACCTGCCTGTGAAACTGTAAACTTTGGACAGACAACTTTACGTTTGAAACGCGAACGCTGTATAGCTCGCAAGAAGTTTCCATTCTTCCAAAAATTGAACATAACAAAAACAGTTTTTCTGCTGTTCCAGTTTTTGCTTGTACTCGTAACAATTTCCCCAGAGTCACTGTACATTATGTCATGAAACTGTTGCAGTAATTACACAAATTTCAGTAACGGGAATAGCTGTCAGATTACTGCGTGTAGTTTTTAACAGTACTTGTACTAACAAAGAATACAAAGATTTATAGGACTGACAACTGGGCACACTTTAAAGTTTAAACGTGTGCCTTTAACTTGTAGATGACTTTTACCTTCAAAAATTTAAACCCAAATTAATTCGAACTCGACTACAAACACAATTGCAACCGTACTTTTGTTACCGTTGTAAACCCGTTTCCCCGCCGTTGTAAACTCGGCAGGCTGCAGAGGCCCAAAAACCTGCGCGAGGCGGCAGCTACTTACTTAAGTGCGCTAATTTAACTGGTTTTTGACGTCCCGTAGACTTTCCATGTTAGAGTTTTGAATTTTTTCTCAAAACGTATTCCGTTTTTCTGAAATCTGACTGTTTTGTACAAATCTACACAATCAAGGCTATCGAACGGTACCTTGACATCTAAGATTGGTTGAACGTACCTATGAGTTAGACCCTGACAGACACAAATTTTGTGTACATTCTTATTCTTTTATTATAAAGGATTTACGGACAAGATCCGCGAGAATTGCAGCTCTTTCCGCTTAACTGCCATCATTGGGTTCGCGCTGTATAGATGGCTAATTCCATTTCCGTTAAACATACATTACTCGGCGTTCTTCTGAAATCAGTAAATATTACGCAAGTCGCAGAACGCTGCTAATAGCATCAAAGCATGCATTTGCTGGAAAGCAATATTGCCAATGTACTCATGCCTACAAGCACAGCGGAGATCGCAGTATAAACCATGAAGTATGAACGTGCGAAAATTTTCAAAGATGTGTGAATCAGCGCATCCTGCTGAAAGTTGAAATATGTAGTTCGTGTTTTCAGAAAGCCACTATCTGATGCGTTGTCTGGAAGGCCTAAACGCTCAAAAAATACATTTGGCAAGCGTAATTTTACCCTTCATCTTGCCTTCGTTTATCCAGAAATTTTCCCAGTCCGACAACCGATCTCATTAGTAGGCCGTTCGTGCTGTATACAGTCGTAAGCAATCCGCCGAAACCCACAGCCACTATAATCGCCTGCTGGACAACCAAGTCCAGCCCCAACGGATGCTGGCGTTCGGTCGGGCGATGAATAAAAACCTTGACTGTGGCGTATGAAGACTTACTTACCGGAGGCGCCAAGCGAGAGCTAGCTCCTCTTCCTCCGCTACGATGTCAGTGAAACGGCAACGGTTCCGGTCAACCTAGCCGACATATGTAGCGAAGCCCACAACATATTGAGCCGAGACCAACGCATAACATGTTGTGGGTTGTTTTCGAATCGGATGGAGAACTGTAGACGGCATCTCTGGAGAACTGTAGACGGCATCTATGATAACAGACTTGTAAGCGTTAAACCGAGTTACTTCTTCTTAAACGTTTGAAGGAATACTACAGTACTACACTAAACTCTACAGTATCATGAAGTATGTGCTACACTCTAAAGTCTAAACTCTACAGTATCATGAAGTAGTATTATGAATAGTTTCTGCAAAACCATTGTTCGGTGACTAACGTCTAACTGCAGTTCGGTGATTGACATTTGACACTGGTTGCGAAGGAGTAAATCTGAGCTCATACAGTCAACAGTGCGCACCAGGCTAGACCAAACAGAAGCGTGCGTAATCCGAATACGAGACCACCTCCGAAGAGAGTAAACGTAAGGCAAGCATAATATTCGATTTCCGTAACGCCAAATCAGAATAAACGCATAGTAGTACCGTAGTACATATCATTTACAAAAAAAGCTACCATGAAACAGCACCGTCGCTGTATCTGTATCTTATAATAGTAACCAGAAACAAATTAGTCAGTCGTCAGTCGTGGTCTGGTCAGTCGTCCACAGAACGCGATTGCTTGTTAATCGTCTTCGGAGCTGTCGCTGGATTCTTCATCCGCAGAAGGGCCTTCCCACTTCCAGATGTAGCGCCACAACGTGTGCAAGCAAAATTTATTCATCTTGCTAAGGTCCGCTGCCGCCACATTATATAATGTCCACTTATGTCCCCGATAATGCGCGGACGGTCGCGGATCACAGGCTTGAAAATTCTCCAGAATCTGTAAATTATTCGTATCTGCAATTAAGTCCCGACGTTTGAGCTTGCACGTGCGCATTGCACGCCCTGTTGTCTGAAAGTGTATGAGTGCTTGCTAAAATTGATAGGGACGGAAGAGAGAAAATTATCTTCATTCGAATCGAATCGTTTTCCCTTTAATTTCAAATTGATATTAAAACTAAAGACACAGGTTTGTAGAGAATTCTTTTCTCTATTTAATGATTCTAATAAACTGTTGAGGAACCTATGGAAACGTTCAGAGCAAAGCGAAAAGCACGAAAGTTAAATGATATGCCTCATACAGTTTCGTAGCTAGGCAGGTGTTGATGGCCGGAGACCACATCAGCAATACCCGTGCGTGCGGGCCACATTGATAGACGTTTACCCAACCACCACTGATTGACTAGTTATGAAACTGTATGAGGAATACTAGCTGACTTTCCTGCTTTTCGCTCCAATCTGAAGGTTTCCATAGGTTTCTTAACAGTTCATTAGAATCTTAAAGTAGAGAATAAAATTCTCTACAAACCTGTATCTTTAGTTTTGGGATCAAGTGAAATTCAACGGAAAACGATTCGAATGAAGATAATTCTCTCTCTGTCGTCCCTATCAATTTTTAACAAGCACTCATACACTTTCGAAGGCAGTTACGTGCGCCATGGCCCATGGGCATATCGTTGCACGACTGCTCAAACGTCGGGACTTAATTCATCATGCCGTGAAGCAGGGAGCAAAATATTATGAACTGCGATAACAGATTAACTGCAACCCAAAAAAGAACGAACGGAAAATTGTCAACACATTGCTCTACACAAGTACACACCTTCTTCACTCCCTTGGCTCTGGCACGGGTATTCGTCAGATTGGCTAAGCGGCGTGCAATGTGCTGAGCATCGCTTAATATCCAACCGTCACACAAACACGTCCCTGCACACAAATGCTTCTCAAACACGTCCCAAATTTGCGCTTCGTCGATATTTGCCGGGGCAAAAACAGCGAATGGAATTCGGAATTTCATCAAGACCCCACTTCTGCGGTCTTCACACTGCAGCGTATAATCTTCCCAGAATAAACGATCGCAGCAGGACGCCAGTCGGGAAATTTGCGCGACCATTTCAGCAAAAAAAGCTTGCAAGTTAAATTGATCAAACTGGATCGTCAGTGACCGTTGGCGCTCCACCAAACGATCGACGCGAACTTCAGCGGTATCCAAAACTTGCTTAATCAGTTCTACGGCTTCGTAAGCTCTGGCAAAATCTTCGTGACCCATCCAGCCGTCCACTTCCCCAGGGCGAATGCAGACTGTACGCGTGGCTGGAGTGACGTATTTAAAGATACAGGCGTAGACCGCGTAGTCGCATTCCGAAGGCCAGTCCCATCCTCTAACACGGGAAAAACCACAGTCCTCGCGTGAAACCAGAACATCTTTTGACATCTCTGCCGAAGAGAGAATGGCTTCCCACAACTGACTGGTGCGTCGGCAGCGCTGTCGATCGACGGTATCAAGTGAATGGAAGACCTCTCTCAGCACGTTCAATGACAGCGCCAAACTAAAACGCTCGCTGCACTGCATGCCGTTTAACATCTCCTTTACATCAACGGAAGTTTTAGTCCCGCGCCATTTACGGAATCGACGCCTCTGGCGTCTTACTCTCTTAAACTCTTGCGCCTATATCAACAGAAACGAATTTCTTTATAGCTGATAGCGTCGGGAAGCTGTTTTTGGGATTTTTGACTTTTCGCAGATGGTAAAAGACAGTAAAGGTACTGTAACTGCATTTAATTACTGCGGTAAGAGTATTAAAGTCAGAGCAACTTACCACATCTTCGTCCGTCACATGCGGCTTCTGAGTTCGCCGAACGCTGTGCATCGACTGGCTGAGAATATTAAAGAATCGCACACCGAAGCTATTCTCCACTTGGCCGAGCAAAGACGCCCCCTCAGCCGGCTTCCGAGTCCATTCAGTCCAGTAGCCGTCTGGCACCCTGCACGTCTGCATCACGAATTCACCAGGTTGTACCATCCTCTGCCGAAGATCTTCCTCTGAGGACGGCAAGCGGACCTGCTCCCGAAAAACCAATTCAGCAGAGCGATATCCGGCTCTCGCTACCTCTACCATAATGAAATCCTGCAAGTTTTGGTTCGCAAACATGCGAACGAGGACTTTTCCGGGATACCATTTCCGGGGACGATTTGGATGGTCACGCAACAGCACCTCCACGTTTTCTCCTTCGCGAACTCTGTACACAGTGTACCGTGGATAAGTAGAGCAGTCAAAGGCCTTCCCGTGATCCACTAGCACCGACTGCTGCCCAGGACATCCAAAATCGACAATCAAACGCGGAGGCATCCTTGGGTCTTTGTGCAGGCCGACGACGAAGCCGTGCTGCAGCACGCCATCAACCTTTACATCCACCGCATTCCACTGGTACATCTCCCAGTACAACTGCATTGCGATTTCTATCGTTGCTATACGTCGTTAATAAGACACAGACAACGGAGATAAGACGTAGCACAACGTTTTAATTGATGAAAATACAGAAGGGACTGGTATTATCGAGGCTAAAATCACGTACCCTGAAGAACCGTCGCACTGACAAATTTCACGCGCTGGCATGCGGCAAGGCGCGCGTGCTTATCAGATCAGTGAACGCAGTAGCCAATAAATACGCGTTAACCTCTCACGTAGCTGCTGCTGCGTGTGCGCAATGCCCGTTGCTTGACAAGTGTACTGACCGCGAACAGCTGCTTTATACGGTAGAAGTAGAACTGTCCCAGAATAAACCTGACAGAAATAACTGGAAAAGGCATCTCGGTTATGTGCCACCTTCTAAGTGATGAATATTACAATCCGGGCGCTTCGGTTTTAAACGGCGTAGAATCCGAGTTTTTCGGAAGGTTACAAATTTTGTAACCGTTCAAAACGCTCAGACGTCCGAACGTTTTAGATCTTTACGATGCTCATTCGCAGGCTGAGACTTCACCGAGTGTGGTCCGTTACGGTGAGCAGCCTAACCAAATTTGAGGTCAAACTTTGAGCAAAACCTGCGCTTGGTTTATTGCAGAGAATCGTTATGAAACTGCTGGAAAAATATTTGGTCACCAAGCTGTTCAATGTCTTATCATAATATTACTAAGCCCCTCATAATATTACTAATAATATAAATTTCCCCTTCTTCTGCTCATGGAAGAACGTGAAAAGCGAGAAACAGAAAGCTAGTGATAGGAGTGAACGGTTTCAATGGTACACAAAATAGTGCGTACGAAATGAAGAGTACGGAGTGAAAATTAATGCAGAAGTTTGTGTACCGAGTGAAAGGTCGTGAAATGAGTGGTCAACAAAAATTTTGGTTTAATGTGAGAATTACCTCAAGTCGTAACGGCCCAGACTTTACATCCGGTACAAAGTGCTTCAACGTTTCCTTATCATGTTTACAGAAACATGAAATACGCAATTTTCATCCAGACAAAAAAACCTGCACTTTCAGTAAGAATCAAGTATTGATGATTATAAATACAGTATATATTGTTTCTCTAAGGAGCCCAAAACAAAAGCTGTACCGATGTGGTTACGCTGGCGCATCTGGTTCTGTAATACGTATTTACACTTACTTTACAACAGTAAAAGTAATTACATCCTAATACGTATTTGCTTCGCATCCGAAGCATTTTCGCTGTACGACTTAATACAAGAAAAGCACGCCACAAATAGTCTCCGTACTGGTTCCACACAGTAATAATAAAATTGCTATTATGGTTCTTGTCAATATATCTTTTAAAGCTGCGGTCTTCCGAATATCTATAGCATTCAAGAACATGAGAACACAGTAATGAATAGATCAGTAAAGCGTTTCAGCAAGCCCGGTAATAAAAGAATTTCAGCTGAATGTTTCTTTTTCAAGAATTATGCAGCAAATCACTTCTTCTCGGCAGTGAATCTGTCTTGCTAATATCATTGCGGGTGGTTATCCCAGGTGGGGAACAAATTATACGTTTGTATATCACATGTTGGATTTAGCAGTTAGTCAGCCAAATATTTGTCGGAATTTCCAAAAGACTCTGTTTTATACTACGTAATTGTAATGCTGCGTGCGATAGAACTACCGAAAGAAGAAGTCTGGAAACAGTTATGGACATGTTACCGTTGCAATCTCGATCGAAACATGCTATTGAAATATCAGACAAGCCACACGTTTAATTATGCCCACTTTCATCCGGGATTATCCCCACCATCTTATCCGGCTGGTATGGGCCTAATCTGTTGTGGACTTTACCACGCACTTCGGCCTGATTGAATTTCAGCGCCGCTGTTCCACTGATATCATAATGGATCAAGCGGACGGAAAGGTCGGAGCTGGACGCCGGTAAGTCTGGATATTTCTCGTCTTTGGTTACTTCGAGTTTGAGGTCCTTTATACTCCCACCCACTGCCTCTTTCCACAGAGGCGCGACGCTATCATTAAGCACTCGTTTGGTTTGACGCCGGGTTTCCGCCGCGACCACAACGACATCATGAATGACGAAGGGACCCGTGAGAGAATCGCCGTTCGGGCTATTAGCTTTATCGGAAGACCCTAGAAATAAACTAAAACCGGACTAAGCGCAGTGCTACTTGTACTGTCAAGAAACGGTCACGGTTCAGATGCCTCGTTCTATAAATAAATTTTCCGAAAAGCACACCGGAAGTTGCCTACCGCGGATGTAGATTTAGCTCGCAATTGGTTCTAGAAAATCTCAACTCGAATTGTATACTCTCTGCTCTGAAAACGTTTAGTTGTGGAACACCAGAAAATGGACTCAAGGTCATCAAAGCAGTTATGGCTGCGACATTGCGTTTACAAGGATCAGGAAAATATACAGGCAGCACAGGTATTCACTTTTTTGCATAGATGTACCCAAACGCTGATAAATATGCACAGGGTGTTTGTTCAACAGCTGAAAATTTTATTGAGCAGGTATGCGGTAATGTCGTCGAAGGCCGCTTTCATGGAAAACGTAGCCTTGCGCGCTTTTCACCGAGAGATTTTTGTAATCAAATTTTTGCGTTAAGATTGCTATAGGCAGCTTTAGCGACTTACCTTGCATAACCGCCGAAATCGAAATAATAATTACAGACAGAATCAGATATTCTGGCTGCATGTTGAAAAATGGGTAGGCAGACGTTGGAGAATTTACAAAATTAGGGAACGAAAAGCTGACTGTATATGTTTTGGAGGGCTCGCCTTTTTTCAGTGCAGCAAGTGATGTGCAGTAAGATCACTATTTTGTTAACCGTTCAACATATGCCGCTGCAGCTATCGCTAAATATTGTCTGGGCTTAGCTGGGGGCAGGAGCGCATAAATTTGATTTAATTACGCAGCATTCATGATGTTTAACAAGAATTCCGAGTCAATTACCTTGAAATGCAGGTAGTCACTAAATAAATTGCGAATTTTTTTTCTAAGTGCTTTTCCAACCGGGATGCTGCATTTTGGTGGTTCCAAGAAGCCTCCGTCGTATACAGCGTCGACGAGTGACACTTCGGCATTTTCACATTTATACTGCAAAAATTTTTGTTTATGGTGGTGTTTTTTTTTCAATTATGGTCATTAATCATTATGTTTCTGTTATGGTCATCTTCTTTTTTTCATGCAGTTATGTATTTATCAATTTATACAGTAGAATTTATTGAAACATTTGAAATAACAATTTAAAAATGATGAAGCAGGAATTTTAAAAGGAATGAAGGACTTCCAGAAGCTCCAAAAAATTCGAAAGCGGATCCCGGCAAATTTCATCAGTCTCTCCCTGTTTCCGCTAAGGCAATAAAAATTTGATCTATCGGTATCACTCGTTTTAGCGGCCAGCACGCCGTAGGTAATCAGCTGCATAATGCATCCCGTGTTTAAGCGAGGTTACGGAAGAATGTGGCCTACAATGTTCGGTCGATCCACGAACGCATTGGGTGACGTACAACGCGGGATGCTGCTTCACAACGTCAAGGTACAGGAAAACGTAAAACTAGATGAAGGAACATCTTTAGAGCAGAGGTATCACAAGAGCGTTTGTCATCCCTTATTAAATTTGATGACACTCGCTAATGCTGAAGTACCACTTCAAAATCCTGTTTCAGACACTCAAAGAAAAAGTTGTAAAATTTCATCATTATACGTAGTCAGAACGTGGTTTTGCGAATCGCTCACTTGGTCACGTGCTTTAAAATTTTACAAAAATATCTGCACTTCTGCATCGTTCAGCTAATCGATTTCAGCGATATGCGCTGATGTGATAACTTAAATTGTTTAAAATCATTTTGGGCTGCGCAATTATACTGTATCGCTGATACAGGTGGAAGCCGGCTCCTTACCGTTCGTCATGCGTGTATACTGGAGTTAAACCGACACCCCGAATCAACTCTTCCAACCAACTAATCCGCATACTAGTGCACCGCTCAAGGTCTGATTAGAACAGACCTGCTCGCACAGCTGAACAACCGTTCGCAAGTGACGGATTCGCAGCGTTTCACTTGCGTATTTTGACCCCGATCCCGAAGGTCTCCCCTTTTCCCTACGATACACAACACCTGTTTAAACTTTAATGCACAAAATCTCTCGTCAACGCTATATACAAGGGGCGAAAGTAAACGCGTTCCACCGTTCCCCTGTACTGCTGCTGTCACCCGCCTGGAGTGTGACGTTACGGCAATACATATGGTTAAATCTGGCGCGGTACGTAAGCGCCATGTTCAGCCACTACGTCAAACTCCAGCCGGGTGACGGCAGCAGTACAGGGGAACGGTGGAACACGTTTACTTTTGCCCCCTATATGCACGACGGAGATTTCTTTGAACCAACAAAACGCAGCCCACCAGTGGAGGAAGCACTTGTAGGGAGAACAGTTATTTTGTTGACTAATTGCCTTTCCGGTTATCGGCCCCGGCGGCATTATTGTTACCTAAGCAGTTTGTATGTTTCGTTGTAACATTCCAGCTAATGAGCTCCTGTCTCTACTAAACGGTAGCCCGAACCACATTTGAACGCTGACCTATGCTTTAACGATGCTTGTTAAGGGTTCAACAAATGACTTTACAAGATATTGCGTACAAAATAGTAATAAAAGCCGAACCTCTCGAAACTTTAACAGTCAGTTTGTTCTTCCGTTGTACTCGTATTATCTACTCTTCTTCGTGGGTCTAGCAAGTTTTAACATGCATTCAGGATGTTTGCTTCTGTCTGTAATTAGCATTTCGATATTGGCGGTTGTGCAAGGTAAGTCGCTAAAATTGCCTAGCTATCAATTCTGACACACAAATCTGTACTGGGTTAAAAACAGACTTTGTGGAAGAACGCCAAATCGGATGTAATTTTTTCGGACAGCTGAAAATCTTGCATTTTTACAAGGCTTTGTTTGCTAGACCACGTAGGGGCATCTACGCAGACGGCACTGCATGGCAAAGAGCCATTTCGTGTGGATAGGAAGCAATACTTCCGAATCTCTGAGACGCGCTCTTAGCCGGCATCTGCGGTGGATAAATGTATATTTGGTGTGTCTACAAAAGGGCAGGAGTATGAAAAGCAGGAATATTTATGTTAATTCAGGACACCTTGCTTTAACTACTGTTCTGAGCGCAGTGTCTGACTATGCAGATTTATCGAAATCTGGTCGGCTCTCCCAACCTTTATAACTAAACATTTTTTAAAAGCGCTATACTGTATATAAATATTTCGAGCTGGGAGTTTTCAAAGAAATTGAGAGCCGAAATTTCTTTCAGGAAGCTCTTAGACCATTTCGTAAACAACCGCGGTACTGTAAACTTCCGGTGCGCTTTCTGGAAATATTTCCTCACCAGAACGAAGCACAAGCTGTGATTTGTCGGTCCCATAGCGCTGTGCTTAGTCCGGTTCTGTCGATTTGCAGGGTCATCCAATAAAACTATCATTCCAAAGGACTATTTTCTCAAGGGTCCCTTCGTTATTCACGATGTTGTCGTCCTCACGGCGGAGACCCGACGTCAGCGGAATCGCGCGCTAGACAATCATGTCCAGCCCCAGTGGAAAAAGGCGCTGGGTGGGACAGTGCAGGACATCAAACTGGATGTAACCAGAGACGGGCCATATCCTGCAGACGAACCGGGGACGAAGTCCGACCCTACCGTCCGCTTGATCCATTACGATATCCATGGAACAGCGGCGGGGAAGTTCAATCAAATTGAAGTGCGCGATAAAGTCCACAGCAGACTGGGGACATACCAGCTAGATAAAGTGGTGGGAACTGTTCCGGATGACATCAGACATAATATTATTTAAGCGAGTAGCTGAACAATTTCATCAGTGAATCGAACAAAATCTTCGTGAGATTTGTTTCAGTCTGCAAAAATTCCCAGTACAACATCAGAATATCATATTCATACGTCAGACTCTGCTGAATGGAGCAGTTGGAATGGTCTGTAGATTGGTCTTTAGATTTTATTAGATGTATGCTTCAGAAAACCAGACAACTAAAACCATATTGAGGTGGGCCGGAATATGTTTACGGTGACAGTTTACCCTCAAAGATGCACAGTAATTCCTTTCTATTATGATTACCATCAACCATGTCGATTTCTCAAATGGGACTGGCCTGGACTAATTAAAGAATTTAACACGTTAAAAAAACGTACTATGGTTAGCTTTTTTATAAACCGTCCACTAATAAGAATGATCTATCCAACAGCTCTACGCCTCAGACCTTTATGGCACAAAATTTGTCCATGTGGTGGTAGAGTCGGTAGAGTTATGTCAGAGTGTAGATTATGGTGGTTCATTTTTACGGAAAAACAGCGGCCTAAATCTGGGCGAAAGGTTTTATTTCCGTACATAATATTTAGGAAATATCACACATGACGGGTCAGTACAAGAAAGACGATAATATTTCTGGAATAAATGCTTGGTGCCTTTTGATCATAACAATCAAAAATTGCTCTTGAAATGCAAAGTCTGAACTGTAAAATTTCTGAAGGCACCTTATGCTCGTGACTTGCAACGGTATTTCAAGATATTATCGTAAAATACTGCTGTAGAAAAATACTGTTCAATAATTGTGATTAAACATTTTATTAAGGTATAGAGTTATCAAAGGCAGCTTTTAATTTCACTTGCGCCTTTAGCAAATTACTGATATTTTAGTCTGCTTTACTTTGCGTATAACGGTTGCGGTAACTTTGAAAATATTAAACGTCTCCATTGCACGTTCGCTTGGAAAAAAATGATTTTATGCAAGTCTTCACTTTTTCCGGACGGAACCAGGAAATAATACTACGAGACTGTTAAGCCGGTGCGCAATTAATCCCCATAGCGAAGCTGTGCGGATTTGCCAAAAAAATTTACAATATTCCGCTAGAAGTGCATTTTTTACAGAAGAGCATTTTTTGTATGAACTTCATACTATGAAGTATATATGTATTCTACGAAGCGAGTCAAATTAATTTTTTAATGTTCTGTTACAGCCAGGTTTATAAAATTTTGTGAACATTTTTATTTATTTTTATTTAACTTTATGGTAAAGCATTAATATTAACAACAAATTTAAATAAATATATTGATTGTAAAATCGTAAGCGCTAATTGACTAATTCATCTTTAACAATCGCACGCATTCACGCTAAGTCAATTACCATAATGCCGTTAACAGAATATCTTAACCTTGAACGTTGCGGCGCACGTCTCATAATTCTTCGCATCTTAACCAAGAATCTCTGATCGAAGAAATGTCTTTATATAGAACGCATAATTGCGGGTGGCCGCCGCGTATAAACCTCGCATATCGCCGCGACGCTGATGCAACTGAAAACCCGTCAAACCAGACACCGCACCGTGCCGCGCATTCTTTCGTCGTACGACCATAACAATATCGCCGCATGTACACTATACTCGATACCCAGGTAACAATCTCTCATATCTGTACGTACGAATAAAAAAATGCACTTTATGCCACCGACAATGACAACCATCAACAGCTGCACGCCGCAGCGCATGTGCTCATTTAATACGCTGCAATATTATGTTGGCAAACTGTGCCGCGCCGGTAAAACATCAACTTGACACTTGTTGCTCGTATAGCGCGCTTGTTGGTTAAGTAATCGCGGATTAGCTAGCGCTTGTACTATTGTACTAGGTATATACCAAGAGGAGAAAATATTCCATTTTGGCCTCCGATTCACGGCGGCATTCCTGCATTTCAACGCAACTGGTCAAACCGGAAAATAATTTATCGGAATTTTTTTCTTCATCTTCGTTGGATTTTTCTTCCCGTTTTTTATGAGAATATTGGTTATCGTGTGGGATTAACTGCTTAATCATGGAGTGGGTGTTTACTGCAGTTTCTTTAATATGTTCTTTGCTAATTATTCCAGGTAAGGTCGTTAACGCGTACGTTACACTTACGCATGGGAAAAACCGTTTTGCGTTTATTGCATGATGCGGTAATAAAATGTATCGAAAATTCTCAGATAAATAGTGCTAAAAGCTAAAATGTTTGACCCTAGTAATGTAGGTCGCGCCGTCTTGATGACCGCTGCTGAAAAACTGTGCTACAGTAGACTTCCGCAAAGTCATCATTAACCGAATATTTCTCTAATAAAGATACAGTATAATCCCCATGCAAAGATATTTTGGCGTCAGGGTATCGAATTGACCGTACCGCATTGATTTCCCAGGAGAATATACTGTAAAAATAGAAGCAACTAACAGTAAAATAACTTCGCATATTTTTATATAAAATCTGTAGTAAAGTTTTTAGCAGACAGTTCACAAATAAATTTAAATAGTTTTAAGCCTAAAATACGCGTAAGCTTCATAATGTATGCGGCGGTTTCAGCCTTTTATACAAGTTGCAATTGGGAAAAAAACTTTCTGGAAAGTTGATGACTTCTTAGTTCTTATTAAAGAGATATGGATTATGGCAACGTGGTTTAAAAAAAGCAGATACAACATGGAGCACTTTAGCGTTTCAGATTTTATGAGATCGAATTGGCTTTTCACGGTTTTGACAGTTTCTTTTTTAAAATATAAGACTTAGTCTTGATTTATTCGTCAAATTCATGATGCTGACAATAAATATTTTCCTTTAATTGGCTATGTTCAATTCATAATCAATGACTCAATGGCCACGATTATTCAGCGCAACGAGTGGATGATTGACAAGTTTGCCCAAAATAGAGGAAACCGTACGAGGAACTTGTGAAAAAATTAGGCGGGCTACAGATACTCGTACAATACATTCCGCACAACCAATTAGGCAGGCGGACGAGTTGCCAGTTACAACAGTGTTGTGCTGACTCAGCCCCGGCGCTGGGTGGTCGGCAAAGTGGCTGCCAGCATCAGTGTAACATGTAACGCACTAGCGTGGTCAGCTGTTGAACTTGAGCGCCTTATCGTATTATTGCAGCACATGGCGCCACAGGTACTACCGTCTGTTATTCCTGTGAAAGCGTCGCCGGTCTGGCGTGTGGACTGAGTCGAGGATGGACGGCGTCCTACCTAGAGGCCAACACACAACTGTGTCCTGAGGGAGTATGCTACACATATGTCAAGGTACGTTCGTTTAATTGTGAACTGTTGTTACCGGCGGTAATGCGTTCCCACGTATCAAAGCGCGTGGGAATCCGAACTGACGGTTCCCTAAAACTGGCTGGATATTGCGTAACGAGCAACAATGGGACCGATCTAGGTGATTGGTATTTGGTCGTTCCCTTGCACAGAGACCCTACTCGTATGGTCGTTTAAGTGAAACACTATGGTAAGTGAATGGGCGATGGTCATTTAAGTGAAACACCCGAAATAACATTTTCCACAAACCGATTTTCTTTTGGATTTTTTCCTCTTCCGATTAAACGGGATGTACCCTTTACAGAGCACTTGAAATTTTTAAAAAAGCTTTAGCCGTTTTCTTGCAAATGAGACGTAACGAAATCAGTGACGAAAGCGCTTTAGCCACGCCACGAGTGCCACTGCACTACGCTCAAATATTTGCAGTCACCGCCATTCATGGGTGGCTGTACCATCGCGGTGTAAGATGTCTATTGAGGCCAAAACTAATACAGTTTCAAGACACCAACTTCAAACAAACGAAGAAAAAAATTCAATTGAACATAAATTTACCTGAACTGAATTAACAGCCCCCCATAAATGGCGGTGACTGCAAATATTTGAGCGTAGTGCAGTGGCACTCGTGGCGTGGCTAAAGCGCTTTCGTCACTGATTTCGTTACGTCTCATTTGCAAGAAAACGGCTAAAGCTTTTTTAAAAATTTCAAGTGCTCTGTAAAGGGTACATCCCGTTTAATCGGAAGAGGAAAAAATCCAAAAGAAAATCGGTTTGTGGAAAATGTTATTTCGGGCGTTTCACTTAAACGACCATCGCCCATTCACTTACCATAGTGTTTCACTTAAACGACCATACGGGTAGGTTTTTAGAGCTTTACTATGTTTGGCGTTCGCGGTAAAGCCGAGACGGGTGTGTCAGTTTTGAGTCTACCAACTTGTTCAAGTCTGATTTTTTTCGGCAGATTTAAATGTGCTGCACTCATTACAAACGCAGCCGAAAGTCTTTTAAAAGGCGCCAAAATTTGGTTTTCGATTATCAGTTTTGGAAACCAACTGCGTTTTATTATTAAGGATCCGCATAAATAAACAGTTGTTAAGCTGAAAAATTTTTTGACTGTGTTGAAAAATTGGATCTAAAGAAATCTGCATACAGAATATGGACATAAAGCCAGAACGAATTATAATAAACTAATTTGAATATTTTGGTTTTGCAGACTGCCCCCAGCAAGTGTAAGTGCCGCCTGGAAGCACTTATCAAGTTTTGCGTACTTGCTAAACATTCTTTATTGATTTATTTCACAGCTCCGATGGTGTACCGAGGCTGCGGTCAGTTGACATGTGATGCCCTGCCCGCCGGCTACAACACCTCCGACGTCTGCGAGAAGGACGCCGCCGGAGTACTGCGCGTGAAGAAGGTCGCCGCGTCCGAAGGGATCTTCAACCAATCGCGCACCTACAACTCGCAGCCGCCCAATCGGGACTTTGTCACCAGTACACTGCAGTACTGTGATTTCGACCGCTGCAATAATGGCGCCGTACAGTTCGTACAGCAAGATCTACAAGGTAAACTAACAGTGAACGCTTACAGTACTTCGCAATGTTACAGTATTTACAAGATACGTTAAGTTATAGTACGTAGCAATGTTGACGGTTTAACTAAAAAAGGGGGTCATCAGTGATGCGGAAAATAGAGCGGCGATTCGTGTAAAAAGTAACAACATTCGGTGTTTATGATGTTGTCACAGCGCGACCAGTGATACGGTTCGTTTCACCGACGAAACGCTGGTGTCACGCGTTTGATTATATCTTTTCAAAGAAATTTTATTGAGCGGTATTCCTTTGAATGATGAACTATCTGTACCAATTACGTACGCTGCATGCTTTCAATAATTATTTTATTACTGCGTCTTACTGTTCGAATGGAGTCGGATAAATGGTCAAAAGTGGACCGCCGTCGTAGTGTTTATTATAATAAAATTTTGCCGATTTTGTTTGCAAAATTTGACCAGTAATTTTCCTTAAAACTTCCCACTCTATCAACTCACAATTTTTGTTTTTTGTTACCGCAATTGCTGAATAAATTTTTACATTTTCTGGAGGTGCGTTTCTTCCGGATTTAAAAAATTTTTCCGGTTCAAATCCGAAATGCAAAACCGGAGGTAATCTTCTGCGTAAACATAATATAGGATTGTTTTCCGTATAAATGCCGAAAAACTGTTTATGCCTTCGAAATCTTAGTCTTCCAACTTCATGAGCAGTTTTCTACACAGAAGATAAAAAGCTGCCTTTTATAGTGTACTGATTCAGCATACTTTTAAACTGGTCCAGCCGGCTTTCGCGTGTAACAGTATTTGCGCATCGAGCTCTTAATCAGCGGTACAAAGCCCGAGTTTAAGTACTGCACACGCTCTGTACATTTGTTTAGTACAATAATCTATACTCGTATGTTTGTGAAATCCACGCTCCATCGGCAGACGTGGCCCACAATACCAGTGTGAATAATGTCATGCAACAGCGCTTTGTTTCTTTGCTACCGTTTTCCGAGCATTCTGACCTTCTTTTCCGGTGCGCAACATCTTCGATTACAAGTGTCTGTGCAGGTTTTCAAATAGTTTTGGTTTAATACAGTCATCGTGGCTTGATCGCTTTGATTGAACTAATTCAACGATATAATAACACCTTTTGATGCCAATGCGATGACGGTGTATTGATATGTTGTACATGGATGATTCAATGCGCATGATCACAATGTTTTTACGCCTGGTATTTTCCGCTGTATTACTCTGCAGTGTTTCCGCTACGACGACTACGTCGACCGGTAAATCAGCTCTTAAAAATGGCGGACGTTAATAGCTTCAGTGTATTTTGTAATTTTCTAATTTAGGCATCATACGGACGAATCGGAATTTACTAATAATCAACTACGTATTTTTGTACGTCTTATTTTATTTCCGTTCGTTATTTTCGCTTGGTTAGAGTTTTAGTCATCGCTTGCGATCTACTGATTAAGGGTGTTAACGCTTTGAATATTTGAATTTTTTTAAGATAAAGCGCGCTAAACAATTAATTATTGGATGTTCACATATTATTCACAAATTCACCATATTAATTTTTTCCCGTCGTTAGTCTAGAAATTTCCGTTACTGTTTCTACATTTTTTTGCTGAATCTCTAATTCGTGCAAAAGCGTAAGTTTTATCACGAGTAAGTTTTGAGTGTATGTATCACTATCAGTACCACAAATTTTCTTGTCTATTTCTTAGGTTTTATTTCTTTATAATGCTTGAAATTTATTAGTTAGCATTCGGAAAAAATCATTACTGTTGGATTATACTTAAAATTTATTTAACTTACAACCGAAGCTCACTATACATCCGTACGTTGTTTTTTCTTGTTCGTGGTTAGACCGGAAGCTGATAATACTCGTGCTTGAGTGGCACTCCAGAAGTGCTATCCCAGCATCGACACTTTGTGAGAAAATATTCACAGCTTGCATAATTTGTAACCGTCTTTTAATTATTTTTCCAGCGGTCAGTGCGCAGCCGCCTACCAGCTGTATCCAGTGCCGCAGTCAGGTTACGGAAGTGTGCGGTCTGAAAGGTGCCGGCGGTGGACAAGTGCAACAGGTGGCATGCAACGCCGGATACTGCTTTACATACGTCAAGGTAAGGAACAACTTTTATGTGGGATGACGATCAGCTGCTTAAAACTGCAGAATGGAAAGATCGTCTCGCTCCAATATTCATACTAAATTTTTAGAAACTAATTCCGTATAAAACAATTATTTGCTTTAATCGTAAATGCCGCTTGGAATTTACGCTTACATTTTTAAAATCCGTTGTATTAAAAAAGCTGTGTATATGTTAAATAGTCTAGGGTAGGAATTATATAACAAGACACGGAATTTTGTAGTAATTACGGCGATCTTCATTACGATTAAATGTTTAGACGCCTGTTGACGCGCTAAATCCAGGCTTTACATCGGTCTTTTCGAAACATTACGTACGTCAACCTTTAAAAAATTTAAATAATTTACGATGACACTGATCCGCTTTTATTATTTTTTTGACCACTGCGAAAAGATTTGGTACTCCCATTTACGCAAAAAAATCGTGAACTGTATAAACAGTAAATGCAAGATACGCTAGCACGCCTCATGAGAAGGAAAAGGGGTCAAAATACCTTTACTAACTGTGGCAGTGTCAACAACCAAAACACTAATATGCAACATATCGCTTTTTCGGCATTTTATATTTTTGTGAAATATTTTGGAAATCCATTGCATTCTCACATATTTACAGGCGGAGGCTGGTGCCGTACCGGTCGTTCTGCGCGGCTGCGGAGGCGTCCCCTGCAGCCTGATTCCCGGTTCCGGCGGCTCTACGGTATACTGTGATGAGGCGGGCAAGCTGGTGCCGGTGGACACGAGCGCCGGCGGCCTGTTTAACCAGAGCCGCTCCTTCTACGTCCCTTTCGGACCCAACCAGGTCCTGCAGAGCGGCACGGTGCAGTACTGCAACAACGGACCCAACTGCAACTCGGGACCCATTGCCTCATTCCCCTTGAAGAACTACTACTACCTGGCCGATAACGGCTCTGGAGCCAGCGGTGTGGCGGTGACGGTAGCGGCACTGCTGACGGGACTATTAGTGACGCTGCTGTAAACGGTGAATGCGTGTATTTTTCATACCTCTATACGCTCTGTATTATACGTTCTTGTGCTGTTTAACTTTATGCATCTGTATGTAAATGTATAATACCCTTTCTTACCATTATAATGTTCTTTAATGTTCGCCATTTCCCGTAATCCAACTTCCGTACATATTGCTCAAACATGTTCAGTGACTGTTAAGTTGTTATTGCTCGTTAAAAATAACTACTGTACTGTACCTGATGTATATATGTACGTGTACGTACATTGTTCTTGGACGTCCTTGATCGCCTTCCTGAAGCTTGTTAAAGGCAAGCGTTTAATTTAGCGCGTGTTTATAGCATTTTACTTCGCGCAGTTCTTGTGGTCAGAGTTTTTCCGAACAGCTCACGGCGATACTGAATACTTACCTGTATATGTTTATTCATCTTGAGTGTAATGGATACCGCCACAAAAAACGCAGTCAACAAAATCAAATTTACTGAATTAAAGATGACAATCATATATCTGTAGGTTGCTAACTAAGGGCATTAAAAATTAAAAGTCGGAAAACTAAATGCCGAACGCTCGGTAATACCGGTACCATTACATACAGGTAAGATAGAGAAGTATGGATCTGAGCTTAAACATTATCCGCATAAAATATGAAGAACCTCGTACTTTAGGCGTCTGACTGGATACTTGCATGCGATTAGATAATGAGGGATACTATTACTATCTCATTGCAAAAATCTCAATTTCGATTAAGGGTATCAAAACACGGATCAAACGGACTGTCGCAATTAGGTTACGTTTAAATATCATCCGTGTGCGGTTTTTTGGTATGCGGTGTACTTATTTGAATGAAACGAGAATTAAGCTCTGTATGGTTCTATCATGCATTCCTGTTACGCAGCAGTTTACGAAATCCACTGATAACGGATGGCTGTTTTACAGTAATAGGAACAAATTCGTAGTGTTTTGATTTTGGGAAGTTTTATAATTTATTCGTAAAATTTTCGTAATGTGGTATCCTTGCGAATGTTTTTTTCGACTTCTATCGATCGTTTGATCAAATTATCAAATGAGCGAGAGCAAAATCGAAATTTACGAAATATTGGCGTGATACAAAGAAAATCTACAGCAGGTCAAAAATACCCACTATTAGAATCAACCAAACAATTGAATTCCAGATTTGCAAATGTACTGCATTTAATTACAAGTCCCTTTACGCGGCTGTAAAGTGGCTCTGATAAAACTATATTGAAGTAAGACTTCGCCAAGTGGAAAACGCTAACGTCTCCTCGACGATCCACAACTAATTCCCAAGTAACCAGGCGCCGACGACTATATCCACCTAATTTTTGTCAGCTGCAGATATAGTGCCTGTACGTAGTGACTGCGGCGACTATTGACGTATTTAACAATAATTATTTCTAACTGAAACCGAAATTACAGCCTCCACTCTTGGTGTGCAGTTAAGAATGGTTAATTTGTGTAAAATTCACGGGCAACCAGCGAACATACAGCACTACACCATCAACATAACATAAACTGGTAAACATTGCATGCGATTATGCATATATCAACGGAGCCCGGAAAATGCCTAAATCTGTCTGATTAATTAACTGTTTTTGCTATCTCTCTCTCTTTGCATATGCAGATTGCTAATATAGAACGCTGCCGAAGCGCAGAAACACCGCCGTCGGAATTTTGTGTAAGAATAATAACAATGTAATAATTATCTAACGAGACACGGAATTTTGCAGTGAAATAACAATGAAAATGTAATGCTTTATAACCGCTGTAATTATTGCATCATAGGATGCACTACTTGCCGATTTTAAAGAGAGACGCTGATTCGGCATTAAATTAATTTGGATTACACAATTAATAATCACCGTAACATATCTTTTTCTAAAGAAAGACTCCACCCGTATAAAAAGGCTGCGCTGTTGTAATAAGACTATATCTTCTGCTTTTTCGTTTGTTCAACGCTGTACAGAGAGAACAGTTTTTCTTAGAACTGCAACACTGCAACATGAACCGCTTGGGACAGATCGCCGTTGTACTGCTGGCTGTTGGTAAGAACGATGCGCTGATGAATGGCTGGGACAAACTATGGGAGCTTGTAGAAATTTTTTTTAAAAATAAATTTAATATTTATTTTCTTTACAGTAAAAATCAAAAACTTTACGAGTCGTACTAGGTTAATGTGCACACCCACGGTGCGCCGTTACTTAAAACCATGTTCAGTTCTCTGTTTTTATTACCGAATTAGTGTTGTCCGTTCGCTACTGGAGTTTGATAAAAATAGAATTAATAACAATTATAATATTATAAATGTTATTAACTATTATTATCTGCAGTGTTCAGCCACTCTGTGCGCATTCTGGCCGACAGTTACTACGGTCCCAGTGATTCCGGACGTCCAGCGCGCCAGGGCACATCGCAATGGTCATTCGATCCCTATTTGAATAAATTCTACACCATTGACCTGGCCAGTCGGGTCAACATGAGCGAATTTGCAGTGGTTGACGGTACGTTTGTCTGTCGATACCGCATGTAGCCCTGACACAATAATACACATAACTTGTAATGTAATATTTATCTACAATTCACGCCAATGTGACTAGCAGCTTCCGGGTGTGTACAATATATCTGTATACAACCGGTTTATGCTTCGCGTAACGTAGAACACCGCTTTAAATCCTAAACTTACACACATTAGAAAAAGACGCGATTTGGTATTTATATGTATGTAGTTAAGTTTATTGATTTTATTGATTTCAGGATGATTATTATTTATAGGTCGTGCATTATCTTGGTGCAGATTCGGAATAAATTTGCAGTATATAAATATGGAACAAACATATCAATGTACAACTTTTATTTTTTATGTACCAAAAACCCGATTTCCACAATTGCAACCCGAAAGATTTACTATGTGTATAAAAATCTTTGTTTGCCGGTCTGCAGGTGTCCCCGCCGCGGCCGTCGCGGGCGGTGAGCAGCAGTACTACAATCTGTCGGCGGACGGGTCAACGTACATGCAGTACGTCTTCTTCCCCAGCGGCGCCGACTTCAATTCGCAAATTCCCTTCGTCCTGGGCCAGTCCAAAACGGTCCCCTTGCCGGGTAATCAGACCATTACATACAAATTCGACATGACCAACGCCACACAGGTCCGTATCGATATCGATAAGGATTTTGGCGATCATCACGCGGTCTTTATCATCTATTTAACGTGGAACGCTGATGGAAGCGGCTATTCGGATGTAAGTGCACGCGCCTGAGAAAAGTAGATCGATCCGGTACCTGGTGAAAGTTTAATTTACGTATGACCTTGTGTTCTGCATTACAGCTGGTGCAAATTCTCCAACCGTCGCCGTTCGAAGCCCATGCATGGTACAACCGAACGGGATAAACCGCCAGGACAAGGATTCTAATTTTTGTCTTGTTTATCAAAACGCTTCTCTTTGCCTCCTGATTCTCCTTATTTTTTTACGTTTTTTATTCAAAATGTTCCAGTTGATCGTTCTGCGTAGACACTTATTGATCCTCGCACAATGGATACACTGCAATTATTTAACAAAACCACGTGGAAAATAAATGTTACGCACAAATAAGCTGCTCTTGTTTGTACTGGATTGATACAGAAATAAGAATTTCCAGTTCGGCAAACAAAAGCGGCAATTGTGCATGTTACATCATGGTTGCGTTAATCACATTGTACTCTGTAAATGGCTTAATAACTGATCGATTAATAGCGCCTTATGTAATAAGCTGCTAATCCGTAACCGGCTTTTATTTGCGCTTACAATATTATAAGCTAAAAGAAGCGTGTTATATTTTCACTGGTAAAATGTAGGCCAGCGACCGGCTAGCAGTGTTAGCGAGCAATCAGCAGCGAGTCATATATTGCCGCCGCTTAGGCACTTAAGAAAATCTCATGATAGACTTTGAAAAAAAACCTTAACTGAATTCGCTTGAAACGGCAACAATTATTCAGCGAAATTTCCATGCTTTTTATGTCTCGGATATGCAGTTTCTGCTTTGGCGAAGCGTGTTAGCGAACCACTCAGGGCCAGCAAACGGCAAATTAGCCACAAGTCAATTCTTCTGCCATGCAAAAACCCATATGAAAAATCGAGTAATTACCAATGATTAATTAAACAAACTGCGGCAATCTAAGAAAGTCTGCAATGGTCTTCAGCAGTGATCGAACAGAATGATGCATTGTAGTGCAGTTTCAGAAACATTTGACTGGTGCCAGTAGACAGCCGGCGTCCGATGACCTTTCGCCGTGATTGTCATTTTTGCGGCGGTCGACCATTACGCTAGCCATTTTCCAAGAAAATCCGCAATTATGAGTGTATTGTATGCTGGGTCCGAACGAGCAATGCAATTTGATAAGCATCATTACGTAGGCTGTTTTCTAAAAATTAATAATGTGCTGCCATTCAGATAGCTACATTTTTTATGGCATTAGCTGCTCGTTTGCGGAAACTCCTTGCTCTGTTTAAGCTGTTTTGCGCGGCAGGATCGACCACTTAATTGGCGGGATGCATTTTATTTACAGGATAACTTCCGCGCTACTGCTTTACGGTACGTTCTAAACAAAACTAGCATATACGGTACAGGTGCAAATATTTAACATGTTTATAAATTATTGGTAACTAATACGATAGATTTCCTAGGCAGCTGGATGGCAGGTCAGCCTCTGTAGTCCAGCTAAAGTTGTATGCAAGTTTGTGATTTTGTTCGGTTCTGGTACAGTGCCTCAGGTTCTCAGCAACTTGTTTTGCGAAGGTGGATTAGGAAAAACTAAGGCCCATGTATCAGCAGTACAACAAAAGCCTATAATTTGTCTACCTCTCATTACTTATCTCAAACCCGAACATCGAGGAACCCTACTTTCCGTGTGCCGCGTGTTACTGGACGAGTAATGCATTAAAAAAAGAATGTGGTGATGGTAATGCTAATTTTCTCTACGTAATTCTTTGTAGTATAGCACATAGTGCAGTCCAAGTGGTCGCACCCGGACATTTGGGAGTGTAACATTTCGCCGCAAACAAATTCGACGCACGACTTTTCGCCGCATGGACATGTGATTTCGGGACACTTCGTTTTGGGACTTTGGCACATTGCGAATATTTCTTACTGCGCCATTGAAAAGTGTTGTAGTGGTCTTTTGTCATGGGTTTTGTTGGTGTTTTATTTTGCTTATGCTTTGTCGTAATGCCGACAGTGTTGCGCCGAAACGCGTCCCTACGTCAAATTGTCCGCTGGCAATATGTCCCTGATACGAAAAGCCCTAAAAATCAATTGTTCCTGCGTCGAAATGTCTCGCGGCTAAATGTCTAGTCGGTGAAATGTCCGGCGGCGAGTGGTCCCATAACGAAATGGACTTGCGGCGAGTCGTCTTCGTCAAAATGTCCTGCGACTAGTTGTCCTCCGCGAAATGTCGCCAAGTTCGGTGCCCCAAGTGGTTCAGCCACACAAACCGTCAATGATTCCCCGTGTTGTTATACGCTTATAGATAGTACAGGCTTTCTTGCTGCTGCTTATATCGATGTTCTTGTGCAGGGTCGCACGGTGTCACTCGTATAATGATGTAGTGTCGAAAATATCACTCATATCATCTGTAAGATGCTTCCACCGGATCGTCCTACAGTTTGCCTGCACTGCCCATTCAAAAAATGGTCAATTCCACGCTGCACGGCGGTCATATAGAAAACCGGCTTTTTCAACACTGAAGGATCATTAATAAGCAAGTACGCGCAAGCGTATACGCTCTATTTGTGAGCTTTGGTTCTGCTTTTGGACATAGAATCGCTGGCTTTTTTAGAGGATACAGTAGTGATGCAGTAACACTTTCAGTGGTGTCAACTCGTATCTGTCTCGAATCTCGTAGTCAACTCGTATCTTGTATCTGTTTGCGATTTTTTATTTAGTTCGCATTTTTTGTGCTTTTTATGTAACACAAACTTCGTGTTCTACATTGAAGTGATTGAACAGCCATGCAAGGCAAAATGCTAATTTCGAAGCACCAGTTATTTGTAGTTAGGATCTGTAGTCCAGGTATTTGATTATCCTGAATAGTGAGGACCAATAATTTGCAGCATGTTATACATCTTTCTTAACCATCGCGGATGATTACAATTACGCCACCACCGGATCGTCCGGACCTTTCGGTCCATCGCGGATGATTACAATTACGCCACCACCGGATCGTCCGGACCGGGCGGTCCCGGCTGTACTCCTGCAACGCCCAAACGCCAGGGCAAATCGCCATGGTCACTCGACCCTTTCCTGGGCGTGTACGACATGATACCGGCACTTCGTCACAACATCGTTAACTTCACCGAGCAAATTCTGTGTAAGTCACGGCCACCCATCCGGATCCCTGGTCAACCTACACAGGCGCTCCTGTGGCATCCTTACACCAACGGTTTGTGAACATATGCATTTTGCAGTCACGCCAGCATTTCTTGTGGACGGTGGCGAGCGGCAAAAGTTTAACCTGACAGCCGACGGCGACATGTACGTGCAGTGGGTCCATAACGGAAACGATTCCACCTTTACCACTTTTGACAGTTGGCTGCCGTTTGTGCTGGAGGAGGAGTTTCAGGTCGTATTTCCCGGAAATAATATGCTAAACTATTCCTTTCGAATGACGAACGAGTCGACGCTGAACGGGCATTTCTACCGTACATTTCCGGATGGTCACTCGGCCGATATTCACTTTTGGCTAACGTTCAACGAAACCAACTTTTGGGATGTACGTAGAGGAAAGATTATTACAAGTTTTTATCCGATAACTAAAACCATATTATCTGCACAAAAAAATTAATAGCAGCAGTAAAAGATATCTTAATCATGACTTAATGGACAAAATTAAGTTGAGCTCCTTAGAAAAAGCCGGCCACCACACTTAGGACAAAAATTTAAATTTAATTCGGCCGGGGCAAGCAACACAGCACGTAGTGTAGTGCGGTGGACTAGGTTTTTTTTTAAGTGCGTTTGTGTTTTGGGTGAATTTGAAATGCTCCAAAAATTTTTTGTAATTTCAAACTACTTTTCCAGTATTTTTTGTGCTTTTTTCAAGCGCAGAATGTGAATGCATTGTCTTTTGACTCTGACTGTAATTACATATCTGTAGTTACTGTTGCGATCCTCATGATCATAATTCGTACACAAATCATGCCATATAGATTCGTTGCATAATGAAATCTTTGTTTCATTTGAATCTGTTTTTTTTTATCAGGAGGTCAATGTCAGTTCGCCGTTCCCACTCAACGCCTACGCACCGTTCATGAAGATTGACCCAAAAGCCAGACCGTGCAATCGCGGTGATTGTACATACTTAGACGATTAACCCGTAGAACCCGGTAACCGTGGCCAACGATCGTTGCACTTCCCCTTCCAAGATTTGCAGCGCCGCAATATCCAATCCACAGCGCAACGGCGCCGCATGCACACTCATCACGTGACAATTTTTTACAACATTTTCTGAATATTTATTTCTTAGGCTGAAACACGTTGTAACTTGTAACCGTAACCGGTTTCTGTATGCTGCTCTGTCGCTGATTTCCAGATGATTATGATGCAAAGTTTTTTTGTTTAAGAGTGCACTTGATTGATGTGTCTGGTAACGAAATCTGAAAGTGGTGACATTCGGAATACCAAGAAGATTTACATAATGCCCAGTGTAATTATACACAATATGCGTTTAATGATGGCCACCCGGCGACGCGAGTATCCTGCAGTCATGTCAATTTTTAGACTATGAAAAGGAGATCGTTATTTTACTTCCATGTACTTCTATTTCAATGTAGAAACGAAACAATTTAGGATGACAACGATGGTACTCTACCAATCGGTTCGCGAGTTAAAATAATGATAACAACAAAATAAGTCAGATTAAGGATAACACCAACAATAAAGAACGCGATTCAAAATGATAATGCACAATAATATTCGGATCTAAAAATATTAACAAAATATTAAAATGTGCGGATCAATAATAATAATAATCGGATCTAAAATAATAAAATAAAATAATAAAAATGATAATATAATAAAATAAATATCAAAATAAAATATTAATATAATAATAAACAATAAAGTAATCAATAATAAAAAATAATAACATTCTGAAGACCAAGTTGCGCCCCAACACCATTGGGCGTCAGCGGGTTAAAAGATATTATTAATATTAAAAACATAAAATAAACGCTTCAGAATAATGGTAACAATAAAGTACTCGGTTCAAAACTAGTCTTAAGAATGAAATAGACGGTTCAAAATGATGCCAAAACGATAATACCAGTAATTCAAAATCTTATTTAAATAATATGGGTCACGGTCAAAAGTTATAATGAAAATATGGCATTTTAATCACGGAATCGAAAAACAGTGTCCTGCAAAACCACATCTAGGGGATGCGCATAAATCATAAATGACCACCACTGGGTTCGAAGCGCTCGTTTGCACAGAGTGCGCTATAGTGAAACCAAAACTTGTTTTTAGCCAGAAAGGTTCTTCTGGTAATATTTCCGAGCCGGCGATAATACAATACTTATACTCGTATCTCTGTATGATTGCATTCTACCGGCAATTTCATCATTGTTATTTAAGGCTTTTAAGCAGCCATCGTTGGTATAACAAACAAATAAAATGACACTCATCGAGTGGCACATTCACGGTTCGGCATGCATCGTATAAAAGCCTCGACGCTGCCAGAAGCCATCGTAATCCAGTTGGATAATTACGGCGAGCATCGTTAGCGGCGGGCGGAATAACAGCACTGTCAACAGGTGTACACAAATCCACGAAAAGCCTGAAAGGCGAATAAACACGCTAGGCACATGTACTGGAGAAAAATTTAATAATGGCACCAGTTTCTCGCTGTAGAACGCCGGCAGACGTTAGGACACTGGGTGAATATGTAATCGGTTGCATAATTGACACGGAGACGCGACTAACTCGTGCTTTATCGGGCCTGTCTACTGAATGCCGCCACCTTGATCCCGTTAATTTGAATTATTTTATTTATTTGGCGTGATGGCGTGGATATGGATTGCGTTACTGTTGGTTTCCACCGCCGGTGCAGGTCTGTAAAATTAGTGATAGAAGTGGCAAAATGTAGTTTCTTTAAAAAATGAATGGATTTACAGAAATTTTGTTACAGCGTCGAATTATCAGGAATTAAAAAATATATATGGCAATGTACATATGTAGAATATTTATAACCGTTTTTACAAGGCGTTCTCAATACAATATTACAAGGCGTTCTCATATACTATAATACAATACAATACAAGGCGTTCTCATATACTATAATTACGTGCGCGCGTTGAGAACTATAATGATTGTGTTGCATTTGACATAGCATGGTGCGAACCTTGATACGAATTTTGTTATTGAATTTTGATGAATTCAGTTTCAAATTTTTTGTGCCAGAAATAATTTCTTAAATTTGGTTTGTCCAACTACGTACTTTTTCATAGGAACACTGCATAAATAAGAAACTGTACTCTGTACAAACAATATAACCTGGAAACTGCACCCACAGATCGATTGTTAATACTTAATTGTTAGAAGTGTATTATAAACGTTGATTTTTCTGTTCGTGCCAATCTCCTTTTACGTATTAACGCACATTAGTCATCGGCATTTAAGTAAGTACTATCAAATTGTTTATAATTGTACTGCATCGTTACAAAAGCATTTTCAATAAATATTGCAGGACTGGCTGATACGATAACGTGTTATAACTGCAACGGTACGGTGGAGCAAGCCGGCACAGCCGGAACTGCCTGCGGCTGGTACAAAGGCTGGACGTCGTCCAATCTGGACAAGCGGACCGGCGTCATTTGTCCCGATGGAATCTGCTACACTCTCATGATTGTACGCTCACAACTGCAGTATTTGGCCATGTGTTTATTTGTTTACACACTCCATAACGGCATAACTGTTATTCCCATTTTATTCTTCAGTTCAATATTTATATTTTATTCCATTTTAGGGAGGCACTGGTCAAGGTACGAGCTTGTGGAGGTGAAAACGACCCCGAAGGACAAACTGCCATCACCCTACAGCGTGCTCATAGTTATTTATAATTTGCCGTGATAATTAAAATTATTAATAATTTGATTATACAAGTAATTAATCTGTTTATATATTTGGTTTACCATAGTATTTGAATAATAATATTTGTTAGTGTAATTATTATTAAAATTTTATCCATAATGATAAAAATGTATCTGTCAATTATTAGATGGATTCTAAAATAATTAATAATTAGTGTGGCTATTCGAATAATCCCTTACACTGCGAGGAATAAACTGCAGTAATAATAATGGGAAACTGGAAATATAATCTTAATTTTCATATCTGGGTGCTGTGTAGTGGCGACTATATACCGCGGCTGTGGCCAGGTGACCTGCGATAAGCTGCCGCGCGGCTGGGAGAAACAGGAAGCTGTTTGTGATAGCGCTACGAACAAGGTCAAGCCGCCGCCCGCCAACGAGAAACTGAACGACATCCGCCTGTTCCAAGCCAGCCTGCCCGGCAATGTCAGCGTCACCAACCTGCAGTACTGTGACACGGACTGGTGCGGGACGGGCGGCGAGCAGATTGTCCAGCGCTACACCACAGCGCTAGCGGCCGCCGCCGCGCCACCGGCGACACCAGCGCCGCCACCCCCTCCAGCCGTGGTCCCAGTGGTGGTGCCGCCACCAACCAATGTCGTTACCACCAATAACGTCGCCGGGACAGGGGACCAGGCGGGGACGTCGAATCAGCCGGCGAATGGGGCCGTCGTGGTACCGGTTATAACGAACGGTACCGTAGAAATTGCTTTGAAATAATATTATTACGCGGTATACGATAACTCCGATTGCGTTGCAGGCGGTGGGCAGACACCCGCGCCGGTGGATACCTCCAAAGTGGCCGCCGGGAACGCGGTCAGTGCGGGAGCCGTCTCCACGGGAACGGATAATAATCAGCCGGCTGCCGGTACATTGCAATAATTGACCGTATTTTATCTATTATTTACATAATTAATCGTATTCACTGTAGGTACTATCATGTTATTTACATGATAAAATACAAATTTACCGTATTTTATCGGATATTATTTGTTTCACTGTTTTCCATTTATTTTTTTGATTTATGGGTTAGGCCGCCGCTAATTAGGAAACTCACTAAAGCAATTGTTTAAATTGAATTTCTTTGATTACGAAGCTTGAAATAATTACTACCGGTATAGTACAGTTTTTTTTCTTGAACGACAGGCTGTGATTTTATTAAGAGCAAATTAAATCAAAGACACGTAAAACATGTATGTGATGCATTTACATAGGTGGCGTCGTGATCCGACCAGGCACAATGCTCAACAGTTGTCTGCAGTGCCGCAGTCAAGCTAACGACATTTGTGGATTGCGCGGCTCGGATCTGCTGGGATCCGTGCGGACCGTCAACTGCAATGCCGGGTTCTGTTTCATTTTCGTCAGGGTAAGTTCTCTTTCTAGACGCATATAATTTTTCTGCCAGAACTGTCGCCATAGCAGTAAACGAACGCACACAACGATCTGATTGCTCTTGATAATTCTATCATCACGTGTAGAAATGTAGTGCATTGGCTTTGTATCATTCTGAACTCGAAGGGCGCTTCCGTTGGTGTATGTCTATTATAACACAGCGGCGGCGCATTCTTAAATTAAGGATGCAAGACTTTCCTTTTTATTTTCGCAACTATATAAACATTCAACGGTCACAGATCGGCTGTTATTTGGCCTATCAGGAAAATAATGATATAATTATCAAAATAATTATATTTTTAGTATCGAGATTCCGGGAAATTCTGTATAGAACAATTTTCTCTCAATATACGTACTAATATACATCAATATTACATATACATTTATCGGTAAAATCAATAATAAATATTGTATTACTTTGACATTGGATTCTTAAATACGCATGAACTGCTTAACCTAACCCACTACTTGTTAAGATATAATGATTATAAAAAATAGATCATGTAAATTGATTAATTTCTATAAACTGATTGCTTTCTAACATTTTAATTAGTGTGTACCAGCGCTGGCTTTATTCTAAAAGCTTGTCATTGCCGAATAAAAGCAAATGTATATTTAACCGATATTTGTTTACGTATCAATAGGTGTTTATAAAGTCTTAAATTTATTTCGACTGCATATTTTAGGCCGAAGCCGGTCAGCCGGCCGGCCATGGTGACGCGCGGCTGTGGCCCGCTGCCGTGTTCGTTGATCCCGGGCGCCAACGGTGACAGTCGCCTCTGTGATGAATACGGCCGCGTACCGCCCATCGACGCCAACAACGGATTGTTCAACCAGACGCGCTCCTACTACGTGCCTTTTGGCCCGGGTCAGGGCCTGCAAGCCGGCACCCTGCAGTACTGCGACAGCGGGTCCAACTGCAATTCCGGATCCATTATCAATTTTCCATTGAAGAATTACTATTATCTCGTGGGCAGCACGGCTAGTAGACTGCTGCCGGGGTATTCCTTATTTGCAATGGGCACGGCGATAATCCTGGCTGTGATAGGCTAATTGCGTTGTATATGTGACCTTTACCAATAGCTGTTTCGATACATAAATTGACGTGACGGATAATTAATGTTGTACCATATATTATCGTAGCTAAAGGCAATTCTGCAACGTCTTAATAAAACTGACGCGCACGTGACACTAAAGAATCAATTTGTAATTACTAGTATTATGGAGGCGCATCTCACAGCAAAATTGCAACAGTTGTATAGACGAGACGATCGTACTTCAACACGGAATAAAAATTATCTCTCCTGAACAACTCAAAAAACAATTTATTCGGCATTTATCGCGCATGATACGTGCCATATGCGTCACAAATCTTAGCTGACGAGCGAAGCGAAGCGAACATTTTGCACAGCAAATACCGGCTTCCAACAGCAGCATTTTCGTAAGCTTTAAGCAGCATTATTTTTTTTCTTAATCAAAATCGGATGGAGAATCGCGTCATCGGGCGGCTCGACGTAGCGCGCACAGCACCGGACTGCGGCGCTGACGCTTGGCTCCTTTCTTGGGTGGAGCGTTGTCACAGGGTGGCAGTGTCGGCGGACTCACCGGTGCGGCGGTAACGACCGCGCCCTCGGTTGCGGTCTCCCTCGCCCGAATCCGTTGTGGCACTGTTTTCATAAATAAGTAACAGGATCACAAAATTAATGCACAGCGAATGTATAACTGCATTATCTGTTTTCGAATTATACATAGATTTTTCTGGATGGGTCTGCCGGGGTTGTTGATACCAGGCACTTGAGCGGTTCTGTGGTATTGGTATTTTGGTATACCAGTTTATATCACTGGTATACCAGTTAATACCACTGGTATTACCAATAATACCTGGTATTCTATATATGCTATGGTATTGGGCTTTTTTCGTTGAAATTAAACTAGGTATAAGCTTTAACATGAAAAAACGGTTAACTGATCCTTTCCACCCTCCGAACAAATCATGAAGTATTTAAAACGCGGTCGCTTATTTGATAATTTTCTCACATGCGGGCAAGAATCCAGTGTTCTTGATGCGGGTCAACCCACAGCCAGTGAATTAGAACACTTAGACTGATCGTCCGTTTATTCCGACTCGTTGTTCAGGCTTGCTCGAATATGTACCTGGATTTACATTTTACAGCTAGATTTATTACAGCAGCTCTTAATGATATCAAACGGGTAGTTTTGCTTAACATATACTTTTTTAACCAATTTTGCTTAACATGTGCTTAATCAGTTTTTGAAATGAGCACAAAATAATGATTTCTAATTACCGTATAATTTCTGACTGATATACCTCGTAGATGCTGATGTAGAGCGAATGATGAATACTTCTATCACCTTGCTTCTATCAAACTGCATGGTAGTGAACGATAATAGCACAGTAAGCGACAGAGACTGATTCTTCAGAATAACAAATCGTAACGCTGGCAGTAGATTTACGATTTTAAAAACCTTCTCCATCTCCTGTAGTCCTGCACTGCAAATTAAATTAAATTTTGGAAATACCATACGCATTTTGGTATAGCAAACTTTATCTGGTATATCTGGTATTTAATTTTACCATTTGACACCTGCCTGATATACCATTGGTAAGTGGTATACCAGCCGTACCACAATACCAAATACCAAATGGTATCAACAACCCTAGCCGTCTGCGAGTTTTGATACATTTTTAGCGCTGTTCGCGGTTACCAAAAATTTTTGTGCCAAGCCCGTGCAGACATAAGTGCAGAGATATTTAGGCTAAAAAAACGCATGCTTTATTTTGAGCTCAAAATACGACAATATATCTGCAGCCCGCTACGATACACCGGGTATCCTATTTGAGTTGCCACTGCGCTACGATAAATCCACATTACTCAACAACTGTCTCAACACGATCGACTTAATTCGCAGTTTTGCGTGTACCCTTCGTAAATTCTCCTCTTATTTCTGAATGGGTTTGACCTTTTTTAGTGTATACGTACAGTAAAACCTGTAAGATCAATTACGGAAAACCGGAAAACAATGAACAGGCCTCTATATACTGAACGACCGAAAAGAAACCGGCGCTTCTCCGGGGCTTTCCATAACTGGCGCGAATACTGAAAGGTTGTTTAAAATTTTTGCTGATTAGTTTTTTATGAAACCGTACGCGACTACACGAGTCGACGTGCTTAAAGTACACACAGTTTATGGCAAATACCCATTATTATGTTATACTTGCCTATTATTAGCATCCGGAGATTCCGATGCTTCAGAAGCTTCGCTCTGGACAAATGGCGCAATGTCTATGGCTCCCGCAGCGGGCGACGCTCCTTTACTGGCTTCTACCGACAAATATTTTATTCATCGAACAATTACGGTATAATTATGCTGCACCACTAGCAACTTGTTTCATCAGAAAAAAAGTAGCAATAATAAAATAATTAGAATAAATAATAAAACAGCACCAGTAAACTAATAAAATAAAAAGTAGCAATAATGCCACAGATCGATGTTATAAAAGTGTAACTTTTTGTATATACAGTACTCGTATGAGAAAATCGATGCCGGGAATGTTTTTGCAATTAAACAGACACGCATATAAACCGCAGCTAGCGATGCAAATACAAACACAGCATTTATAACATAATACTTATTTAATACTGGTACGCCGCTGCATTGGACGATAGGTCATCAGAAAAATTAATAGGATGCAGCTTACTGTTCGTTGCAGCTCCATATACAGTTACGGAGAGCAGAGCGACGAACAGCATGCAGATTACCAACGAACGCCCGCTGAAGATCATCCTGAAGATGCAGAATAATTATTATGAAATAAAAGGATGTTCGAATTTGTATCTTAATGTGCTACGATAGGTGAACTTTATTACAAGGCAGAAGTTATCCCGAAAATTAAATGTAAAGTGCAAACGGCCGGAGAAGAGTACAAACGACCTACTCGTAGGTAAAAATTCTCTGGATTTTAAGAACGAAATTATTGATGCGTCGCTGGTAGCCCAAAAGTGCTGATTTGTCTGGCCCGATCAGACTTTAGACAATTAAAAAGCTATATAATGCTGCAAAATGCAAATTAACCGGTTTTGCCCAGGCACGGGTATAAGAAGTTCGTATGACTGGCTAATTAACTGCATGCAGCTGAACTCTCCTGCTAAATGTATCGCTATATGGATTCCGAGAAGTCCGACTACAACCCTGGAAAATCATATTCATTAATCGTTATCGAGCAAACAGGTTTCTCCGCATAAATTAAAATTCCAGAGTTGTTTGATAAATATTTGTGTTGACTGCGCATCATCAAATTTTATTAACAGTTTCTGAATTTAATGATCGATGTCGCGTACAAGTGCAATGGCAAAGAAAACCACTTCCGGTCTAGCAGACACATGGGCGGTTGCCTGCACGGCAGCAGCAACAAGTTAGCCTGCAAAGTGCCAGCTCGGGGCGGTAGCGCCAAATGTCTCAGCTTCGCGACTGTGAAGTGTACTGTTTTTCGGTTTTTCAGTTTTTCTTTGCAGTTGGTGAATATACTGTAGATATTTTGCGACATCTTGTTTCAGTTTATCTTTTGCATTCTGCTAGCGAGATATCTGTGATTTGTCGAGATGCTGTACTTGATCGGACTGGGTCTGGGCGATGTGGAGGACATTGGAGTGCGGGGACTGCGTATCGCGCGACAGGCTGTGCGCGTGTATTTCGAAATGTACACGGCGATTCTCGACGGTCCCGACAACGGGATCCCCGCACTGGTACTACCTGGATAGCGCGTCTCCTCGTTGTCTGATACCATGCCTGTGCAGCCCTGTGTTTGTTTCTTCAGGAGAAACTCCTGGAACGCAGCGTGATACCCGCGGATCGCGAAACGCTGGAGGAAAAGGCAGGTAGGTATGTTTTTCGCCGTTTCTGAGGTTTCCGTTTCTCGGTTCTTTGAATCTTTTTGCAATGTTCCCTGGCTTCCTCATATTTTTTGGTTGTGTGTATCATTTTTATAATTTTGTATGGATATTTTTCTTATTTTTACATTGGTAATTATTTATGCAGTTTTACTATTTTCTTATTAACAGTGTTTACTGTTTAGAGTGATTTCCAGATCTACAAATGAAATATTAATTTGTTAAATTAATTCTTGAATTGTTATTAATTTGTTTTAAATTAATTAATAATTAATTAAAAATTAAGAATTAATTAATTTAAAATATTTTACAAATAAATTCCTAAAAGAACCAGAAATAATTTTGTTATATTAATTATTAAAAATATTTCTGGTTCTTTTAGGAATTTATTTGTAGGATATTTTAAAATTTCCGGTCGATAAGATATTATTTAGGTATGATTTACGAATTTTTAGTTTGTTATTGCATTAGCGGTTAATTCAATATTTTTAGAAGAAATTGTTTCCAATTTTAGTATGAATATTTAGCTGGAAACTCACTAGGATGATTTTTACCAGTTAATTTCGGTGCGGTTAGATTAAGGGCTTCGGGAACGGACAGGAAAGAATCTTCCTATTAAAGCAGTTTTCTTTTTGCTTTGACAGATGACATCCTGGATGGAGCGGATAAGGACGACGTGGTTGTTCTGGTTGTCGGAGATCCTATGGCGTAAGTGCATGCAGTTGCAGTTTTCTTTCCGGATGGGTCGTTTGACGCTGGAGAAGTTTTATCGTTTGCCTTTTTTATTGATCTTATTTTTAATTTTGCCTGTGGTTTTGAATTTTAATCTTTGTGTTTTAATTTATTTGAAATATTAATTTTGTTCCTTAATTTTGTGTTGATTTTTAAATCGTAATTGTGCCATTCTTCATCTTGACCAGTGACAATGCTGAGGGTGGTGTTATCGTAGTACAACGGCTGTTCTGGTCAGGTCCTCTTTAATATCCAGTCCCCGCCAGTGTGTGTTGTCGATTTGTTATATCGGAAAACAATTTTTACGTACTTGAATAATTTTGTTCAAAGGCAGTTGTAGAGTTAACTAATGCAAGTTTCATAAATACGTATTTATTTACTTGGGCATTTGTTTAGATAACTTTTTATTCCTTGATTTATTTTTTATTCCGTTTTATTGTTTTACCCTTTCATTTGTTAGTGTATTCTATTATTTTATCGCTGTTATTTTAATTTTAATTGTATTTTACTATTTCGGTCCTGCATCGGTGTGTTGTGCAGTGCCACGACGCATTCCGACCTGATACTGCGTGCGAAAACCAAGAATATTCCGGTGAAAATCATCCATAATTCGTCCATTATCAGCGCAGTCGGCGCGACGGGTCTGCAGGTTAGAATTTGCCTGTTTTTGCTTGTCCTATTCCTGCTTTCGGTGTTCACGGTTTTTCTATTTACCTATCCCGTCTGTTAACCACCACGGTGAACGCTCTGTATATTTCAGCAACTTGAAGCTCGTTTTTTATTATAATTCTTTTCACAAGTTCTACGCTGAATTTTTTAATTATTATTTGTTAGCTCATGAACATTCCTGTTTAATTGTTTGTGATATTAGAATTTTTCACTAGTTTTCGTGCTTTTCGTTTATTTTATTTATTTATTTAATTTGTTTTATTGATTTATAGTTATTTTTCGCTAAGTGTAAGTATACTTTATAGTGTTTCCGTGTTTCCTATGTTTTGTGATGGTTTGAGCGGAAACCCTGTGAAAAAATCTGGAACCGACAAATTACCGAATTTCTCGATGCAGTTTTGTTCATTACATTCCGCTTTTGATCATTGCATATCATAGTCGATGGAAAAATCAAAACAGTAAGATAATAACTAAAATAATCTAAAATAACTGGAAAAAGAATGACTAAAAAAAGAAGCCGCATAGAAAATAAATATGATAAATAAAAAAGTACATAATAAAGTAAAAAAAATCAAATAAATAAAATGGTAAATAAACAAATCAGTTTAATAACGAAAGATCGTCGATGCCTTAGGTGTATCGTTTCGGTATCGTGGTGTCGATTGTCTTCTGGACGGAGACATGGAAACCGCGCAGTTTTGCCCAGCATATTTCCCAGAATCTTCAACGCGGACTGCATACGCTCTGCCTGCTGGGTACGGATAATTCTTTTTAAGGCACCTCTTGTTTTCTATTTTTCGCCCGTAATAATTTGCTCAATTAAATTTTTTTTCCATTTACAGATTTTAATTGCATAACCGGGTGTATTCGTACTCACGGAATGGCTTTTCTGTTGCAGACATTCGCGTCAAAGAACCCGACATGCAAGCGTTAATAAGGTAAGAAATATACCATTATATTTTCAGAAAATACTATTGTTTGCTTTTACATATTTACCGGCAATTGTTTTATTGGGAGCGATTTTTTTTCCTCTCAGTGAAGATAAATCGTGTGCAATTCTACTAGTTATTCTATAACTATTGTCACGTGAGGTTTGTCATTTGCCTGGTTAAATTTACTGTAAAAATAATTATTTTTTGATTTTCTGGAAAAAGGAAATTGGTTGGTAACTTAATGTAACCGTTGTAAAATCTGTAGGATAATAATATATTAATTGCTTTAATAGCAACTTTTTATTATTCATAATTTTTTAATTTAATAGCATTTTGTGCGTGCAGTTGTGCACCTACGCCAGTGTACTATTATTCTGGCATTTTTATTTTTTTAATTCTTGGTACTTCCAGTATTGTGAGTAACTTTGATTTCTTTGATGTACCTTACTTACAATTTAATTAAATTTTGTTTAAATCAAGTTGATCGTTGTGCGAGTTTTACGATTGCAATTTTTTGCCGATTGAAGCCCTATCAGCCACATTTATTGTCGATTAAAATCATTGTGAAAATGATCGTTAATCAATATTTTTCTGGTTTTGTGGAGGATCACTGTCATGCACTACTTTGTAATTGATTTCTAAAATTATCCGTTGAACTGGCTGCATTGTGCTCCTGTTCTGCAATATTAATAATAATGATAATATTCGTTTTAATATTTCAGTATGTTTTACTTTATTATTTTGTGCATGCATTTGTGCATTTATGCCAGTTTTGAATTGTTTCACTATGTTTTTACAATGTTAATATCTACAATGGACTTCAAACTTTTGTTACATTCGGTCCGGGACCGAATGACCAATAGAAATAAATGGCCAAGACCAAATGACCAATAAACTGGAAACGCGCAGTAATTGAACACTTGCTGTTTGCGCATTTTCCAACGAAAACCATCCACCGATATCTCAAACGAAAGAGAAAAAAATTTTATGAATTTTGATACGAAACAAGTTAGTTTTTATGGGATCTGACAGAAAAGCGACGCATCTAAAGTTTCTCGTAGACAGAGCATACAGTACGTTTTCTGTGTGAAAACTGAAACCAAACCGTGGATTCAAATGCTATGCTTTGTGTACGAGAAACTTTAGATGCGTCGATTTTCTGTCAGATCACATAAAAGCTAACTTGTTTGGTATCAAAATTCATAAAATTTTTTTCTCTTTCGTTTGAGATATTGGTGGATGGTTTTTGTTGGGAAATGCGTGAGGTGCAAGTGTTTGAACTCAACAGGCCGATGACCAGCCCGGAATTTGGCTGATTGAGTACAGATAAATAGCTGGTTGCGCGCGTTTTGTGAGTGTAACAAAATTTTGAAGTCCATTGTAGAATTACGTGTTAATTTTTAAAATTAAAATTAATAAAATTCTTTTCCCCGATTAATAAATTAATTTAATTAATAAATTAATTTAATTAAATTAATTTATTTAATAAATTAATTAAATTCTTTTCCCCGATGTCGACCGAATAATTGTACGAGGGAATTTTGCCGGATTAAACATCTCTCAGTCACATTGATTTATCGTGCATTGTAGAGGCCGGCGCGTCTACGAAGCCCCGCGTTTCATGACAGTGGCCCAAGCGGCCAGCCAACTCCTGGAGATTGTCCGCCATCCGGACCCGTCCACTGACACGGAGCCCCCGGTGGCCTTCACCGCGGACACGCCCTGTGTGGGAATTGCCCGGCTGGGCCTTCAAACGGAGCGGATGGTGGCCGGCCGCCTGCGGGATCTGGCCGAGGTGGATCTCGGCGGGCCGCTGCATTCCCTCATCGTCTGTGGTCAGCTGCATCCACTGGAGGTGGAGTTTCTGCGGACGTTTGCCTTGAATGATTTCTTGGATAGTGTGCCGACGGGATAATCGGTGATGAGGAAATATTGATTGCTGTTTTTATTTGTTGGTATTTTTTACTTGTGGATAGTCCGGTTGGCTAATTTTGTCGTGCAAAAAAATTCCAGATAAAAAATAAAATGTTTTACTTAATGGAAACAAAAAGTAATGAATACTTAAAAAGAACAGAAGTAAAAACAATGATTAATAGTTCCCCGACAGGAAACAATAGATCAGTTTATTTTGCCTTTAGAATAAAACTTTTATGAATAAAAAACTCTTAATTTTAATTCGACATTTTTATCGGTTACATCAAGGACTGCGTTTAATAAAATAATGATTAATAGTACAATCTTGAATGTTAAGAAAGGAGTAGAAATGGAAGAAAAAATTGTTAATTAATTCTGTAGCTTATTGATTAAAGTTCCTAGAAAAAGAATTACTATTCTTAAGTTATTGTTCTTTACTGTTATTATTAAGTTATAAATTTATTATTCCTTTAGAAATAAAACTCTTAGCCGTACAATAAGAATAGAACTCCAAATTTAAATTCGTTATTTTTGTCGGTTCCATGAAGTGTAAATGCGGTATATTTGCAATTTTAATCTTTTTTAATACTTTAAAAAACGAGACACAGTGTGCTTCATTCGTAAAGTAATAAAACCATTTTGCAGTTAAAGTTAGGTTCAGATGCGTTTTGCAAGTTCAGTAATAAACTAAACAGTTGTCCGCGTCGGTATGTCGCGCAACAGAATTCTAGAGAGTTCTCGGCATAGTCGTGTATATGGCACAAAATTAAGCGAAAACGCCACACAGTTTTGAAAATTATCACAGTTCACCAACGCTCCTTAAATGAAACGAGTAAGGCTTTGTAAGATGACAGTGGCAACCGGCACCATCACGGCAAGGATAACCGGCGTCCCGGTCCGTAGCGATGGACTGTTGTTACATAAATTCCCGGTACACCTGCAAACACGATCTTCATAAAGTGTGTGCGTGCGAAATTCGAAGAAGTCTGGTCCTGCATGTAGTGCGCAAAGAAACTTTGTTTTACTGTTGGTTTTCGAACTTTCTGGATCTTTTTCACCGTAACTCCCCAACCGGAAGTTGAGCCTACAGACTGCTTTCGCTCCATTACATATGTACAAGTTCCTCAGGCTACAATCTGTAGTAAAATTAAATTATTTATTAATATTAGTTATTATTTTTATTAATTAGTTATTATTATTAAATTACTTAAATTGTTATTATTATTACTATTAAATTAATATTAAAAATTATCTGTTATGCCTAAAACGTGTGTGTACACGTGTTTGTACACTAGAAACTTCGTATACTGCCGGGTCACGAGAGAGAATGCGTTTCCGTATGTTTCTGAATTTGACCGGTTACCGAAGAAATAAACCTGTTGTACCGGCATCTGTTAATGTAGATTCGCTGGTGAAACTGCTTACTGTACAGTTACGACTAAAACCCGATTTAACAGGGCATACACACTACGTCTTTATTAAAATCCCGGGACCGCATAGCTAAAACAGTAATATCATCGCATAATTATTTACATCCCAGACGCGTTTCTTACCAGCAGGATTTCTGCTTGAGGTGGATCGCAGTCTCCTCCTGATCCTGGCAGGTTTCTCCGCGCAGACAAGTACCCATCGCATTGCAGCCGGAATCACAGGCGCGCATCGTGACGTTGGTGCCTGTTAGTTGTTAACGCAAATGACAAATCACCGCAGACTATCAAGACTGATATGATATATGGACTGCTGGCTAATATTACGCTCATACGCAATAACAGCAGGACCGTGGCACTGACCTTCGATTTCGGTTTTGATGCAGAACCGCACGGTGTTATAGCTGTCATCGGTCGCCGGGCACTCTTGCGAGTAGGCACTGTCCATATTGTCGGCGCTGCATCCGCTCTGCGCCGAGGTACACACGTAGCAGCGTAAAGCGTTGAGTGACCCTACAAGCAAAGATAGGAACTGTTCGATCGTCCATTTTAACACGTGAACACGAAAAACGTACACAGGATTTAACACTTGTAATAAATCAAGAACGCTTCATTCACATTATTTTACAGGTCAATGGACAATTTTCAGTCTTAATGATCGCGGCCTTTATTTGGTACATGTATCAGTACAGCGATCGATGATGTCACACTAATAATTTTTAGGCCTTAATTGTACTGTGGGATTCTGATAATACAGCATGATAAATAACGAGTATGATTGACTTCCAGTGCCAGCTTATCAGATTTTCTCATTAGCAGGTCTCATTAACAGGATACTTTTAGAAGTTTGTTCATGCGTTCTGAACGGTTAATAAACAAGTGCAACGTGTACTTACCAGCGGCACCCAGGATCAGAGCAACACAAAAAATAATCGAGTTCCTCATTCTCTGTGCAGTAATGCAGATACCTAAACGGAGTACGAAATTCGGCGGGTAACACGTTTCGTAATAAATAATTACTGTAACAGAATCACTGATCACGCTAGCACAACTAATTTGATGCGCGCACCGAAGGCCGGAATATCGTGAAATCACCACACTTATCAGTCAAAAGAAAATTTCTTCTGACTGCATATATACTTGTAGCATGTGTTTGTTATCTGGTCAATTGTCAGTCTGGCTGCTGATAAGCAATACAATTCTGTACTGTTTAACCGTCCTGCACATACTACAAACAAACAATGCACTGCCGAAGATACGTAAACAATTGTACAGACGCATTGAGGTAAATGAAGATGCAGATGACTCAGGAAAATGGAAAATTTTCTTTAGTGTACAAGCTTGTCCGGTAATTTCTGACGAATCAATACAGCGATTTACACAAATTTGCGTGTTACGCCAAACTTCACACTACGGCGCGCCACGCCACACTGTTTAAACACGTAACTTGCATTTGACTGGCTGGTGGCTTGGTACACGCCATACAATTGTATGAGGATAATAGTAACTGCCTGGCGGAAGGTGGCTAGAAAATGGTCGGTGCAGTAAGCGACAATCTGCCTGCGGAGCGCATTTTAGGAAATTTGATAAACGTAGTGCAGTGGCCCTCGTTATAAGCGCAAATTTCGCGCTAGCTGTACCTTTACGTAGGAAATTACCGGACAAGCTTGTAAGTGGTCTACCCATATCATGCGGCTTTATGCCGAACACGTTGCTTATAGTTATGCCTATAATATTACAAACAGTTGCAAAATGGAAATCCGCACAGCGGTTTCGGTATTACCGGTACTGTTTATATACCGGTACGGTTGATATATAAAACACTAAAAACAGCAATAATAATACCGAATTTCGGTAATACCGAAACCGCTGTGCGGATTTCCATTTCACAACTATCCGAATGCTACGAAGTACTAGTACAGTATTAGTCACTGATCAGTTCTCTCGTACCAGTGAATACCGTATTTATTGTATACTGAATGAACAGCAATAAATGCAAAATAAATCAACAGCTAAAAGCATGCATTCCATCACTGAAATGCTGTACAGTTAGAAAGTTTGCTTGAAGATCGTTTTTAACCCGAATCAGGTTTCGACCCTTTTTTCAAAGGTCACAAAACAATGCAAAAATATTTGGAAGCGTGCGAAAACTTTCGTTTTCGAAAAGGAACGAGAATTTAAAACCATGTACCGGCACATGTCCCTGAGGAAGCCGATCAGATTTGCATCATCAGCGACATCTAGTTGAAGGTCCACTTGCCACTTGCCGGTACGAGATCGCAGATGCACGCTAGGGTTATCAAAATTTGCGTAACTACGTGTATGTTATGCTTCTACAGAGTAGAGATCCAGACTTCCAGTAAACAGCATTAATATTATTAATTTTTGTTATACTGTACCGGTAATACGCGTGTGGAGGCAGTATTTATCAAGCAATGCAGCTCAGTTTGCAAAGTAGGGGGGGATCCATAAATTACGTACGCAGCGAACCAGGGAGGGACGGGTCCAAAAAATGTGACAAGCTGTGACGGCCCCGGCGAACCCAGGGGGGAGGGGGCGATCAGCTCTTGTATTACGATTGAGCGAACCGGGGGGGAGGGGTCCAGAAAACGTGACGGACCGCTACGAAGGGGGAGGGAGGGGTGAAAAAACCGTGGTTTTCTGCGTACGTAATTTATGGATGCCCCCTAGGTGTGCGAAGCTATAGCAGCGTCCAAGTTGCGGTAGCTCGAACGTTTTTCGTTCCGAAGACACTTATACTGTACAGCTGCCGGGCTGTATATTGTTCACCAAATGCTGTAGCGTGCGCCTGATGAGTGCCCATGAGGAACTATGGAATTAGGCGTGCCGTTATCGTAGCACTATAATCCTTATTATGTTTTTCGCTTCCCAATAATTTGCTGACAGACAGACAAATCAAATGCCGGCAGTTCGCTTTTCGGCGGATTTCGCTGACCGACATGCTGTCAAAGCTGTTTTATTATTTTGGTCAATAGTGGGCTTAGTTTCGTGAGAAAACCAAGAGGGACGATGGTCGGCGATCAGCAGATTGTTGTTCAGAGACTTGCCGGTTCTTCGAGTTGTCGTTTCTAACGCGGCGGCGGGCAAACGTTTTGCAAGCCTTCATGACTTATCAAAGAATTATTCAGCAAATTATCAGACAACAGAATAGTGGCCAGCAAATGTTAATTAGGTCCTTCGTTTGGCAGGAAACCGGCAGATTCTCATTCCTACTCGTGGCGAGAACTGTGACGGATGTGTTTTGATGGCACACTTAGAGAGTTCGGGACCGCAGTGTGGAAACTGGTAGCAATTATCCTGAAACTGAAGGGAGGTACACCCGAAAAGAAAGAGAGAGAGAGAAGACAGGGTGTAGAAAATCTGGATGAAATGAAATGAAGTGAACCAGTTCATTTCATGGTTTTCCGCACTGTATCTTTTCGTTAGAGAAACTAAAGGTGTACCAGTTGGAGACCTTAAATGACTGCCTACACACTCCACGGCAACAATGACCCGAAGATTCCGTCATATGGAGAGCGTTATCTGAAATAATGCGAGATTGTCCCATTGTCGGCACCGCGACATTTCGCCGCGGACAACTAGTCGCAGGACTTTTGGTCACAGACATTTCACCGCCAGGCAATCTCGCCATGCGACGTTTCGTCGCAGGACATCCCGTCGGTAGGACTTTACGCCGCGAGACTTTCGGTCGCATGGCTGTTTCGACGCGAGGAAATTTCGTCTCAAGGATATCTCGACGAAGCGACATTTCGCCTATCAGATAAATGATTTGATAGGCTAAATACAACAGTCAGAAAAAAACCTAAAAAACCCAAGAAACCTGAGGAACGTAAGAAACCTAAGGAACCTAAGAAAACTAGGAAACCTAAGAAACCTGAGAAACCTGAGAAACCTAAGAAATCTAAGAAAGCTAAAAAAAGACCTAAGAAAGTCTAAAAAAGACTAACAAAACCTAAGAAAACCTAAGAGCAACCTACAAAAACTGAAATGACAATAGAATTAAGCGCGGTGAACTCTTCTGTGGCGATAAGTCGCATCGTTCGAAAAGTCCCAAGACGAATTGTCCGCGACCAGACGCCTTGCGTCGAAATGTCGCAAAGGGAAAATGTCTCAAAGCATAATGTCCCTAACCGAAGTGTCCCAGCGTCCGAATGTCCGGCGGCGAAATGTCTTCGCGGCGAAAAGTCACGCGTCGAGTTTGAGAGCGGCGAAATGTCACACTCCCAAATGTCCGGGTACGCTGTTGGATCGTCCGTTGCAACGGCGCATCGGTTATTATCCTCGCGAAACGATCATCGTATCACTGTGGGAAGTATCAGTTTTAAACTGATACTTCCCACAGTGATACGATGATCGTTTCGCGATGATCGTGCCGCGCATCACTGTTGATCATAAACTGACAGTTTATGATCAACAGTGATGCGCGGCACTGCAAGAAGTTGCCAAGCTTAATGGTGTTATTTTCAAGCAAACACAGCGACCCCCGAACATTTGTGCTTGCCCACCACACTCCGCACGATGTACCGTACAGACTGCATTGAAAAAGCATGGATCATCGTACGGATCTCATGAAACATTTGCTTCGGCCCATGTATTGCAAGCAGAGCAAACCCAAGTACACAAGATTAGACATCCGTGAAGTCTTGATATACAAAATAGGAGAGAGCTAATTTGATATTGTAAAGGAAAATTTTTATCATTTCCGTAAGACATCGCGTTATCAAGGAACATTTTGATAAAATATATGCTCACTAGAGTGGGACGGAGAGCACTGTTTCTCAATTGTTCTAATGTAGAACCATCACCCAGGTACACCGGCTGTTAGCGTGATCCGGAGTAGCATGCAGCACAGCAGCTGGCGCGCCCACCTGGCTGTATCGACCGGGTACTCATATACTCACAGGTTAGAGCCGCGTCGCCAGTAGTGCGAATATCCGGCAGCACAACAACCGCACGCTGCGTCCTTCGTATGATACAGAGTACAGGTACGACAATATTCCCTTTACGACGCATGTGAGACAGTGAAAGTCAAAGCGACACAAACGATTTTGGGCTTAAAACCTGAGAATCGGCCAGCCGGCCTGTGGCTGAAAGTTTTAATGTAAAAGATCAACCAGCATTAAGTATCAGGAACGCATCCAATGCGCATAAATTGCCAAAATTGCCAGGATCGGGTTTAAGCAAGCGTTTATTTGTCCATAAGCTTTGAGACGAAGCAGCTGTTTAACCCGGATTAGTACTACACTGTATGACACAAAAACCGGTTTTCGAGTAAAGGGACCAAAAACCAACGCCTGTTTGCGTAATATGCATCTACTTATTTTACTCCTACGTTCTACTTCGCAAAAACCGATTTTCTAGTGACAACTGTATAACACCGGGTCTTTTCGAGGACCAAAGTGTGCTTCGACATTGGCCAGTTGGCCCATTGAGCCAATAGTTCGACGGAAAGAAAATAATGTCCTACGCTGTATTCTAACTGGCCTATTGCGCCGGTATAACCGGCATCCGTTGGCATTGGATAATCCGCTACACTGGAGCACTCTCCCCATCCGATATGTATCGACATCCAACCGGCAGGTGCGCTCTCGTTGCAGCAGGTGCGAACACGAGCGCAGTCTACGTGCAACCTACTGCATATCTGTGCGGCGATATTGATCCACGCTCATGTGGTGTTTGTTCAATATTTTTTCCCTTTTTGACCGCGAGAATGGAGAGGCTTGTTCGCTGGAGCTTAATGGATTGTTATTATACGGAGTATATACGGCCTGAGGTTGCTCGGTGAGGTGCGCAGGATTATTTTATAAGTGCGCGCCAATTAAAGAAGGATTTCACGGTGTTGTTGGGGGAAAATCAGCGATCCATTTATCTTGCCATGGTTTTCATCGTGGTGTTGTATTGAAGGCAGCAGTAGTATTTTCAGGTAGGTGCGGCGTTTGCTGTTGGAACCGTTTTTTTTGCGTAATAATTGATTTGTTGACTTTAGCGTATCGTATTGCGGTTGCTCATTTTATATCATGCTTGTATTACTAGTATTCCTTTTCCACATAAAAACGCAGTTTCTAAAAACTTTTTACTTAATGTATCTATCGCACTTAACAAATACAATAATTACAAGCTGTTAATGTTTGGACTGGAGATAATTTACGCAAAAACAAACCTTAGGTTTTGCTTTTCCAGAGTCAATTATGGTTCGACGGCAAGAAAATTGCCAGTAAAATGTAGTAGACGGTTTTCTTTCAGCATCGTTTTACATTCTGATTAAAGTGCAATAAGAACGGTGAGAATCAATTACATGGTCGCCTTAAGCCTCCCGGTACCGCGCTAATGATTTTCTCCCTCTCATACAGCATTAGATAATCGTGTCCTTCTTTGCGCATCGCAGTTTCGTGGAGACTTAATTCTAGAAGAAATGTGGGATTTTAGCAATTACTTTTGCCCAACGTATTATTTTGTTTTTCAGCATTGATCAGTGATGTAAAATGCATTTTACAAGCGGTCGCAATTTTGGCGTTCTGTTTTTGAACCTAATTTCTTTGAATCCGGTACATTATTTGTAGAACCCAAGCATTTAGATAAACTGCATATTTATCAGGGCGTGACAGGTGCTTCCACTGCGCCGCGTCTCCCTGATTAAACCACCGCAACCAGCCAGTGGCGCATTATTTTTGCGCACGCTTCGATCGCTGCCACCACGGTCTCTCCATTCGTTCTTCTCCTTGATTACCCGCTAATCGACCACTTTAGCTGCTGCGCGTCCACCGAAGCACTACCCTTCATTTTCTCCTGCAAAAGAGGCCTTGATTAATTTATTTATGTGTATGTATACCCTGGCATCTATACCCGGCACCGGCAAACCAAGGTTGCCGGATCCAGATCGATAGCAACCAAGTTGCGTATATTAAAGTTGCTGTGGTTAAAACGCTCCGCGGTGAATTCCCAGCGCCGTCAGGTGCGCTAAGACAACGATCGTATCCATCGCCGTGCTTTGGCGGCAAAAACAGAGCATTGCATTTTTTATGCGAATGACTGAAGAGGGGCTCATAAATTATTTTATAGAGTACCGCCGCGTTGGTAAACACTATGAGGTTGAACTGTGTTGCCGGGTTTAGGCCGGGTGACGTGCGTCGGGAATGGGATTATGAAAGCGGATATGGCGTGATGGGAATAATACGCCAGGCTGCAACGAGCGCGGGACGTTGATTATCTTTGGACGAGACACACACCAGCACACTGCATAAACACTACACACCATGGATCCCTTTACGATCGCCTGCCAGCAGGGCGACATGGCCACGCTGGAGAACATACTCAACACGGCGGTAAGTTGTTGCGTTGGTGTTGGTGGAAACCAAAATCCCCGTGACTATAAATACATTGAGAACAATACAGGGCAGATTGCTGACGTCATCGTCGACTAGATCTGAACGAGACTGCCGCATTTGGCTGCACATTAAAATCCTGATCAGGATTTTCGTATGGCGATATGTGCCAACAGCTTGGAAATGAAATCATATTTAGACGCATTATTGCGGTATTATACAACATTACGCTCGACCTTCTTCGTCACATTCCTTTAAAAATTCTAGCAATATATTCTAGCAGTATACATTTAATCAAAATACAAAGTAAAAATTATATAGTAATATTTTAGTAAATTAACAAAATATTTAATTAATAATAATTTATAAAATTTATATTTGTTTTTTTACCGTATTTCTTACAGTTTTCGTTAAAATATGGATAACATAATGTAAAGGTAATTACGAGTTATCGAATTATTAAACAAGTTATTCGTTGCGGTGCTAATGAGCAATCAGCCATGATTCGTGGATGAAAAACCAGGTTTTAATGGCAGTAATTATTTATACCGTATACGTACATTTCGAATTTTCGGTTTACTCCCGTCATCAATAGTAAAGAATTTAACGCACGCATGCGTAAGCAGTTATATGCTGTGACGAGTAGGTGGATTCATTTCTCAAGGTCGCCATGTCGATAAATTGAAAAGAATTACCAGCTTCTACATACATTATTAATATTTTTAATCAAGGAAATTGCTAATATTATCCAACTTAAGCGCGTGTTTTCACTTATTATGCTACTTATATCATTATTTTTAGGTATAAAAAATTATATAAAGCGCTTTTTTATAAAAAAAATTATATAAAGCGCTAGTACAATTAGCGCTTTTAGTAGGACCTCGGTGAAACAAATCCAAAATGTATTTCTGTGTATGTTTTTTTTGCAGACGGCATGCGAAACGATCAAGAAACCGGACCGCAGCGGACGGACGTGTCTACACTACTGTGCGGAATATGCCCGGTTGGAATGCGCCGACTACCTCATTACCTTCCTAGGTGACCGGGAATCCGGCAGCGTCCAGGCGTTCCTGGACCACCAGGACAACGAGGGCTTCACGGCGCTAATTATCGCCGTGATCAACGGCCACCGGGCCATGGTGCGCAGCCTGACCGCCAAGGGCGCTAATGTCAATCTGCACGACAAAGAACGCCATACTGCCGTGCACTGGGCCACAGGTATGGATGCAAAATTCATCACGGTTAAGTAAGCAAATATATTTCGCCAATTTCAGAAAACCTATATATGATAAAAAATCCTACTATATATCAGGACTTTGTTAGTTCTGTATTAAATCAGATTTCGATTCATACGGTACAAAGGACGACGATTCGATTCATACAATTTACTGATGATTTACTCATCATATCCCGTAAATAAAAAATAAAAGTAATACGGATTCATGTTATCGTAATATGTACGTAAGAGTATGTAAGAATTAATGAATTCTAAAAAATTAATTCGGGATTAGAATATAACGAAAAAGCAATCAGGATAATTAACGTGCAAAGCAATTTAGATAAATCATTGTCAACTAATATTATCTGTAAACTGTATGTCTACCTTTACTTGAAATTAGAAAGTGAATTCAGCGGTAAAGTGCATTTTCAAATACGTACCGGCTTTTATTCTTACGCCGTGACTCGCGCCTAACGAACCCTATTCGGTACAATTTTCTCACCTGTGTTTTTGTAACCGGCATCTTAACGCAATCCGGTTTTTTCTCCCTTTCCGCACGGATATGTACAGTGTGCATGCAGCTGGAGTGTTTGGATGAGTTGCTGAATGGGTCGGCGGAAGCGTCGTTAGCGGATATCCACGGCGCCTATCCGCTGCATTATGCCGCTCAAATGAGCGCTGCCGGCAAGAGCACCGCGGCCGATCCCGCTCCGTCGTCCGAGCCGAACAATACCACCAACGGATCCGCATCTGCCGCTCCGGGGCTGGCATTCCTGCGCCGGCTAATTGGGGCCGGTGTGGCCGTGGATGCGCTCGATCAGGATAAACGCACACCGCTCCTCTGGGCGGCCAGTTCCGGTAAGACGGAAGCTAAATATCTGTACTCTGTATTAAGCAACTACAGCCAAGATGTACAACATAATTATCGCACCAGATAAAACTCCTCTAAGAAGCGTTAAGTGTTTGCCTATGAGATATAATAATTGCCATTTATTTATTAATCTCGTCTATATATCAAATTCTATATAGGCCAGTCCCGCCAATTAAAACGCGTAATCACAATAAATTTAATTACACCTTCAACAAAATTTATACCCTAACCAAATAATTTTATTATTGATTTAAATTTGTCAAAGCCTAGTTAGACCATCGGCATCAACCTTACCGATATTTTGTAGTGTAATGGCTCCAAACTACCGGCAGGCAAATATGAGCATAGAGTGAAAGCCAGTTTGTTGCAAACCGTTGAAAATTTGAGTAAAATTTTGCTTCCACATCGATGGGTTGATTTTTTCGGCTAGTTTCTCAGCAATACTGGAAGCTAGTAACCAATTTTTGGCAGCATATCGTGCGGTACTTGGAACCCTCTTCACGGCTTAAGTGCGCTCATATTACCGTTCGAAGTTCAATTCTGCTTGCAAAAAATAATAATAAAGCCACTATTTACAATATAAAACATATTAATAGAAAACTGGATCGACAATTTGCAAAAGGTCGATTAAAAGCAATTTTTTTCCCTTTTATTTTCCCGGATTATATCCGGTGCCGGCATGCCGATATACAGCGTCAACGGCATTAAATTTTAAAAGACCGCGTCTGCCTCTGTTGAATGGTCTTTCCATTCCCTGTCGGCGCGCATGAATGCCGCATACAAATCATTTATTGTTCTCACCGCGCGCGCTCTTGAATAGGGAACAGCGAGGCGTGTCGTGTGCTGTTCATGGCCGGCAGCAATCCCAACCAGGGCGACAAGGACGGATTGCGCGCCCTGCACTGCGCCGCCAGCCGCGGTCATGTCGACTGCCTCACCGTCCTCCTGCAAGACTGCAACGCCGAGGTGGACGCCCGCGACCGCCACGAGTGTACGGCGCTGATGTATGCCGCCACGCTGGGCTACATCGACTGCATCGTGTGCCTGGCCAAGGCCGGCGCCGATCCCAATCATCGCGATCGCAAAGGTCGCAGGTAAATGTCTGCATCACGTGCTGACCGAATGCGGCTGTATTTTATCGTCTATTAATAACGGGTCTTCGGCTTGCAAATCATTCTCCTGACAGTTATTCATCGAAAATATTATCGATTTATTATCGGTGTGTGGTCTTTATTTCTGGAAGTACAGAGTATATGGTCATGCTCAAGCAGTGCCTGCCGAATTACACAAACTACTGCGCGATTTTCGTTACGCCATTTTTAAATGGGTCAATTAAAACATATTAACTAATTTCTGCATAATTAAATTTCTGCATTTATAAAATAAACTAAAATTAGTTACCTGATTTTAAAAGTTATTATAAAAAGACTTTTTATTTGTTCTTATGCTTCACTTGGAAAATTCAAGTTAGTATTAAAAAATATTTTGTACGGGACGAGGTGGCTTTCGTTTACAAATTTTTGCGATACTTAAGACAGAATGAATTAATTCCCCATTTTTAGAATTATTTAACTATAACATTATTAAATTAATGAATTTCTGAGATCAGAAATTATTAAAACTATTGTAGAATGTATTTATTCTTAGACTTTCCCTTAAAACTAAATCAGTCATAAGACCGATTTTACGGGTAGGAGAAGCAAAGAGAGCCACACAAAGGATACTGTACAGATAGCAGAAACTTTGTAGCGCGTATTAACATTACTAGTTACTACAGTATTTGTTTATGGAAAGCGCTGAATATAACGCTAGAATTTTCCTGAATATTACCGAAAACTAACTGGATGATTTTTCATTGATAGTGCCGCTCATTTGGCTGCATCAAAAGGTAAAAATCTGATCCATATTTTCTCACACATCCCTGCACACACACATATTCGCCGGCTAATCGATCGATGCCGGCTGTTAAAGGTCAGACGGAGAGCATAATCAAACTGGAGGATCTGGGCGCTGATATCTGGTTACGCAATCATCGCGGGGATCTGCCGCTGCATGAGGCCGCGCAGGCCGGTTATGTCGGTGAGCGACGTCGCGGAAGCAGCAGCACCAGTAATCAATGATTAACGCGCTATTGGGTTTGTGTGACAGGCGTGATGGACTTTCTGTTGTCGCGCAAGCCGACGGCGATTAATACGTGTAATCGCGACGGACGCTCCTGTCTGCACATTGCGGCTATGACCAAGGATATGGCCCTGTGCCGGTTCCTGGTGGAGAATCGCATCAACGTAAATCTGATTATGCACAATTCCAAGGTACGCAAATCATGCGCGGCGCCGTGAACTTTTTCCCAGATTCTGTATTCGTCGTTCGACACATTTTGCAGAGAGACAAGAATTACTAATTTTGCAAAGATAATATGCAGCTGCAATTTTTTCAGGGGTGCCCTTTTCTTAAAAAAAGGAATAATTTTTTTTATAAAATGTATATTTTACACAAAAACGTTTTACATACAAAATGCATAATTTTGCATAAAATTATAAAATTTTACATAAATTAAACATTTTTTATACAATGCTTATTTTACATAAAATTACTCAAGATCAGAGTTAAGAAATGTGATGAGTATTTTAGCATTTACGACATAATGAAATACAGAATGGTTAAATACTGCATTAGAGTAAATAGCTTTATGGTTACATCATCGTGACCTTTAATATCGTTGCGATAAAATACGGTGCCGTTTCCAGTGTGTTGCATTAAGCTTTCTTAAAACTTTTATACTGTCACACGTGAGAATCGTTAAAAAAACTCCCGGTGAACCCGGAGCTTGACCGCGTCAGTAGAATATTCAAAACTTAATGGACCTGAAGCACAACATTGGCGGGAACATGTGTTGATCGCATTATTAACTTCCCCGAAAAGCTTTCGTTTACCTGGAAGACGCTTCCGGGCGGGATTTAATTTCCCTTCGATCATTACCGGGCTCGTAACAGGATGTGTGTGTAAGAGGATGCGTTTCAGCCATATACAATCACGCGATAGTGCAGTAATCATATAGCTGAACACTAAGAAACGGTCAGAGATTACGAAAAACAGCCACATTTTTCTTGTGTATCTGTTATCCATTCAGTGGTTGATGTACCGGTTTTGTTTTATTTTTGGGTATTTAACGTAGTATGCATGTGAAACATTACTAACAGGAGCGACAATTAAGAAATACTTTCAGAGCATTTATACGGTATATGTATGCGGCAGCTATCGACTACATTGTTTGAGGAGACTTTCATACTGAAAATTACCACCTTATTCCGATTTCTTTCTAAAAGTTAACTAACTAACTAACTTAACACGAACGGAGTTGAATTAACCAATTAAATTTACTCCATTTCACGCATACATGTACACAGATGCAGTATTTCACGGCGCTTGATCTGGCCATCGCCAAGGCCAACCCGGAAATGGCCAAATATCTCCGCCTCAACGGCGCCACCGACGCCCAGCGCATCACCCGCAACTCGGCTGCCCGCATTCAGCGCAGCTTCCTCAAGCGGAAGGACGACGGCAGCCGCGGTGTGTCTTCAGAGACCACGCCCATCCCCGATCCTAACGGGATCCTGGAAGAGGCCTTCGAGACCGGCATCCGCTCCATGTCTCAGGACTCCACTCCTTCGCGGCAAGCCAGTCTCCAAGTGCGGGACGACCCCGAGGAAACCGAGTACTCGTCCCTGGAAACCGACCCCACCGGCCAGCCCATCCTTCCACGGGAGATCGCCACCAGCCCGACAATCATCGGCTCGCTGACAGCACAGGAGCGCCGCTCGACCTACGATGATATCATGAACGCGTCGGTGTTGGAAGGGCTCTCGGAAACCCTCCGCGATGACTCCAAACGGGGGTCGCTGACGTCCTCGGGACAGGAGCGGTCCTCCGGCTCCAGTGAGAAGCGCGGGTCGGTCACCTTGTCGGGACAGGAAAGGATCACGGTGACCGAGAAACGGGGCTCGGTAACGTCGTTCACCGGCGGGAAGCGGGGTTCGGTTACCTCCGGGATCACCATGAAACCGGGTGTCATCAGTTCGAAGTTATCATCGCCGCATGTGCCGCTACGACAGACCAGCACCCCGGTCTTTGAGATGTCGACGTTGACGTTGCATAATGACGACACTAGGAAGACCCAATCGGCGCGATCACCGCTGGTAAAATACGAGACCGACTCGGACGATGATTTCAAGCATCCCTCGCTGCGGACGAAGCACGCCGTCAGCCGGGAGGACAGCCCCAGCCCGACGCTGTCGGTGACGGAGATAATTGCCGGACGCGGTTTCACGTAAGTTTCTTTATTAACTGCTACCCGGTGCATAAAATGTAATAATTAATAAAATAGATAGATAAATAATGGAGTTCTAATAGCACCTCCTATTTGCTGTTAAATACTATTTTTAACGGAGCGACCACGGAGACCCAGACAAAATGAATGGCCTTTTCTTGAGCCAAAGTATTTCATCTACTTACAGTAGAAAGCCACTTTTGCGCACGAATTTTGCTCTGGTTGAATATTTAAACATAATAGTAGACCCCGCGCAAATTGCGCGGAATATAGCAGCGATGGATGAATCGTAAATTAAAGCAAAACTCAAAGAGACAGGTACTTACATATCTACATATGCCATATATCTACGCATCTGTATTTCCTTAACTTTTATCAACGAAACGTAAAATTTTCCTTCACAGAGAAATACTTGTGTCAACTTGTGTCAACTTCGTAGTCAGTGTCTAGCTATTTTAAATTACAACCTGTGTGAATATTTTCCCGTCCCGTAGATTGCACAGCTTACAGAAGTGCACTTACACTTGCATTTGCACTTACGGATAGGGTTAGAACTTAGAAGCCTGAGATAATGTGAAAAAACGAAAGTTCTTTCCCTCGAAAACAGCTCCTTTCTCTTCACGTTTGAACTTTACCGGTAGCACCAATTCAGTTTTTCCAGATCATCCATCAAGAGAATTTATTCAGTTATAAAGTAGCAGCTTTGAATTTATTAAAAGTTTTGCAGTTTTTGTTTTACTTTATTATTTCCAAGCATTGTTCGCTTTTCAGATATCTGCCTTCCTTATAATTTAAGATGGCTCACCGTCAGCCAAATACCGCTGGTGCCCTTGTCGGTACCCTTATCAATAGGAATACATAATATTTTTCCATAATGCTTTGTATTAAGAACACAACAGTGAAATTACTAATAAGGAGGCTAAAGTAGTTAAGCACTTCCCAATTCATGTGTTAAATTTCAATTGCCAATTAAACTGTCTAATTTTTGTCGAAACTGCCTTCAACGACAAAAACTGTTTATACTCAAATAAGTCAAATCGTCTCGGTTGCTAAACTTGCTACTCCGCGGGCTTCACTCTTGTTGCAGCTCGGCGCCTTTTGCGGCTCACCTTTATTACAGACTGATAAACTACTTGGAGTTTCACAAAACTTATCGTAAATGTAGCATTTGGCGTATATTTACTGCATCCATTCAATCAACTCCGTCGGCCACGCTAATCAGTATTTTCTGTTTATTCTGCTTAACGAAAGACGGTTATACGTTGGTAATTTTTGCATAAAGTGCACATTTCCGTATTGGTTGCTACAGCATTAGTTCTCGATTAACAGGAAGCAAAACAGCAAATCATGCGGCATGCTGGGTAATCAACCATATAATATTCTAAACTTCGAACTGCTTTTCCCGTGAAATTAAAACGCAGAAAATTGCGCAAATTCGGCTGTTACACGATTAACGATTTACAAAGTTAGTATTTCCCTTTTTGCTCAGTGTCAAACGTTCAAGCCGTAATGAATAATTTCGGAAGAAAAAAGCCCGTATGAAGGCCACTTCGCGCGGTGTGTACCGTAGTGAGATACGGTTAATATTGGAGCCGAGGCCTTAGTGCTTCAATATTTAGCAAGAACATTCGTACCCGCCCAAAGGAGCGCAGCAACTTTAAAACCAGTCACCCGCGCTGCGTAAGACAGCTACCTAAAAAACTGGGTTTTGGAAATGAGAACCTCGACTGTTCCGTAGACTTTTTAATCAGACTTTCTTGTCAAATCCTGATATTCCTCTATAACCATGCTTTAGAGGTAAAATCTATAAATCCAGGGCTTTCGAGTGATTCAAACTCATTAAAGTTTCATCCATTGTAACGTTTCAGGTGATTTATCAAAAATTGACATATTCTATTGGCAGTGGTGGGGTGATCGTTTTGTAGTGGTGGGGTCTCCACTTTTCCCATAGACTTTGCATGCTAAGGTTTTCTTAACTTTTCTTTTAAACCTAACTTTTGTTTCAAAAACAGACTTCTGATGGCAAATATAGAAACTTAGGGCTATCGAATGATATATAGCCATCAAAGTTTGGTTCTGTGTAGGGTCCTGGCGAACTGTACGGAAATGGAATTTTGAAAGTCTTATTCTTTTAATATATAGAGATTTTCTGATCTTAGAAAAATTTGTAGTGGATTTGACAATGCTGTTAATGCACATGTATATTAAAGCTTGACTTACAAGACAGAGGAAGTACAAGTAAGCAGTAAGAAGCTTAACATTTTTAATCACTGTCGTGTGTACGAGTGATGCCCAAATGAAACCTTATCAGCATAATGATCATTTGAGCAATAAAGGATGGACCGTATTGGCGATGTGATTCACCACACCGATCACAATCTCGATTTTCATCAATCCTGATCTCCACAGTACGGGTCTGCGTTGGTGCTCACTTCTGCTATATAGTATCCGCCGTTTCAGATCCGTACGGTGGTGATTAAGCTGTGGAATAATTATTTATTGATGCATCGGATCGTTTTATATTTTACTCTGTAGACTGTAGCTGTTTCGTTGAAGCTGTCGTTTGTATTAATTTTTTTAGTATGTTTATCGGAGTGCTTTGATTATGTATAACGAAAATGCTCAAGCTCGGCCGTACCGCGTCCTTGTGACCTTGCGACTAAGAGTTAGGTACTTTTCAGTTCATACGAAGCCCATTAATTTTGTGATGTGGCTCTCCTACGACAGTTGAAGTTCATTGGTTTTTTAATTAGTTTATCTATCGAGAATGTGGCTGATACGACGAGTTTTCAAAGAGAAAACGAGATGCAGTAATCAGAACGCTCCAGTATCTACCTAGTAACGGGTTACCGCAATCTATGGACACGTTCCGTTTCCCCTCATATATTATGTTTTGCTCAAAGAGCGCAAATTGGTGATTATGGGTTCAGGAAAAAGGGTAACCCTAAAGTGGTGGGCCTGCGTTTGCACCTTATGCTATTATGATAATGGTATTTTAATACTAATGTGAGCTTGAAAAAGCATTATGTACTGATATACGTATAATTGTCAGTTATCACATGACCACTTGTTCGCTATAGTTTAACGCAATGCGATGAAACTTTTGCAGGGACGAACTGAAGCTCATCGACACCGACCAGTCCTTCCCGCCCCGTCCACCCACCATCCACACCCAGACCAGCCAGGTGTTCCAGCTCCCGGCCAAATCCACCAGCGAATTCGGCGCCCAGACCGACCCACCCCTGGAAGATGATCTTGTTCCCAGCCGCGGCTCTACGCCGCTGTCCAGCGCATCCTCTCCCCAGGTACGGCCGGACACCAGTGAGCTAGCGGTGCAAGCCGTCCTCAACACGGAGGGCAATTCCGTGGGCATCCAGACCAAGAGCAAGGAGATGACGTCGACGGGGATTACTACCAATACCCCGCGGCAGATGCAGGATTCGGCGGTGTCCGCACGCAGCGTCTACGCCCAGGATTTCCAGGCACAGACCGGGGAATCGGCACGGACCGGGCGCCGGCAGATGGTGGACCGGGCCGCGTCGGCGCTCAGCATTAAACTGTCCAGCCGGTATGAACCGGTCGCCGAATCGCTGATGGAAGAACGCCGTAGGTTTACAGGCAAACGTTTTTTTGGAAGTTCTGAAGCAGTGCCAATGCCTTATCGAAAGCTGTTGTAGATCGTATAGAGACGAAAGATACCGGTGTGTCGGCACGAGTTCCGCCGGAAGTCCTCAACATCGGCTCGTTACCGGAAAGGAAGCTGTCCGATCAAAGTTCTGAGACTTCGCCGCAAAAACGGCCGCGGTTGCGGTGGGATCAAACGGAAAGTTTCGAGGCCGACGAACCTGTGGTTGGGAATAACACATACTCCGAAGAAATACCCCGCAGAAGTAAGCAGATTTTCGTAGTATTCGGAAAGCGAGGCATAAGACCTCCAACGAAATAATCACAGCATACACTATACAGTATACAGCATAAGTAATGTAGAGGGTTTATCGTAGTGCAATGGCTATGCGAAACTTCTTGAATGCAAGATGAATTTAACAAAGCCTTAAATTAAAGAAATTTATAAACTCTGAATATTTAATTTATTTCGAACTTTTTTGCCGAGGCGAAAATCTGGTGTGATACCGAAAAAAGTATCTGATTTTTCTAATGGTCACAGTTATCGCTTGTATCTGTACGAGGGCAAGCTTAGTATTCGTGATCACCTAAAAAACTAGCGGGAATTCGCGATCACCTTGCCCGGGTTGTGCAGAACAGCCAGTTACCTGCCAGCCACCAAAGGAAGGCAGTCCAGTCCAATGGCTGTGTGGGGTGTCACTGGGCTGCCTTTCCTTGGTGGCTGGCAGGTGACTGGCTGTTCTGCACAACCCGGGCACGGTGATCGCGAATTCTCGCTAGTTTTTTAGGTGATCACGAATACTAAGCCTGTCCTCGTAGCTTATTGTTGGCAGTTTTGCGCCGCTTTCGTTTTTGCTCCGTTTTATTGACAAATTTGTTGTAATATTGGTAAGTACTGCTTCGCCATAAGCTGCCGATTTAAAGTTCAGTTCTAAAGCAGCAGCACATATGATTTATTTTGATTTTAACAGGTAGTAAAACCTCCGCCCCGAAAGCCAAGATCTCACACGTTAGTTTCAAGAACTCTGTCTCGGAGCGCGGAACCTCGCGTCAAGCCAGCCTAGGCGATATTTCCGCGGACGAACGCGGTACGGAGGATAACGACATCTCCTCGGTGATCGTGGAACGCGATCTCCGCGAAGAGGAACCTTCGGAGCTCTACACCCGTTTTCGACCACCCACCCCGCGGGTGCGGCCGCTCAAGGAGATCGAGAAGACGGTCCCGCCCATCCGCACCACCCAACGGAAGACCGGGGCCGTGGCCAAAATTGACAGCCTCCCGGCTAAGGTCAACGTCAACGGGTTCGCCCGCCGGAACAAAGAACCGGCCAAATCCTCTCCAGAACCGGTGAACGGCGAGCGGAAAGTGGTTAAACAGAAGATGCCGATCAAGCCCAAGCTGCCGGTGGTGACGGTCCCGGTCGTGTCGCCCGATCCCAACATGCCCAATATCTCCAACAAGTTTTTGGCGTCCTTTCAGAATACATTATACGAACTGGGTCCGCAGAGTGTTGTGATGAAATATCTGGACAATTTAACGATGATGCGGAAGAAGGATACGAAGTACAATGAGCCGGTGGTGCTGGCGAAGATCATTCCGAAATACGTGAAAGATATGCAGAATTTTGGCGGGCCGGATTTATCCAAGCAGGGCAATGATAGTGAAGTCAGTGCGGGGGAATTGTTGCGGGATGTGAAGACGTTTGACGACTGGCAGGAATACCTTCTTGGTAAGCATATAATGCATTAACAGTATGATGTCAGTATCCACTATCCATACTTGGACATAAGAAGAGCCAAATGTATCAAGCTTGAGGAAAGGAACGCGAGTGCAGTTCAACGATTTGCACCTTTTAAGCACCGAATTTTTGTTAGAACTATCGAGAAGTTGCATGCAGCGCCGTAAAAGTTTCTGAATTACTTAGATACTTCATTATCGTGTACGAATTAGTATTACGTATACGTATACTTCGGTATCGTTTTCTTGAACCGTTTTTTGAACCAGACCTTTCTATTAGTCATAACTTGGATATTCTACTCATATTCTACTCATAACTCATATTCATAACTCATAACTCATAATTCATAACTCATAACTCATATTTTACTCATAACATGGATGCAATTCTCACCGTCAATAACACACAGATGTTTTTCTAATAGGGCAATGGAAGATTTCACGCAGCCTAACGAATTCCGGGAAAACCAATGCGACTTTCGTCGTCAGCCCGAACGATGCCGCGTCCAATACCGTTACCATCAGCCGCAACGGCAGCTCGGTGTCCAATCGGAGTCCGGGCAGTGTCAGTCTCAGCTTGCCTGATAAGAACCAGTCTTCCACCACCACGCACTCGGCTGCCGGACGAGGTGGGTGGCTGTTGTCGCGATAACTTCATAGGTACATACTCTATTTCCACGAAATTAGGGAACAGTTTCCAACCATCGGAGATTGTTTCGCCGACGAACCGTTGGTGATGGCCCTAATAATAAATGTGCAACAGCTGACATGGTTTTAATTTTTTGGACAAGCGTTACTTGCGTGGGTACGAAAACTGTTTCTTAATTTCGTGGAAGCATGCAGAAGCATTTAACCCAATGCAAACGCTACGGCTTGGCTGGACACTAACCTTCATTGGTCCGCTTGTATCATACGGTACTATTTCTGTAGTTGGTGCCAAGATAAAAGCACTGCCTTGGTTTTGCAGACGGGAAAGGTCTGAAGACCGTCACCACCCCGGTGTTTGACGGTCCCGTGCAGAGTCCGATCGAGGGCAAGAGCGCCGGATCCAAAGTGCCCACCCCACTGCATCATCCCTTTCCTTGGCGATGATTGGACGCTTTTCTTGCTCTCTCTCGCTGCTTTGTAACCTGTGCTCTTGGTCAATCAAATTTCCGTCGAAATGGTGCTGAATGTTTGCTCGCTTGCCGTTGACATGTTTGCTTTCACCAAAATTAACCTCGCAGTTTAATTAACCGGAATTAGCCTCGTTTATCCTGGTTCCAAGTACCGTATGTATTGCCGTTTGGGCTTTATACGACAGTAAAAGTGAAATGCAGTGCATAATACAGAAATTTTGCGTGATCGTATTCAAAATCCTCGTTCACGCAACGAACTGTGGGATATTCGGCCGAATTTCAGTCTATGGCAACGTCGGTTTATTATCTATATCACGAACCCAGTTTGTAATCAGTGTACATACTAAGCAGTTCGACTCTACAAAGCTGGATAAGACGTTCTACTTGCGCGTTCGCGTAACATTCATTGAGCACCAGAAAAACGCGAATATGGAAACTGAAAAAAGCAACCGGTAGTTTTATTTTCACTCCGCAAATTACATGATTTTACTTCACAAACGCTATACAGTAGATGTATCATATACGTAGACATAATTACGCGAAATTCTTAGACAACTGAAATAAGGAACGAATGCAGACTCCTTTAGAGGTTGACGCGTTACGCGCATGTCGAAAGCTTCTTCACTTTGCATCTGAGACGCCAAAAGTATAGTTCATAAAATATTAATATGATAAATACCGTATAAGCTAAGCAGGCACATTTAGTATCTTTCATCTTTGCTTTCAAATTTAACGAGAAAACGAAAAACTCACGCCAGGCAAACAAGTTTACGCGAGCGTCCGTATAGAATAGCACATACTGACATGCTGATCGTCATGTGTCCAGTATTGCTCGTATCCCGCTCACACCACCGAAATGGCTAACACAAACGAACCGGCTCCATTATTTGCAGCGATTAGTATTGCCTGTAATTTGATGAAGCATTATCACTTCGCGAATCTTATTGTGCGACCATACTGTGTCTGTGCGTTGATACTGTGAGGAAACTGGAGCGTGAGGAGAAATAATGCCTCATTCGAAGTGATTTTCAACTTGCAGCAACGGCTCAGAATTTATCCGCTGACCGTGTATACAGAAGTAACTTCAAGTAAGAACCGACTACCGCTTTTCACAATGCGGATACAGCCAGCTCCTTAGTACCACTGCAAGTTTTGCACTCATAAGTTGATTAAAGAGGAGAGTTTTCTTACCGCTGTAGTGGCATCGAGAATAAGTGGATCAGGTGTAATCATTCCGCAGGGATAACGGTTTCCGTTGATTACAACAATGGTACCCGTACAAGCCTGCAACAACACCATGTACTTACCGGAAATCATGAAAAAGCTGGCGTGTTTTTTCGTTTCACTGGCTTGCCAGACGTACGCATCCTTGAGCTACTATTTCGGAATGTTTTATTGAATTAGTTTTATAATATGTATATCCGACACTTATTTCACGTTACCAACACTGGTCTGCAGTGCAGACTCTGCACTCATTTAAAAACAGAACCATTACCATGGTTGATGGTGTTCTTGGAAGCCTTGCTTTGCCCATTTTGGAATTATAATAATAAAAAATCATAAAACACATCGCACAAAAAGCGAATCAGCACGCTTGGATGTTTTTTTAGTTGTACGTACAATGAAATTTTCAATTTTTGAAATGCGTTCCACTGACAATGCGTAGTTTTGCTGCATTTCCGCGTCCGATTCTCTGGCCGAGTTACATTCTCTGTGGCCGAGTTCGTCACCATGCGATCACTTCGGCCAGCGTGCGATCACTTCTGCCACTTTTTATTTCGGCTTGTGAAGTCGTGTGACAAGTTTTCATCGGTAACCTGGTATCTGATTTTTAGGAAGGATACTTGGATTTTTGAATTTTGGATACTTTGGATTCTAGATTTTTTCTGATTTTTTGGTTACTTGGTCTCCGATTTTTTGTTACGTATTCTTATGTTGTCTTATGTTTGTTCTGTCTTCCTTATGTTTTGATTTTTTAAAGTTTTCTTGTGTTTTCTTATTTTCCAGTGGTTTCTTGTTGTTGAGTCTTTTTATGTTTTCTTGTGTTTGCTTATGATTTCCTATAACTTGTATTTTTTATTTTACTGATTTTATTTTTGAACCATCACTTGAACACTTGTTAAAACGCAATTAACAAAACAAAAGCTCATAAAAAATTTCAGTTTTTTTGACGATGCCCATCACAGAAGCGGCATTACCGCGCTGTATCTCTAGAGACAGTCGCTGTCGCAGAAATTCATGAGAGCGCGCTTCTCCTGAGTGGGCCTTAAAAATCGGCAGCCAGGGCCTTTAACTGCATATTTTTTAATTTGGTCAGACTGCAGTTTGGTTGTCCGAGTTTGATAACAAAAAGCAAGATTCTTGCCGTTGCAGTAACAGATCCAACGGCAGCGCCCCTCCCGTGCGCCCGATTTTACCTGAAATGTACATGGCCGAAGTTTGTGGCGGCACAAATGAACCGCGGCCGAAACGCTTGGTGACTTGGTCGAAATTGTTATAAGGTTGATCTCGTACCGCTACGAAAGTCGACCCTTTACTTTTCGATACGTGTTCGCATTTCGTAGTATTCTCGCGTATTCTGCCTGCATTCTACCGGTATTCTGTCAAAGACAAAATCAAGAAAAAGTAAACCGGAAAAGCTAAGAAAAATTAACAGACCGGAGGAAAGAGCGGGAATACAGGCAGAATATGCAAGAATACTGGTGAAATACACAGGAATACAGAGCCTGCTGCAGAGGGACACTTAACGGAAACGGAGCGGATAAGCGGAATACAAGCGGAACATACAAGACCGGTGGAGTGCGCGAAAACACTAGGAGCACGAATCGAAAAATAATGGCTTGAATTTTTTGGAGTGATACGAAACGAACCATGGGTGGATATCAAAATGAGCAAAGCCGAAATGTGAAAGGCCGAAGTTATCGGTAGTCGTGAATGGGTTGGCTAATAGGGTAAATGGGCTGCCGTGAATGGCTAGTAAATTCGGATTTGGGTGAATTTCTTGTCTTACCAGCGTACTGCTCGTCACTTTCACCTGTAATTAAAACCGTGGAAATACTCCGGAAGTGCTAACACCAAACGCTTGACACACGGCAGACTCACCGATAATTTTCCACTGCCAGGAGGACCAAAAACGTTAAACAGGCAGTTGGCAAAGAGAGCACTATCCTGGACGAACGTGATAGTGGCAGGAGCGCTTACAGTGGCAAACAAGCAGCCTCCACATACTAATAAATGTCAACATGGATGGTTGATCGCAGTCGTGAATTCAGTAGCAGCGCAAACATGTGCTTAGCACTTACGGCGGCTAGGTGTTCCGGCGAGCGCATTGAAATAATATCCGTTTGTCGCACATCTCGTATCAGGCGCGGTTGTAGTAGTCGTGGTAGCGGTTGGGGTAGTCGCTGAAAAACAATGCATATTTTAATCAAAGAGCGATGAAATATAAAACTAAAACAGCAGAAATCGACCAGTCGGTCCACGGCTTCCAGTTAAAAAATTAAATTAAGGTGAGATCTACGCGCGAGAGTACTCACGCGCGTAGCCATTTCGTTATATTAAATCAACGGAGAGCACTAAAACATATATCCAATGTGAGCAAATCACTTCGTTTGAGCCAATAAGTGTGTACAAAACATCGGTGCATGTTTACGCAATATAATTATGTGTTAAAACGAAGAAGTTAATTTTCTGTCCTACGTTTCATGAGTACTGGTACAAAATGTGCCAATAGCGGAGAAAACGTACTGGTTGGTGTTGCAGTGGTAGTCGATGTTGTTACCGAAGTGGAGGTAGATGTTGTTGGGCAGGTTGCGGAAGTGGCGGAAACGGTGGTTGGGCAAGTTATGGATGGACAGACGGGACAGGTGACCGGGGCTTGTTATGAAACACAGAATCAGATTGATGATTTCAAATTTGCTACGCGACTGTCGTAGTATTCTAGTGTAGCCGTGATAGTCGAATTCACATTCGTTATTTGTCTGCAACCTCAAAGTTCCCCCCTTGAAGCCGTTTTTAGGAGAAATCGGACAGTAGATACTGGGCACTGTACTACAGAAACTACAACTGTGATCACGAAACTCCTGTGATCAACCGAAAACGATAACCCCGGAACACTAATGTTTCAGTGAGTGCCGCAGCAGAAACAAGATCACAATTGCTGCCATTTTGCAGTCACATCAGCGCATTATAATAGCGGAAATAATTATATGTATAATTAGCAAACAAAATCTCGAAGATGCTAAATTTAATTTTAAGAAAATTTAGCGCTGCCTTCCTTAAGTGGAACTAAGCTTCGCTTGGCACCATTCACTGCCGGTGGTGGGCGGAAGTTGAAATCAAAAACTAATAGGGAGAAAGCCGCTGGTGGCCAAATTATGGTGGCGCGCTGTATTATGAAGTTTGGCGTCAACCGTTAGTCTGTGTTTTTCGCTGTATTGAATCGTCAGAAATTACCGGACAAGCTTGTACATAGTCATAAGTACTGTATGTATTACATATATACAGTGCATGCATACAAAATAGATATCTATGTATGCATGTATATCGTAAAGTTTTTATTAAGCTCGAGTACGGTGGACAGCGTCACGAAAACATGCATGTATATATACTCTGGGGAGTGCATCTTCTTATTTGCATGGTATGCTACAAAGTACAAATTACGCATACATCTGTAAGGGGCAAAACTAAACGCGGTCCACCGTTCCCCAGTACTGCTGCCGTCACCCGCCTGGAGTGTAACGTTGCGGCAATACATGTGTTTAATCAGGCGCAGTACATAAGCACCATGTCTAGCCACAATGTAAAACACCAGCCGGCTGACGGCAGCAAGTACAGGGACTCAGTGAGTGCTGAAATGCGCTACCGTCATCCCCTCGTATGTATCTGTATACAGTATATTATAATTTTGTATATATGTGTGCGCAGTATTTACTTATGTGTGATATACTGTACCCGCGCGAGTTTAAGGACAGAAATTTGCCCCAGACCGCCCGCACTAGGCGTCGGCTTCTTTGACATCAAAGAAACCGACGTCTAGTGCGGGCGGTCCAGGGGAATTTACTGTCCCTTAAACTCGCGCGGGTACAGTATATGTACGCAGTATATACTTATGAATAATATATATGTGCGCTGTATATACATTATACCTATGCATATATAAGTAGTATATATTTATGTACCCCCGTCTACGCCTATTAGTTCATTGCGCTAGACATTTATTAACTGCACCCCATGCGGCATTTCGGGGTGCTCTAATTTTCCCGACTTGAAAGTGGAGGTGTGATTTGTAACGGGGTATCAGTATTGTGGGTGGGGAATGCCACAAATTCGATAATCTGGGCAACTGAAACTCTTTGAAAACATGGCGATCAACACTTACCGGCGGTCGCAGCGGCGGTTGTAGGGATATTATATGGAATACATTTTGTGCCCGTGGAATCAGCAAAGCCTCGACTACTGTCGCAGACACACTTATGGGCAGCACTGCACACCGACAGCGCATCGGCACACCGTTGTCCAGTGCCGGCACATGGGCACTTCAACGCTGCGCTGGACGTGAAGCGGGAGCACGAAGTTTCAAAAGCGACATCGGATGGGCTTCCATTATCGGCCAGCTTCCGGGATACCGCCGGCACATCCACTTGTCCGGGCGGCGCCAGTGTCGTCGGGGTGGTGAAGAAGAGGTTAGGCGACAGTAAACCAAAGCGACCGAGTGGCAGTGCCAGCTGACAACGTACTGTATCAGTGAAACACAATAGAGACAAGCCTATTTGAAGCACAGACAAGAGAATTTTACAGCAATCGCACATCCCACAACTTGAGAAAAACATGATTTTCGAAATTCGTACTATTATTAAAAAAACTCAGGGAACTCCGCACAATCCAATTATCGAAACAAAAACAGAAAATTTAAAAGAGATAAGTATAATAAAAGCGTTCCGGCGTTTGGACAAATAACAAAAAATCTTCTTGACTTCAAAAGTTTTAGGCATGTGTAAACTGGCGAGCCTGTAGCTATTTTTCATGAATGCGACTTGAAATTCAAGAACAAGAATTGCCTAAACTGGGTTAAGTCATCTGAAAAAACGGTTTGTATCTCATATTTTCTGAACGCCAAAGGTGGGATGAATGAACCTTAAAGCTCTTTATAAACGCTTACTTGTATGGCAGCTTCAGTGTCTCTCTTAACGTAGCAGTGCATACTTTCTTGTATACCGGGTATACCGCTACCAAGATGTATGGTTACTGGTGATGAGACTCGCTGAAATTTTCGGCACGTTTTGGTCAAAGGCACCAGGTTGTAATTAAAGGCCCAAATTTATGGCAAGGCCTACAGCCTCGACCGCTTGGAATTTTTCAAAACGGATTTCACATTCTCTTTATAGTTTTTTATGTTCTTCATGCTCATTATCAATTTGATAAGTATGACTTTTGCATAAGTCGAAATATTTTGGAATTTCAGCAAACGAAATGCAGATTCAGAATCAGCTTAGAATTTTACTACGGCTTTCTTTCTGTGAAAAGCTTGTAGCCTTTATGGATCGTCCGCAAATCACTCCCACACGTTTACAACTTGATAGCCCTTTCGGCTATTGCATTTCTTTTGTCTTTCGAGAAACATAAAGGAGGTGTGACGGCAAAAAAAGTACTACATTTTTCAACGTTGAGTATCATCACCAGGGTTTATCCCTTATACCCAATTAGGCAGTTGTTACCCTTCATTCAATCATAATCATGAGACTTCAACAATTCGGCGGCTTAAGCCGCATGAGTTTATACTTTTCTACCACTTTTGAAGCCTGGCAGTATTCAGACGCCGGTGAGAAGTTTTCCGCATTTCCGTGCAGTTACTTGTGTTTCCAAAATTTATATGGAGGAATTGTGCATCTCCCAGGTTGTTCTATGTACGGTCGCTGTAAAATTCTCTTGGTTGTCTTCGAATAGGCTTTTTTGTTTATTACTGAGACAGGAAGCGGGTAGATGCTGGCAGCCCATTCGATGTCTCCATTCGCCGGCCTGACGTCAAACGCGGCGTTGAAGTGGCCGTGTGCGGGCACAGGACACCGGTGGGCCGATGCGCTGTCGCCTGTCAGGGTGCGGTGCTGCCCACAAATTTATTTATGATAGTCATGAAGGTTTTGTTGATTCCACAGGCACAAAGTGTATTCCGTATATTATCCCGAAAATCTCTGGTACTGTAATGACACAGGTTTAAGGAACGTAGGGGAGGCGTGGTCAGCGCACCCGGACCGTCGGTCTCTTTGATCTTGAAACGGGCCGACGACTCGTGTGCACTCCCCGGCCCCTGGAGCGTTCCTTAAACCTGTGTCATTACAGTATGTGTTTAGTGTAAGACCTTTCCATTTTCACTCATCTCATTTTTCAATGGTACTGGAGCTCACTCGAGGCAATTCTGCGGTGAACAACAAGGTCAACAACAAAGTGACAGCATAAATCCTTCTCGCGCGGTCAAGCCACCCAATTTAATCAACAATAGTTTAGCTCCGAATGAAAACGAGTTCGTCAATTTGTTCGTTCATGCTGTTCCATTGCCGGTAATTGGAACGTAGCAGTAGTTCTGTCCCATCTCATCCGTTCGGTTGATGGCATATTCGATTAAGCTTCCCAAACAGCCAATCATCTAAACAGCAGCCAAAGAGGTGCTTTAGTAACAGCTGCATGCTTTGCGTTAACATTTCAAAGAATCTCCCAAAAATCTCAAAAACGCACCACAACAGCGACAACATACCAGCAGGAGAACCTTTCGATCGAATTCACAGAAAGTTCCTATAGCAAACCCTAAAGGTCGCTCGGAAGCCGATAAGGTCCTCGCCAACGTGGTAAAACGATGACTATCATTGGTTTGTAACGCAGGCTACAATATCACACACGCTTCATCAACTCACGAAAAGCTCAGTTCATGTATTTCCGCGGTATTTTTGAATCTGCAATCACTGTAATGAATGTCGAACAGCGCTGACCTTACTCTTGTGTACGTTGAGCGGATGGTTGGCGATTTCTTCTATTCTTTCCAAAATCCGGTGATGCTGAAAATAAATATATAATGCAGCCAAACCTTGCAACAACGAAGTTCACGCCTTATGTGCACTATGTACGCGGAAATGAATGTGTCGCAAATTATCGATAAGGTTACAAACCGCAGTGCCGGGCGTTGAATCTAGCACATTTGTCGCCACTAAGAGATCGGCTTTAAAATCTTTGCACCCTATTTGGCGTCTGTCAGTCAATAATTTTTGACTTTTAAAATTTCCTTTAAATTTTGTGCGGTTCGAAGTCTCAAAATCGGGCGACTTCACTGAACACGAAAGGTTCGCAAAACTGTGGGCAGAAAAATTTGCCGCCGCTGCCATTTTCCGTTTTCAGTCGTGATTGCTCCTTTTCGCGCTCGTTCTAATTTTGCAATACACTGCTTACCTTGTCTCCAACCCAGCCCATTTGTATATGCAGACACATTAACTGCGCGACAGCCAGCACAATCTGATCCACAATGAAAATCGTATCATCAATCAAGCTGTTCGGATCCTGTGTAGCGAATCCCGCCACCAAATCCACCACTCGCACAATGTACGCACCGCTCTCCAAAAATAATGTCACCATGTAGACCAACAGCATATTTCGAATCAGCAACCGACTTTCGTTAAATCGCGTATGGAACTCCAAATACTTGTGCAGAATACTGAACGGATTTTTCGTTGGTGCTTCCAGTGCCGCATACAGTGCATCCATCTCCCATCGCGCATGGATGCACACCACAACAAAAAAGCTGAGATACACATAGGCCGTTATATAAGACAAGGCGCCAATGTGATCATTGACCACCATAATGTACGCGGGAATGGTGAGGAAGGAATAAACTACGGGCGGCAAATACTCTGCGCTGTCGGTAAAAATAAACTGCGCGATCCAAAGAGGAACCAGCAAACTAAACGTCAAAACAAGGAGCAAAAGAAAACCGCGTAAACATGCGCTTCTTGATTTTTGCCACAGGTTTTGGGCGAACGCGTGTATTTTCCTAAATTTAATGCATGTTAGCAGTAGTAAACCCGAGGCCCGGAAATGGCAGATTTGTGTCTGGCAGAAGCTGAGCAAACGGAGGAATCTGTTTTCCGACGGCATATTGGCCACTCTCTCTATGTGGAAATTGCGCAGATCGGTCAAGTCGACAATAAAGAGAAAGACGAAGGCGGTCGTCCAGAAGTACAACAAAAAACGAATTACAGTGACCACAAACGCCATCGCAAAACAAGAAACTTGCTATGCTGCTTAGATTTGTGTCGTTATACGACATAGAAAACTGTTGTGTTATGTGAAATTGCTGGTTTTTCTGCGTGCATCCTGCTGCTCCCGGTCTGCTATGGACAGCTTGATTCAACGTTGAAGATAAAACCAACAATAAATGCAGTTGCGTACATATGGTTTCCGGTTACCTAGAGCTCGACATAAATGATCAGTATCTGTATAAATAATCCATGAATTTCGATCCATGCTATTCACAGAGTGCTTGTACGAGTATAACGATAATGCTAGATAAACATAGGAAATTAAAGGGCACCTTAGTACGTAGTACGTACGTAATATACAAGGCACCAGCATTCAGGTGTTCCCCACTTAAACGCCGCTTTGAAAGTCAGGCTGAAGTACAATGTTTTATGTTTCAAAGGCGGCATCGAATGGGTTGCCCTTATTTTATCAGTGACAATCTACTCCATCAGTAAACACAAAATGGAGAAACGTATTTGAAGCAGAAAAGAGAAACAAAGCCAAGGGAATTTTACAACGGCTTTACATCACCGATATTGGGAAATGGAAAAGGCATGCTTTTTAGAAAACATCGAGAATTCCGCACTTTCCTATCATCAGAACAACAACGTAAGACTTAGTAGATTAAGCGAAGGATGTCTATCCGGCTTTAGAATAACGTCATCTGGCTTTGTACAAACAGATCAATAATATACAAGTTGGACTGCCGCGGGAAAGCCGGTTTAATCGACGGTTTGCTGCCTAATTCGAACAATGGACACAGCGATGAAAATCCATTGTATCCCATGGAATCATTTTCTTACACTGCTAGCACTCGAAAATACTCGCAGCTCAGCGGAATATCGAGGTCCGCAAATCGGTGTTTGCATACCCCTATCTCTCGCGCTGCGGATAGATTAAAGAGTTCTAATGAACTAGGACGAAACGAAGAACTGGCGTTGACAGTCCGTGCGATTCATGCTGTTGTTCCATTGCCGGTAACTGGAATGTAGCAGTAGTTCTGCCCCATCTCATCCGTGCGGTTGATGGCAAATTCGATTAAACTCCCCAAACAGCCAATCATCTAAACAGCAGCCAACGAATTTCTCCTTGCAGCAGATGCACGCATAATGTTAAGTTTCACGGAGTCCAGTAAAAGTTTCAGAAAGTTATCACAAAAGAAAACGTACCAACAAGAGAACCTTGCGATCGAATTCACAGAACGTTCCTACCGCAAATCCCAACGGTCGCTCCGAAGCCGATAATGTCCTTGCCAAAGCTATACAGCGGTTTCCAGCATCGGTGGACAAAGCATCCTGCAGTATGATAAGGGTGAGAGCATCGACTACTAGTGAGTGCACAATTCAAATTCAGAATCTGTGATCACTCTAATAAAAGTGGAAAACAGCGCTGACCTTTCTCGAATGCATGTCGATTGGAATGTTGCCAATATCGTCTATTTTTTCCAGAATCCGGTGATGCTAAAAATAAACACATATTTAGTATTTACTTAGCCGAAAAAGCAACAAGAAAGGCCACAGTCACCACACATTATCTGTATACGCAGTACATTCACGGAAGCTTATGTGTTGAAAACTACCGATAAGATTAAAATTGCAGCATCGCGTTGTGTCTAATGAATAGGCAGAAAAATTTGTGCAGCTGCCATTTTCTGTTGGTGCAGCGACTGCTTCGTTGGTCTCCGCCCAGCAAAAATTTGTGACAACTTGTTTACCTTATCGCCAACCGCGCACATCTGCATATGCAGACACATTAACTGCGCGACAGCCAGCACAATCTGATCCACAATGACAATCGTATCATCAACCAAACTTTTCGGATCCTGTGTAGCAAATCCCGCCACTAAATCCACCACTCGCACAACATACGCGCCGCTCTCCAGAAACAACGCCACCATATACACCAGCAGCAGATTCCGCATTACCAACCGGCTTTCGTTAAATCGCGTATGAAACACCAAATACTTGTACAGGATACTGAACGGATTTTGCTCTGGCGATTCCAGTGCCGCGTGCAGTGCCTCCATCTCCGAACACGTTATGATGCAAACAACGACGAAATAGCTAAGGTACAGATACGCCATTATATTCGCTAATCCACCAATTTCATAAATATTGATCACCATAACGTCAGCAGGAACGGCGAAGAAAGAATACAGGATCAGAGGCGCATCGGATCCGCTGTCGGTAAACATAAGCTGCGCGATCCACGAGGGAATCATTCGACCAAACGACAAAACCAAGAACAGGATAAAACCGCGTAGAAATGCCTTCTTTGACATTCGCCACAGGTTTTGCGTGAACGCCGCTATCGTGTTGAATTTAATGCAGGTAAGCAGCAGTAAACCTGAAGCACGGAAATGGAAGATATGCGACTGGCAGAAACTGAGTAAACGTAGGAATTTGTTTTTTGACGGCATATTGGCTACGGTTTCCAGGTGGTAATTCCGTAAATCCGTCAAGTCGACAACGAAAAGAAAAACGAAAGCGGTCGATAAAATGTACAGAAGAATGCGAACCATTGTAGTTAAGAACGCCATTGCAAAATATTATACGCTGTAATTAAAGTATTTGGTTGCATAGAAAAGAGACCGCTGTTTTTATGTAGTTTCCTGTTTTTACGCGGATGCATTGCACCTGCTGCGCACTATTAGACTATTTGATGCAATGAATGCAAACACTGATTACCGTTTCCTGCTTTTTGCATTTTGATCATGGCAAGCTCTTAACAATTGGTTAGCGTCTGTGCAAATAATCCATGAATTTTGAATGCTTATTTTGCGAGGTTGATTAACGAAAATAAGAAATGTTATCTCGGCGGCTCTGTGTACGTCGTAGATTATTAGAACAATATGACGCGCACAGTTCAAACCCATACCGGATGCATTCTGACCTGGTGTGCAAACATGTTGTTAGTTTACGCGTTATTAAACGTATAACGCAGATGCAAGAGTCGGCAGGACGTCATGTGGCGAATTACAAAAATAAATTATCCCCGCCAAAAATTTTGCGGAATCATCCGGATTTTGTTTGCGTGACGGTTATCCAGGAATATAAATTCAAGTACAAATAAAAGCTATTGCATTTACCTGGAGTTTCTTCACAAAAATGCTGTAATTACCGGCATTAACAGTGCGTGCGCGGACAGCAGCAAAATGTTTTATTGCTGACGCATCATTCGATCATTTGGTGGCCGTAAGCAAAATTTGCAAAACAATTCATTTTATATTCCTTTTTCACCTGCATTTGCATTCGACCCACGGAACCAACGAAACAATAAAGTAACCAACCCGAAAACTTTGTTGTAGCATTTATGTTTTGCGTTAGTGCATTAATAGATAAGTATGTAGTTAAAGTTAATTATGCATAATATTAAAACATGCGGTGTCATAAAACACTGAACAGCGTCCATGTTCTCCTAGCGGAAAAATGTGCAACGTGCATACAATAGCAGATGGAAATTCCACAGGAAGAATGACTGCGACAAGCGTCAGTTTACCAACTGTGTTGAGCGATCACAGTATATAACAGTAATGATATTATTACCATTCCCGGGTCGCGAGCATAATGCCGTCATTATCCGCTGCATTAGATTTCTGAACTTGTTTATACCACACGCAACCGACCGTGAAGCGTCTTTAAGACGATCATCTCTGACAGGTTTGTCGTCGGCCCATCGTCCAACTCGTGCGGAAATCATTTTTGTCCAGCTGGTTACATTTCTGTTGATCAATACGCCAATTTGTCTATAATGCTCCGCGTGCTGATTAAAATAGGCACGATGATTGTCGAGCGTATAGTGGGCACATGCCGTGTCAACTGAACCGTTCAGGAAATCAGGCACGTCAATAAGGTCATGGTAACAGTTTTTCATACATATGACGGTTCCGGGTGGTAATCGATCCCGTCACCCTCGCTCATTTCACGGCGCTCTTAAAGAGAAGCTCATATTTCTCCATGCTGATTATTTTCGCTGCATTGAACGAAAAGACTGGTTTCTTGTATCGCTGCTCTGAAAATTAAGCCGGGCGTTTTCAAGATCCATCGGAGTCCCAATGCACCTGTAAATATTGCAAAGGACTAATGTGTTCACTATTTAACGAGCGCCGCTGTGAAGTTGCCGCTACCTTTACCAGGAAAATGACCGTTTGCTTTTGATACATCTATTCTAAACTTGCCGTACCTTAAGAATAACGCTAGGTGTGCCAATTAGTTTTTACCGGTCACCCTGCCCACGTCGTTTTCGGGCAAATTGCACCATGATTAGCCGCTGGATCGCGGATGATGGCAATGTGACTGGCAATTGCACCGACTGCTCTGTTGCGGCTGTATCGCGATGGACGTTCGCTCCCGTATTCCTGGCGGCTATTACAGCGCTGACATTGCTTCTGAATATTGTGGTGCTTGCTTTCTTCCTTTTCTACAAACACCTTCGAACACTCTTCGCGATTTATATTATTGCGCTTCTACTTGGCAAGTCCATACAGTTAAATATTAATTCTGTGTTGTCTGGTAAAAAATTTACACGGCCGTATTATTCGACTTATAGTGAAGTAGTACCAAGCTTAATAATTATTAATTGCAAAATGTATTTGCACCTAACTCATTGGAATACTTACTTAAGAATCAGCTGTATAAAATCTAGCTGATGATAATGGATTTATTATAGTTTTGACTTATAATGGGTTTATTACCTGCTTAAATCAAAAAATTAAAAAAAGAAAAAAATTAATAAATATATAACACCTCGCTTCTAATTTCTAATAAATATTCATGCTGTATTTCTAGTTCGTAAAGTGATTAATAATTTACAAGTACTAAATCGGCAGCTAAATGCATACCGGAAATGACGTATTCTTTGATTTTATTTTAGCCAATGTGATCTTCTGTTTAACCAATAACTGGATGGTGGTGCTGGACCAGACCAGTCCTCAATGGCCACTTTCCAAACCGGCCTGCACACTGCACATGTACGCCGCCTGGGTCTTCGAAGGGGTCGCCATGCACGTGCACGTCGTCATCACGCTCAACCGCATCTGGGCCATGTTCTTCCCGCATTCCTACCGCACCAAGCACCGTGCCGGGGCCGCTTTCCTGATGATCGGTCTCATGGTCCTCTACGTCCACATCATCGGGCTTCCCGGAGTCCTACTGGACGCGGCGTACTACCGGGTCCCGGACGTATGCAGTCTCAACACCAACGAGCTCCTGGTGTGGGACGCCGTAGTGATGATCGTCGTTTACCTCGGTCCGATCTTTTTCATGGCTGGTGCGTACCCGTTCCTGCTGTACCGGTATTTACACAGGAAGCGGGTAAATCTCAGCCCGGTGTCGATGGATGTCAAGCGGATGACGATGCTGCAGTCGTTCGCCGACGGGCACACGCCGACGCTGAATGAGAGCCGGGGGAACGGCCGCGCGCAGGATCAGAAGCGCGGGTTCCTGGTGTTGACGGTGTTAACGATTAGCGTGGTGATTTGCTGGACGCCGCTGCAGATGTATTTCACTGTGGCGGTGTTTGTAGATGTGGATCTGCCGGTGCTGCGACAGATTGCCTACGTTATGTACTCGCTACAGGGCGCGCTGGACCCCGTGCTAGTGGTGCTGACCATGAAGGAACTCCGACGGACGATGAAACGGTTCTTCTGTTGCAGTTAATCGCATCTAGTGGCGGCTGCTTGATTAAATTCTCTATACATATGTACAAGTACGTACAGTTTTCGTGCTAGAAAGATTCTTTGTGACTTCCTGAAAGGTAATAAAGTTGAGGATTTATACTCAGTCAGCCGAATACGCGTACCCTAAATTACGTATTTCGTAATACTTTGAATATCGATTTGGACAACATAAAGAAAATTTTATTAGCATTGTTAAATAACAAAGGCACGATTTCTTGCTTTGCGTCAAGCTCCCGTGCAAGAATTGCCAAAACTAGCCACCATCAGAACATGGAAAGGTTCCCTGAGACACGCCACTGAAAATTAACCCACCCACTTAATTCGGAGAAAAACTGGTCGTTTCATTCGATGGCGCTGCACAGTGCACAGTCATCAGTGTTTGTCACTGTTTTCTTGTTTAAAATTATGCACGCTGTACTTCTGGTAATAAAATTTTGTCTGAGAGCCTCGATCCTGCGAAAGAATAATTAACACATAAGTAAGTATGGAAACGTTAGCATAATCAAATGAAAGCGTTGCTACTATAAAAAGATTTAATGAAAACTAGTAGACCCCGCGCAAATTGCGCGGAGTAAACAATGCAATGGACAAATCACAAAAAAAAATCGCAGAAATAAAACTCGTAACTGCAGGTTTGTAAATATATCGTATGTGAACTCATAACTGCAGATTTTATGAACGATGCGTATAGTAGGATTTTATTATACGCAAAATACACAACAATGTCCCTGCACACTGCACAGTTGATGTCACTTGATGATAATAACTACTGGAAAATTTGCCTAACCGTTTAATTGACTGCAGAATGGCCTAAAACCTGATATGCGAATTTTTAAAGTTGTTTTTCTCACAAAAACGTAAATTTTTTTGTTTCCAATCTGTTTATTTCCAGATCAGTCGCCATCAGCTAAATTTCGTGCAGCTGATACATAGGGACCCTGTAATTTATTAAAACTTGTTTTCCTCTTTTTCTCACCATTCTGAGCTTTCTCAACGCATCCGACAACAATTTACTGAAGCCCTTTACATCCCAGTTTGACCGCTAATGCACCACTGCTGCTGCCCTTCAACAATCAGTGCAATAATAAGTGATAAATTAAAACAGTAATAGTCACATTTTTTACTATTACTTTGACCACAGAACAAAGTTAAACCACTTTAATTAAATAAGGACAAAAGCATTTCGTTGTATGTCCTTCTCCGCTGTTAGCACTTTCTAAAATCGAAGACTGTACGCGAAATTTCTTGCATGTTTGCTGCTTCGCGAGCTCCAGCATCTCGGCGTTGCCTACGGCTCCGCCTTCTGTGACAAAATAATGAAGGTATTTCAAGTTTCCCAAAAATTCTCTTGTTCTCAGTAGTCGCTGGTCAATAACGAAGCATACCTTGCTTAAGGATTTGGCCCGGTACATAGCACCACATTTTAGTATCTGTTCGAAAACTTCCACTTTCGCGCACTCCCAAACCCCTTTTTGCTTTGGTTTGCGACATATTGCAGCAAGATGATTTGTAATTTGTATACATTGGCGTGAAAAGCGTTTGAGCGCGCAACATCCGGTTCGGGAGTTATGGCTGTATGAAAATAACGCACATATCTATATGCATGAAATGGTTTTTTCACGGAGCCACAGTTCTGGCATTGTTTTCACATTTTAAAATGAATTAAAAAATTTTAAAAATGGTGTAACGGTGGTTCGGTGTAAAGACGATCTCCATGGCTATGTGCACTTACGTGCAAAATTTGAAAAGGATCGGTCCATAATGAGACTTGTGGTAGACCTGAATTATGCATTTAAACTTTTTGGAATTTTTTTACCCTCATAACTATGCAACCGGATGTTGCGCGCGAAAACGTTTCACGCCAATGGATACAATTATTCGGCTCACAGTATCAAAAAGCAACCCAAGAAAGGGTTTGGAAGTGCGCGAAAGCAAATATTCCCGTCCATATACACGAATTTAGTATTATGTACCGGGCCAATCCCTTAACTGCAATTCTCGCCTAATGACTGCCAAGCATTCGCTCAAATGTGCAGCTGCCAGCTGGCTGTCCTTTAAATCAGCACATTACACGCAGTTCCGCCTTTCTGGAACATAATTTTCCACAGAAAAAAAATTTGAAGTACTCGCAGGTCTGTAGTTTTTTAACTTCAACAGCAAATCAGTACCAATGGCAACCACCCGTGGAAGCGTGGCAGCTTTAAGCGGGTCGAAACACTACGACGAATGACAGCGCCTTGGGAAACAGTTTTGAGCAGTTTTAATGTTTGAAGACCTTCGTATGTGTTCTTCCTCAAATCATTTTTTCTTGATGCCAAATCTTGATGCCAAAACTGAATAAAAAATCGATAAATTCGTTCAAGACCACGGAATATCACGTGGTCGTGATTCCAGAATAACAAAGTTTTCCCAACTCTAACTTGTAAGTTGGTCAATTGACTCAATTCGTTTTGGTTGCCGAGACAGTGGTGGGGTGGTCGGTTTTGCAGTGGTGGATTCTTAACTGTTCCCATAGGCTTTCTATGTTAACGTTTTTGCAAGTTTTCTTTCAAACGTTTGTTTTTTCTCAAATTCGACTTTTGCTGGCAAATCTGTACGTTAAGGGCTATCGAACGACTTATAGACATTGGAGTTTGGTTGAGTGCAGCGTTAATGCATCGATGACACACACGGAATTTTGTTAAGGCTTATCCTTTTATTTATATAGATGTTTATTTTTTTCGTTCTCTCCGCCATTTTGTTCACCTTTATTTTATTTCTGCATGAAACAAAGCTCTGAACTGCACCAAGTCAGTACTGAATAAGCGGGCGCTCTCTAAAACTGCACTGAACGCGAATTAAGCCGGATAACAACTTTCCACGGAAAGCCGCCCGCTGTTAATTTGTGATTGGCTCATTGAGTGAGCTTTACGCTTAGCAGCGCCCCATCAGCCATTTTCACCTTTGCGTAATGATATCGACTATTCTAATAAATCTGCTCAGTGAAGAATTTTCAGTTGCCGAGCGCGTTTCGACTAGTCAGTTTAGTTGTTCTGACCTTTCCTGCTTTCCCGTCTTAAAGTTTTACTGCTACATCGTTTGATCGTTTTTTATTGTGACGCGGTTTCTTTTTGTTTATACTTCTTTAAGCAGGTCAGAATGATGAGCAGCGAGGCGGACGTTGCTAGTGTCTCAGAACACACGGAAGAAGTCACGGCGGACGTCGACCCTTGTAAACTGGTGGTAAACTACCTTCCCAGTGGTGTCAAGGAGAATTTTCTCAGGATGATCTTTGGAACCGAGAAGATCCTCGAGGGCCATGCACGGCTGGAGGAGTGTAAGGTGGTGCGACGCAAGACGCCCGGTAAATAATTCTACACGCTGTACTGCCTTTGGGAATATTAAAATGTACCTATGAGGCTATGCATAAATGAACGGTTTTCATATTACGATAACCTTGCAGGCGGTTCGGTTAGCCGTGGTTATGCGTTCCTCAAGTACAGTCACGAAGATGCAGCAAAACGCGCGGTGAAACTGCTCAACGGGTTCATTCTGTTGAACAGCGGGTCGCCACAGGATGTTGACGCAGCGGGCGAGCGCAAAGTCAAGCGTTTGAAGGTAACAGCTAAATTATCGTATTTTCTAATTGAATGGCTTCAATGGCATACTACGTCAGATTTTTATATTAATGAAACTTTCGAAAAATTCTGGTATTTCTTTGAGATTTTAGACAGCAATTAGTCAAGTTCCTCATAGTTCTTTCCTCGTAAAAAACTCCGGCGTAGTGCAAATGTTAATTTGATGTCCAATAATTCGATAAGTAATTTATTGTTAATCGTGGCGGATGATAATCTCGCAGAGAATGCAGAAACATACTGCATAATTTAATGGATATTCACGTGTATTCATTTTTAAATGCACATTTTCCTGGCAGTTTAATTAAGCTGGTAATCCGCACACAGGTGTCATACTGTCGGCCGGCGGACGAAGAGTACAAGAACACGAATCTCTTCATCACGGGCATCCCGTGTAAATGGCAGTTGGAGGATCTCAAGGAGCACTTCGGCCGCTGGGGCGGCAAGATCATCACGTGCAAAATGGCTCCCCGTAACTGTCGCTGCAGTAAGTCTGCAAATTTTATACTGCACATTTCTTGTATTTCTTATTATGCTTGTTGATTTTGGTCAGGCTTAATATTCTGCCGGTTGTAGATAACGCCACGGACGGTGACGACCAGTCGAATGTTCCCTCAGTTCCCTGCGATAAGACCGACTGGGCGTTTGTCCGTTTCACCTGCCATAAGGACGCCGATACGGCCCAGCGACAGTGGCACATGCGGCCGCCGCTGCCCGGATGGGAGCGTGTGCTGAAAGTGAAGATCCTCGACGACGACAAGGCTGGGCTCCGCTACCTGGGCCTGCGCTAAGGAACTGATTAGTAATCGTTAATCGTATGCTATGACAACTGGGTACTACGTGTGCTATGGCAACAATATGTTCATCTAATCATCGATTTAATGCTTGTTTAGCGCTGTCTTTTTATTTTTTTTTACGTTTAAAACCTTGTAAACTCTATACACTATACTGACTGAAACATTAAGAAGCAATACGTTGTTTTGTTGGCGTTTTATTGTATTTTTTTGTGCGAGCACATTATCGCTTATTTGCTTATTAAAAAAGAAAAGCGCGGGTGCAGGCTGTTCGTACTGTATTTGTTCAGGTTATGCCGCTTTCTGTTTCGATGGAAATTGTTATGCTGGTGACGCTCAGATCGTTATTCCGTAGAAACTGCAAAATCATCCTTGTAAAATTTACCCGGACATTTTGCCGATTTTTAGCTCCCGCGATAAGTCAACGCACTGCAAAATATTCATAATATGCGAAATTGCCACATCGTGCTTACTGCGAACACAACAGCGCTCTGCCGCGGTAGGTAAATGAACTGAACTGAAAGAAGCGAATCCTTATAGTCGAGTGAATTTGAGGTCGAAACTGTAAGTAACAAGCAATTATCCGATGCAAATACTGATAAAAACAACCGCATGATGTTGCATAATTCATACTGTTTTAGGACGGTATTTTGTTTTTGTGACGTACCGACGTGGGCATGACGGGGGTTTCCCCACTAACCCCCTGCTGTCGCCGTGAGCGACCCTAAAAGCAACGATATATTTTCCTACCGTTCTTCAGTTTATGACCTGTAGGCTACAGTAATTGTTCGAAGTTTCGCTTGCCTATTGCACCATGATTAGCCGGTGGTTCGACGATGATAATATCACGGGTATGCACTGCGTGAACTGTACCACCACAACGGCGTCACGGTGGACGTTCGTCCCGCGATTTCTCTTGGCTATAAACGCGATTACCCTACTGCTGAATATCGGCGTTCTGGTGCCGTTTGTTGTATGCCGGCATCTGCGGTCATGTTTCGCCGTTTACATCATTACGTTACTGTTAGGTGAGTTTGATGTGCTGCAGCGTCAGTGAGCATGCAGCGGACTAATTACTGTAAGAAGCTCGTAAATTAAATTGGCTACAAACTTTACTAATGCCGGTATGTACAGGGATAACCGAAAACTGTTAAACCCTGATGCACACGACGATGTTTTACGTTAAGAGACCCATAGCCAGTCATTCAACAGCAAAGAAGCTTAACTGAATTTTAACGGATGCATTTTCTAAAATGTATACCGCCGATCAAAAAGCAAATCAGTATCAAATTAATTTTTGTCCCAAAATGTTGTTTTGGCACTAACGTGTAAACTGTAAACCAGAGAACGCATGTTCGAAATAAACTCGCATGTCGAACGGAGGCCTTTTGAGCATATGTCGCGGCAGTGGTGCAGAGCGGCGAATATCGCTCGTTTACGAAACCGGGTTTTGAAGTTAAGGCTGACGCCAAGGTTGGTTTTTCCATTTTGGTTTTCGCTAAGGCGATCAGTCTTTCTGGGATCTCACGGAAGCGCGGTATTATTGCGAATTGTCGGAATTTTTAGCTGATACGCTATGTTGTTTTCTGTTCTCATGGCCTTCTAAAAAACGCTTCCTAATTCCTGTGTCTTTGCAGCGAACGTGGTCTTCTGTTTGACCAACAACTGGATGGTCATCGTGGACCAGACCACACCCCGCTGGCCGCTGAGCGAGGCCGCCTGCACCCTGCACATGTACACATCCTGGGTTTTTGAGGGTGTTACCATGCACGTCCATGTCTTGATCACCCTCAACCGCATTTGGGCCGTGTACTTCCCGCATTCCTACCGCAGCAAACACACCGTCCGCGCCGCACTTTTAATGGTACTCCTAATGTTCGCGTACGTGCACGTTGTCGCTCTTCCGGGCGTTGTCCTTGACGCCATAAACCACCGGACGTCGGAATTCTGCAGCCTGAACACCAACGAATTACCGCTGTGGACGGCGGTGGTCATGATCGTCATCTATCTGGGCCCCATCGGCTTCATGGGCGGAGCGTATCCCTTTCTCCTGATGCGCTACCAGCACCGCCGCCGTGTCAGTATTGGACCGTCATTGCAACGCCAGTGGAGGCAGTCCTTAAGTGAGGGACATTTTAATTACCGCACCACAGATCATCGGCGGGGGTTCTTGGTGCTGACAGCGATGACGATTAGCGTGGTGGTGTGTTGGACGCCGCTGCAGGCCTACTTCACCGTGGCGGTGTTTATTAATGTGGATTTGCCGCTGTTACGGCAGGTCGCCTACGGCTTGTATTCAGTGCAAGGAGCGTTGGATCCTGTTTTGATTATTATGACCATGAGGGATCTACGGCTGACTATTAAGAAGCAACTGTGTTTTCCAGCATGCTTCTTTTGAGTCATGTGTTAAAGAGCAATTTTTTTGGCGTTGTTTGTTCCTAGAAGTGCTATCCTTGCAAATTGTACGAAGACAACAGCGCAGTATTGATTTCATAATTTTTTAATATGGAAAATTTAAAACTTTTATTATGGCCGACCGTTTCTTATTGTGTTAGTACATGGCTGTTATCGAAGAGCATTTCTATTGAGCAACGATGTTTTATTTACTTATCTGCTCGACTGCTCCTAATGAATAAATACAGACTCTGTACACATACGTTGCCTCGTCTTCCGCAAACCGAACTAGCTTTCCACAATTTTTTTCGAATTTAAAATGAATTTCAAATTTTGCTGCAAAAAAACATAAAGCAAGGCAAAAAAGTGTTTGGGAATGCGCGACGGGGAAAGTTGCCGTGTCTATATGCGAATTTGGTGCTATGTACCGGCCAAATCCCTTAAAAGAATTCTTGTATCAACATCGATTTTATCATTTTACCAAGCCCATGGTTATTGCAGTTTGCGCAGGCAGCAAACATTATTTAATGACGAAGTACAAAATTCGGTTGATTTGGTTGACAGCTACATTTTGGAGATTTTTATATTCGGAAAAACGTAACTGCCAGGTTGAATCAAGCGCAAAACATTTGATCTGAAAGATATTTGCAACTGCCGCAAAATTATCAGAATTTTCGACTGCTTTTATATTCCATTATTTATTTCTTGGAGCAGGGCTCTGTTAATGACGTCGCGGGTTCGCTTATGTTCTTCCGTAAGTGCACGCCAACATTGTAGGAAACTTGAAGTGTAACATTCATTGTTCTCGTTCTGCGCGGCCATGTACTTGTCCAAGTCCCGCACCATCTGAATTTGTTGTGTCCTGTTTGGATTCTTGGACAAGTCCCGTGTGATCTGCCTAAGCCACATCCGGATTTCGTTATGGCGTTGGATGAAGCCCGCCTGCATACTGCGCATTGTCCTCATCAGTTCGTCTTCCTTCTGCTGCTGGATTTTGAGCAGGTCTTGCATTTGCTGTCGGTCCATCCCGTGTTGCTGGAAATACAGTGTATCTGATTGTCAACTAGTTAGCAGGCGGACTAAACCGGAAATGTTTGATCTGCGTCTTTTTTTGGAGCCAATCTAAAAATGCCACGCTTCTTTTTTACAATAACATGGTAATAAAATTAATGATGGCCTTACCATGGACTGAACACATACCGGAACTGGCGGAACATACAGCATAATCATATGCAATGTACGGTTAATGGCAAGAAAGGTTCTTCTTTCTTGGCTCAAAGCGTATTGCGTACGAAAAAAACGCTTTTGAGTTCACATCCACTGCTGGCGATTTATGCGCGTTATATATGTCCTGCTGCACGCTGTATATTAAATTTATTATTAATTTGATATACGAGTACCTTTTTCATGCAGTAAACTGTAGCTACCAAAAGTATACGGTTTAAATGTTCACTCGAATGTTATTCGGGCGAAAGGCAGTTGCACGCAAAGCTAATGTTAATCTTCTCAAATTTCGATCACTTACAAAACCGGTACATGCCATAAAATCCGAAATCTCGTGCCATGCGAAATAAAAACGTGCTTACGTCTTTATGGCGACGTCTTTATGGCGACGTCTTTATGGCTTTAACGTCTTTATGGCGATGTCCTAGAACATTGACGTATGTACTGGTGACAGCTGTTCCGTTAATGATCTACGTAGCCACAGTGCGCTGTTAAGCTAATCTCATCTGATGACAATTAAAGAACATCAGTTCCAGATAATATTTCAACCGTTCTGTAATTTCGTAATCGGGCTTTTACGGAATGTTACTAAGCGGACTCTAAAATTGATGCCCATAATGCACAGCGACAGACAACCTTACTGTGTGATCTCACGGTACGTTACCATGGATATTTGATTTGCCAATCTCTTGAATGCCAGCATGCGCGGAAATCGTGCTACAAATTATTAATTTTAAGTCTGTACTTTATTTTTCAGTATGTACAAAGCGACCTTCGCTCAACAATTATAATCAAATGAAGAATTTGTCCCAATTTACATGAGAATGCTATGAGTAATGCTATTGTTCACCGTGGTAGGTCTGGGTATGGTTACGAGATGTATGCATACTGTATGTAATGTATCGACTTAGCAACGAGCCATCTATACGTAGTGCAGTCCTTCCGATTGGGGGAGGATTCCTTCCTGCAGACGCGTTAATGACACCGACAGTGCGTCGTTTTACGTCCTCAAAATCAGCAGCGGTTACGAATGTAGCAGAACAGTAAGGTCGTACTAATCACCGCATAACGGATCATCGGCGGGGATTTCTAGTGTTGGCCGGTATGACCGTAACCGTGATTTCCTGCCAAGGTCAAAAGGAGGAAGGAAATTTTAGAGGAAGGAAATTTTGTGTGGTCAAAAGGAGGAAGGAAATTTTAGAGGAAGGAAATTTTGTGTGGTCAAAAGGAGGAAGGGGAAATTTTCTGGAGTCAAAAGGAGGAAGGAAATTTTTCGGGTCAAAAAGAGGAAGGAAAGTTTCACATTCAGTGACATAATGATAAAATTTTTTGACGAATCGAATTTTTATAACCCAACTCCCGGTAGCGCTTCGAAACATGTCAACCGTTTCACACGAAGAACAAGAATTCCAAAACAGAAAGTCCATTCAAAAACACGAAACAACAAAAAATAACGAAAAAGCGACTGCGTTTGCTGAAGACATCGAATACTTTTGCTTAAGACATATGGCATATGCTGATCATCCGAATTGTGAAACCAAAATAAATACTGTACTACAGAAAAATCTACATACGCCGTTCGGGCGTCTTCATCAACCTTCCATATTACTGCCAGATGGTTATGCCGTTGTCTAGCAAAATTTAAAAGGAACTGCCTATAGGCACCCCCTTTCAGCCCCGTTATCTGTAGGCATCCCCCTGTTTTCCGTTGCTATGTTTCAAGGTCGAGGTTTCTTGACAATAATGGAGAATTTTTAAAAGTGATTGCACTCCCATGGCTAAGTTTCCGGTTGTGTAGCGACAGTTGCCCGGCACGAATCAATGCGGGCCAACGGTCTGCGCTTGGTAGTGTGAAATATAGAAGGGCACCTCAGGCGCACCTGCCAGAGAATGCAGTATTTACCAAAGCTCCCACGCCCCACCCAACGCATCCGGCTGGCAGAGAGTCTTGAAACTGGTTGCAAAAGGGGATGCCTATAGCAAACGGGGTGAAAGGGGTGCCTATAGCCTCACTCAGTTAAAAATTCATAGTACAACAGATAATTTTTTATCTAAGTGCTTTGTATTAGAATTGCCCAACGACATCTTCACGAAAATACTTACTGGGGAATGACGCTTTGTGCGAAATGCGTTCATATGCGTCGCCGTTTTTGTTCGTCCACCGGCTAGATTACACCCGTCAGCTACGTCGGTCTGGACACGGGAAAGCTTGGTTGTTTTGATGAGCTATAAAGGAATCAGACAAGATCACACTCCGGTGGCATCGTAAAGGGCTTTTGTCCAAAATGTGTTTGTCGCTCACACAGGCTTTGGTCGGGTAGTATACCGGTATGCCATTGTTTTATGTCGAGTTCAAGCGCAGTGCTCGGTATGGTAATAAGATGCAAGGCATTTGCGCGCCATTTTTCGAGTGATGATGCAATAGTCATTGAGGCAATAGTTATTATGGAATGCTCCGGAAGTACATTTAATAATTTATCGGTGGTTGTATTAAATACGGGAGTTTTAAGAAAACCAAAAAATTTTCCTTCCTCTTTTTGACCCGAAAAATTTCCTTCCTCCTTTTGACACCAGAAAATCTCCTTCCTCCTTTTGACCACACAAAATTTCCTTCCTCTAAAATTTCCTTCCTCCTTTTGACATTGGCCGTTGTATATGCCAATGCAAGCCCTCTTCACGGTGGCGCTGGTTATCAATATATGAATTCGAAAATGATGCGGCAAGTACTGTAACATAAGCATTTGTTTTATTTGCTACATAAGATTTTGTTTCGACTGAGGCCGATGTAGAAGTGGCAGAAATCGACAAATAGTTGTAAATTAATTAGAACAAACCACTATACAGTAAAACCTCTCTATAAAATACAGGCACGGTTCCGTCAGTTTCGTATGTTATACCGGGGTGTATTTTATAAAGGGAAACTGCCCCCAGGGGCGCTGCTATAATTTGGGGTGGGAGGCGACGCAGTACATGTATTTTATAAATGCAATATGAAGGCAATAGCAAGAATCTGTAGTACATTACAGATCTGTATGTATATATATTACATACGAGTACATTAAAAAATATAGATACAGAGTACAAACTTCGTTTTGAGTTCATCATAAAGTATGATTAGTACTTGAAGACTGGTAAAATAAAAATATTCCGGAGCTGAATGTTGTTCAGAGGTTCTCTAGTGTGGCATACTTTGGTGTGAAAACCGCTTATGAGTTATGCCCACAACATCCGGTTGGGAAATTGTGTTTGTAAGAAAATTACAAACGTTTAAACGCTTTCAGGTTTACCAAGAGTATCATTATATGCATTATGGTCCGCCCCACTTTAAATTTTGCATTTAAACGCAAATATCCATCATTATGAAGAACCTATTTACACCGAACCACGGCTTTGGCATTTGTTTCACATTTTGAAATAAAATTTTTAATTTTTTAATTTCATTTTAAATTTTTTAAAAAAGATGGTGCAGAATGCAGTTAGACTTTTTTGAATTTCCTTAGTCATAGCTCCCGAACCGGATGTTGCGCGCACAAACGGTTACCACGCCAATGTACTCGTATACGAATCACCTGGCTAGTGGCTACATACAGTAATGTCGTAAAATAAAGCGCAAAAGTGTTTGGGAGTGCGCGAAAGTGAGAGTTTTCATTAATTTAAGCGAATTTTATTCAAAACCCGGATCACTTTCGTAAGTCTTAAGATTTTACGTTAGAATGCCCAGGACGCTTTGAGAACCGTTCCTTCCAGTGCTAATTGAAACAGATTTCCTGTTTACCCAAATCGGAAATTCCGTATAATAAATGTCCTTTTTAGCCACATTGCAAACAGTAAATTTTGTCGCCCAGTGTTTTCGTCGTTTCTTTGATATTTTGGAATTTTCAAAACCATACGTTTTACTCGGACATATTTTGCCGGGGTGTTTTGCAGCAAGATGTAAACCGCAGCTAAAAGGTTCAGCCGGAGCCGAGTACACATTTACACATGATTTACCGAAACAGCGGCATTAAGTGCTGCTTTCCAGCCTCAAGCGGTTGTTTGTTGCATTAATCTTGGCGGCCATCACTGTCATCAAGAAGATAGTTTCTTCATGTTTTGCGGAATACCTATCTGGCATTCACGCAAGCATTTTTGGTCAACGACTCAGGAGCTTTTTAGACTTATAGTTCTTTAGCTAAAAAAAGTTTATATTTCTTCTATTTCTTTTCTCTTAAAATAAATTCATTTTTCAATTTAAAAATTCTGTAAAGTAATTATAAATATTTATTTTGTAAAGTTTCACTGTTAAATTCCTTCGCTCATAGCCGACCGATCTTTCCGTATCGGGGTATATCCACGTTTACGAACCCGTACATTATATCGAAATTAGTGTTTTTTATGTTGAAATCTCTTCCCGGTAAGCTTTTTTTCAAATGACAGATTTCAAGGGCTTATTTGACACATTTGTTAGTGCTTGTTTTTCTCAAATAAAACGCTGCGAGCAAATGAAGTACGATGACCTCTACCATTGTATATAATTGTGTGGCTGTAGTAGTTCCATTAGATTTTTAAAAGCCAAGCTGAAATCTCACACAGAAAGCAGTATCATGCAACACGGTACATACGACTGATACGAGTACAATGATACAGGCTAGTGACCGGTTGTTTAAAATTATTGGTACAAAGTATAAATGAAAGGCTGTTAAGAAAACCGACGATAGTTACTTTTTTCGGCAAGGCAGACTCTGTACCTATGGAACTACAACACGATGCTCACAGAACGCATTAAAACCAGATATTGAGAACTGGATTCTTCAACTCGGAAAACCTTGCAAAATTTAATTTCACCTGAAGGTAAAATTACTGTATATTCACTTGGACAGTAATATGTATTCTTCAAACTTGAACTCACGATGTTCCGCTGCAAGATGGACAGTGCTGCGGGTAATACCGGTTGAAAAAAACTAAGAAAGTACTACTTTTTCATCTTTCCAACCTCGCTTTACCTATAAATACAAGCGTGGAGTGGATCTGAATTTTCACGAAAATAGTTGGGCATTTGAGCGTATATTTATATGTAGAAAGAACAGGTTAAACAACGGCACCTTTCCGCGTAAAATTTAGCCGGCGACTGAAAATTTTTTGTTTTGTTGGTGGTCACTATTATAAAATTCTTTCGTTTTAATTTGCGCCGTGAATATGAAATTATTGTTTGTGTGGTTTGCTTGTTTACTGGCGCCGTTTGCTCAGCATATCCACTGTCAGCCAGCATTACCGCTGGGGAAATTTATTTATTTACCAAATAATTTTCCCATCATTCTCCCTCCTGCGCCGGCGGCACTTTCTACCATTCCAGTGGATATTCCAGGTTTATCCAGGAAATTAGCCGACAACGGCGCCCCAGCAGATGTTGCGTTTGAGATGTCTTGCGCGGGCGCAAGATCCAATGCCAAGCTCAACTGTCCGTGTTCCGGTGTGGGACAACCCTGCGCTGATCCATTGTCTGTCTGCAGTAGCACCAAAAAATGTATCTGCGACAGCTCCGTGGGATTTCCGGACTCAACAGGGACGAAATGTCAAGCGTATGCTACTTATGGTAATACCTGTGCTTGACCAACTGGTTGAACCGTTAACAATTGTGGAAAAAAGCCTAAAATATGAGGATGCAACAAGTCTTTCTTAGCTCCGCCTTGCGCAACAAAGTGCCCGGTGTGTCCACCCGTAACAACGTGTCCGGTGACAACCTGTCCAACTACAACTTGTCCTGCGACAACTTGTCCAACCACAAAATTGACCACCTCACCAACGACATGTCCAGCCTGCCCTACGACCACCACGACTACGACCATGTGTAGGTGGTCATGATATGCAAATTTACGTTCCTCTACGTTTGAAATTGTCTCGGTGGCGAGATGTTGCGCGACGCATCACTTTTTTTGGTCACTCGGAATTTGTGAACATTGCTACAGTAGTCGTCTTTACGTCATACGTTTTACAGCAACTACTACCACAACTACTCCGACAACAACGACAACGACAACGACGGCGCCACCCAGTCCGAAGTGCGCCGCGGCGGGTGTCACGCGATCTCCTGCGGTTGCATTTCCACCTAACTCTGTTATTACCCGTAAGTGCTGGCTTTAAGAAAGCCTTGTTGCCGTTAAATGATATGCCGCTGGTATAGCGGCAGCTCGAAATCTGTCTGTTGACTCTCTTCATACACTTCCGTAATCTCAACCGCCTGGCAGCGCATGAAAGCGTTTAAGCTTGTGTATCTCATTACTTACAGATATATGTAAAACCTCTTTCCCGCGCAGAGAGCCATTCGCGCACCCCAATGTTAGGGGGCCAGTTTTCTGGCTTATTCATTTTTCTTCAGACTCTTCAGGATAGGTACCGACACTGGTGACTTGTGATACCTTCTGTTTTTAGCTTGTGGGAAGTGTATTTTCCTTGATGCTGCCAGTACATCAAACACGTTCACTGTCCAGACACAGGGGAGCTACGTCGCCTATTGTACCTGGATCATCATAGCTCCGCCAGGGACTGCTATAACGGTAAGGTGGTCTGCGTGATCCTGATCAAATCTATTAACCGTAAAATTCTATAAACCGTAAAACTGCGCTTATGGATTGCAGATATCTTCCACCAACTTTGCCTTCCAGGTAGTAGCAAATTAGGAATATAAAGTAGGTGTTAACAACTTATTGGTATAGTCCAGACGGCTTTAGTGGACGCTGAGCTTTAAGATCGCCAGTAACTGCATAATACATGTACTTACAGAAAACTGCGTATTGCAAAATTATTTCGCGTATTGGGCATCCTACAATACTTTGCATTTATAAGGTGTACCCTCTACGATATACACCTATGTTTAAAAATGAAGATTCTGCGGCTTTATTTCGTCACGTTCTTCGTGTGTCCGGTATATACTGTATGCACACTTTCTCAATGATCATCACAGTAAGGAAATAGTCCTATGCCGACCTGGTTTCAATAATAAGGATGTGGTCTGCAGAAACTGTTGGTAATGTATAGGCAACTGCAGAAACTGCGCCGCGGTCTACCAAATGAACCAGTCGGTGCATTTTACAGGTATCTGTAAATACCAGTAATTACAGTATTAATTACACAGCGTAAAGTGATATCAGTACGAAACAGTTAAAGACTGAAAGGTCCATAGGTACATGTTAGTCAACGGCTTGCCCCTTTAACATACTTGTATATTTTTTTTGCGGATAGGATTGCTCTACGGCATTTGTATATCTTAATAACAAGCAGTACTGCGGGACCGGTACGGACAAGTGGCCGTCGTCGGGGTCTGTCACTTCAACGGTCAATATCCTGGTAAGTTAAACACAATACGCCTTGAACTACCATATTATGCTGAAGTTGATTGAAATTATTTCCTAAAATGTTCAGGGAATCGGAATGTCAGCTGTATCTTCTGTCATGGGTAGTGCTACCTTTACGGTTACTTACGCTTAATAAGATTGCCGCATTGGCTGCCGACTGCGGATGAGCACTAGGCCACCGTCAAGTCAGTTAGGATGCTTTAGTTTAAAGATGTTCTTTTCCGTGTTTTGATACGAGTGTTTTCATGAAGTCTCTAAAGAAGCATTTTCAAGAAGTACATTTTTGCCACAAAACCTGTACGCGAGCCAGTAATAATGTTTGGCTGAGATGAATTCGAACAAAAGCACGGCAAGGAATAAATTTACTGTAATTGGTTTCCTCCGCACAACGGGTGACTTTAAGACTTATGATTCATCCGTATTTCATTCACCAAAATAATAAAAGCGCTGCACGCAAACACGAGGCCCAAAAGACTTTCCTCTGAAGTCAGCGCATAAGTTGAACACAGTCATGTACGCGTTACGGCCGTCCCATAGTCAACCATTTAATTCTAAGACGCGAAAAAAAGGCTTCGTGGGTACGGTGATAACTGGGTTTCCTAACTGACGGTGTTCCGACAAAACGGTTCAGTTAGCACCGCCTAGCCGGGTAATCGAAATGCGTTTTCCACATCGTTGTGTGAAATCTTGAAGATGTCGGAACGTCCTTCCAGCGAGAAAGGCTGCATGAATTCGCATAACATACGGTAGCTGCACTGCCGCCCGTAATGGTCTGTACTGCACAGTACACGTAGTGTAAAATTGTTTATTTATTTACATAGTAAATTTTATATTTATTTAAGTTTAACACATTTTCTTCAAACTGCGTGAATAGTTTGTTAAATGAGCACGTAGCATTCAAGGTGTGGCTAATAATTATGCGTTTCCTAATCACGATTATCTTCCCAAGTGAAAACGCCGTACTCGTACTTTATTTAACGCTGTCGCTCCTTCCGCTCAGTATTCTTACCAAAGTTCCACATCACAAAACTTGCTAATTTTTTTATTAATTTACCTCGCCATTCACACCCGCAGGCCGTGATAAAGGAATTCTTGTAACAACGTTAATTTTACCAGGCCTATATGGTTACTGACTTGTATTACCTTCTTTATCGAAAACAGCCAGTATACATAACAACATGCCTGCGCTGATTTACACTAATAAAAATGATCGAATTTAAACATTAAAAAAGCATCCAAAATCGTTATAGCCACTCGTGGCCTTCGGACGTGCAGGCAGTGTACCAAAAACAGCTGCAGCATTTCCACGGATTACAGCTAAACTAAATCGTTGTCTTAAAAAGGCGGTAGATCGAGGTTCGCCGGTAACTTCACGGATCTTTCTGCCGACGAAACGGATCAGCTCGGCAAAAGGCATTCCGAAAGTCCCGAACGTCTCGACTGCCAGCGGGTAAAACAGATATCCCATTTCTTCGATAAAATCGTATGTCCGACGCTTGCTTGCTTCGGCCAGTTGTGCTACACTTCCCGCTTTCTTCGAGCTGGCATGCACATGAGACACCGCCACAGTATCCCAGCAAGTCGCGTCCCACACAAGCGCTTTACCATCCCGCACAGGAATCAAGGTCATGCCGTCTGGCCGCTTGTTATTGCGTGCAGACAATCCGACCGGTTCGCTTTGGCAAGGATAACCCGCAATCTCCAAGCCCCGTTTAACTTCGTTGTTCAGTTCGACATGCCGCGACCATCTACCTTTACTGCTTGAACAGGACAGTCCATGGTGGCCGTTAATTTCCACATGACTCCCACAATTCACGCAGTCGTGTTCCTCTACAACAGGAAGCCCAAAGCGTAGAGCGACGCCCACTCTAACTTCCTCGTCTCGCAGGAATGTACGCAGATTAGGTGCTGGGAGGGCATTTAACCAAGCGCCAGAGTCGCGGTGCAGGGCAGCCAGTAATACGGCCTTTTACGTTTTATTCGTGGCAGCTAATCTCAACGAGGATACGACACGGTCTATCGGTGGTCGATCCCATGTCCACTGGAACTTTCTGTTCTCTTCGGCTGGGGCCTCGCAAAGGGTGTACTTCGTCCACTGCTGTACTACAGGATCCAGGAGCGCCGCCGTCGCGGGCTGGTAGATTTCCGAGACTAACGCAATCACCGAATACGCCGATGCCAAAAAGGCAGGAAATACAAGCGATTCAGTGGTTCGCGGCCCCAGTCCACCATCCCTAACTGGCAATGCCATCTGGCTCCACTGCAGATCTGTGGCTCGTATATTCAGCATGGACTGCATGGCGGCGCGCACGCATTCGTCCATAGCGTTCATAAGCGCCATGTGCTCGTAGCATCTTGATGTGCGGAAGCCGTATAACAACTTGGGAATTAACAAGCAGTTTTTCAACAGGTACAGGCTAAAATGCGCTGGTATTTCTTTAAGGCGGCCAAGAAAAACTTTCAGCGGAGCACACTTGCTATGTAGGAACGTGACACACGATGCGGGTGTCAAGGGAGCTCCCAGGAGAACAAAATCCCCTTCCTTAATGACGCGCATCTCGGGCCATACATTCAACACACGTTGTGTAGGGTGCTGGCGGTCTGCAGAAAATTGTCCCACTGCATAAACTTCACATTTATCCAGGTTCAGCTCCAGCCCCATTCTGAAACCACGGGATATTATTGAACGCACTGCCATTATCACTTTCTCCGCCGGTCCAGCGAGTGTGACATCGTCCAAAAAACCAACTGCAACCTCGCACGGTAAGTCATCATAAAGTGGTAGAGTGGCCAGGCTGTATCCAAAAGGGCCATTCGGATCTCTCTGTTGTACTCCCGTCTCTGACGAAAGTTGAAATTCATCACAGGACAGAGGGACGAATGGCGATAACATTGCCAAAAATACCGGTAATAAGCGGGGAATTTAGAACGTATGGCAGCAAGGAGAACATCACGGCGCAGTGTGTTAAAGGCATTTCGGAAATCCAGTTTAACGATCACTTTTGCGTCCGTGTGTACCGCTTCCGCGAAGTTTCTAACTGCATGCACCGCCGCTTCCGCTCCTCCTCGGATCCCAAAACCAACTTGAGAAGGTCGGAACATCGCGGCGGCTTCGTCAGCGCATCGTTTACTCACGATCTTAGACCACACTCTTCTGATAGTTTCACCGACAGCTATTGGCCGCAAGCCGCCGTCCTTCTTACATAGCGGCACAAGATTCGCTCCAAAAATGTATGGCCTGATGTCCTCGGGTACTTCTTTTTGGAGCGCCATGGTAGACAAGTCTGCAAGAGCGACACATAGCTCGCTCAAAGTGTCATCCTTACGGCCAAGCAGATCTTTCAGGTGTTGCGGGCGGAGGCCAAAAACCCCTCCAGCAGATTCGGGCGGAAAGCTGAAAACAGCTGACATCAGTTCGGCTGGAGAAACTGCTGGAGTTTGAATGGAATCGTCAGGTGGCGGTGGAAACTGACAATCATCTGGTGCGGGTGGATGCTTATCGCGAAGTGACTCCACTGTGCGGGCATTGATATCTGCAAGCTTGTCATCCGCTAGCAACACTCTGATGGCGCCTTTAACATTGCCATCCTGCATCATAGATGTTACCTGGGCGCGCAGTCTGTCGGGTCTCGCACCTTCGTTAGTGGACTGCTCTCGGCGGGGGGTCGTCTGGCGCTTGTCCAAGGACAGATCAGCGAGGTTTTTCCTGATAACTGTAGCAAGAGAGTCTTTCCGTAGAGCCTTCGCTGGGGGGAGCGAGAGAGCAGTTGGCGCAAAAAGCAACAGAGCAGTCCAACTGGCTGAATCGTTGTTTCGGACGCAGTCGCGGACCAGATCAGTCAAAATCCGGGCACACTGCCGTCGCACCGCCTTGGGGATTCTTTTAGGGATAGAGTAGCGGTCCCCTTCAATAAAAGCCTGCAGGGGATGCTTCGGTGGTTCGCTTGGTAACGATGGTGGGGACAGGTTGGACGGAGAACCGGAGGTCTGCTTGCGGGAACATGCTCGCACATGCAGTTTCAAACCCGCGCCCTGCGTAAATAATCTTGGGCAGTGTGGGCATGGCTGATCGCGTACCATCGTGAACAGAACATAAAAACACTGACTTGTTGAAATCTCTATACACCGAGACACCACCATTCGACACCAAACTTTTATTGCCGTAAATGAAGTTCGGTGGACAAAATGACAGCTACATTTTGCAAACTTCATTAGTTTGGAAAATTCATTTGCCGGTTTATCGGGTAACAACATGTATTTAGCATGCACAACTGCATATACGACGCCTATAACGAGCCGCAAGCAGAAGGAACAATTGAATCAAACGCTGAAATTTTTTTCTTTGAAAAGCCACTGCCACGACGGGCTCGAAAGTGCTGATTGTTACAATAGTACTCGTTTTATGGTAGCAATTTCAGCACAGTATTTATTGTTTAAAGCATGTCTCGCTAAATTGTTCGCGGATTTGTTTCTGTTTTTCCGTGAGCTCAGCCCAGCACTGTAAGAATCCTGTGGTGTAATCATCATTGTACTCGTTCTGTTTCCTCATCACCTTATCCAAGTCGCGCACTAGCTGAAGGATTTGTTGTGCTCTGTTTGGATTCTTGGATAAGTCGCGTGTGATTTGCCGTAGCCACAACTGGAGTTCGTTTTGGCGATGGATAAAGCCCGCTTGCATATTGCGCAACGTTCTCATTAGTTCGTCTTCCCTCTGCTGCTGGATTTTGAACAGTTCTTGCATTTGCTGTCGGTCCATCCTCCGGTTTACTGGAAGTACTGTGTATCTGAATGCCGACTGGTTAGCTTGCAGGTTCAACCGGTAATGTTTGACCTGCGTTTTTTCTCCGAACCAGCTGAAAAAACTTCAAATTTTTCGTTGTAGTAACTCAGTATTATCATGGATTCAACATGTACGTGCACAAGCATGTAATCATAATATCGGACTAAGGAAAGTACATAAATTAACGCTGTTTTAGTTCAACGCATACTCCAAAAAAACGCTCTATGGTTCGGACACTGCTGGCGATACATATATGTCAGTGAAGTGGTTTGTTTATGGCAGTTCGTATGTATTAAAAAAAAGCATACCTGCGTCTTGATGGCGTTGTCCTTCAAGCAGTGATGTGCACCGGTGAAATATGATGCATTAATACATTAATACATTACGCGTATATGTTCAGTAAGTAAAGGTTGCTATAACGTTAATCTCAGCTGGAAACTTTAAAGGAACGTTACATAATACCGTTATAATATCGCAAACGTAATACCGTAATTATAGTTATATGAATACTAATCATCTGTGCCAGGACTTTGGCCCCTCTCCTTTGAGGCAAAGGATTTCGGCTTCTACTTTACCAATTTTGCTGCTTTAAAGTACATCAGAATTCTCTCAATGTGGCGGTGGATCATAGATTGTTGATTTTTTGCTAAAATCATTTGGCTACGTCCAGTGGTCAGTCGTAAGCTTGTTACCATGGACACGATAAGAAATGCATACACATCTAACCCGACCTGACCCAGCGGAACACTAGCATTCTAGCAGTATCTTTGCTCGTATTTTTTAGTACAGTACAAAGTATCAGCGTAAACTATGTGTAAATAACTTCTGTACACTATTTAGCCAGTCCGTGTTGCGATAAACATAAGTATGTTCATTACGAGTATGTAAGAAAACGAAAAGCAAAGCATCTTTGTGTGTAATACTGATAGTACTTACGTAAAGTATGTAGGCAGGTCACTGAAAACTATAATATCGCTCATTCTGATTGTTTCTTTAGTTTTACCGGCATAATACATAAAACTGTAGAAATTAAAGCATTGCAGGTAATAATGGTCGTACAAGCCAATATTCATCCGTGCTCAGCTTGTAATATATCTAAACGAGCTAGAACTGGTATTAATTGCTAATAAATGGGACAACAACAAAATTTAATGGTATGTCGAGTGTATTTGTATACTGCAAAGCGACAATCATCGATTTCACGGCACGTTGTCATGGATAATTCACACAAACTCGTGACTGTTACGCGCAAAAATCGCGCTGGAATTTAAGTTGTGTTCCTGAGCAACTATACAGTACCGTATTCGACCATTTCGGCACAGGGACATTTCGGTATTGGACCATTTCGACACAGGGGCGTTTCGGCATTGGACATTTCGGCTGCGTAATCAACCGTAGCTGCAAAGCCGGTTTAGATGTGAGACGGCTGCAATCTGGTATCACGTGTGCGCCCAACACGGCAAAGATGCAGCAGGAAAAGTGATATTAATTGCTAAAGCGAAGGGAAAGAGTTGCCGCTTGCCTCGTACTGAGAGTTACAAATTTCCTAAATATTTTCGAATTTTGGATTTTATGCCGAAATGTCCATATGCCGAAATGGCCGTATGCCGAAATCAGAAATGTCTTTAAGCCGATATGGTAATGTACCGTACAGTACTCGGTAGGTGACGTCTCCTCATTAAAGAGTGATCGCCACGCATACGCTCCGGTTGCGCTTGTTTTTGCATAGAATACCACTCACTTGAGACAGTCTGAGTACTTATTGCTGCCGCTGAAGCCCTGATAAAAATTTCAAAGAATGCATAGAATTAATTGACATTTGGAATTTTTTTTGTGCATGGTGCGACGCGTGCATGTGTTGATTTGTCGCAGGCGATCGGCACAATGTTGTATAAGTATGAGAAGAGGAGAAAGCGTTTACCTTGTTTTTTTTTTCTGCGTTAAAGTCTTCAGATTAAATGTCGGAACGCTCAGACAACTTTGGAAAACGTACCTTCTCGCGCTGACTATCATATTTCATACACAGCCATTTGCAAACATACAGTACATGTATAAAATATTTCTTCACAAAAAAAACAAACGAACTAACAGTGGTTTTTGACCTTACTTTCTTACTACATTTAGTACGCCACAATAGAAAACTTTACATATGCATTTACGTGTTTTATGCGATGCTTAAAAACTGAAACTTTTACAGCAGTTAATTAATTCGACTCAGTTTGCTTGAGTACGAATATGTTTCGTTTTGGGTTTTAAAAACCTTTTCAGGTTGGTCACATATTTCGGATAACACATACCGTAAATTTTGTCGCTCAGTATTATTTCGATATCATTAAGTGTTCGAAGCCAGATCTTTTTGCCGTACATATTTGCCGAGTACATATTTGTACGGTTAATGTGGAAACGGGAATGCATTAATTGCCGCTTTTGAAACTCCAGCTAACAGCTGTCTGCGTTAATCGAGGCGACCTTTGTAGTTGAATTGCATAGACGCCTTCGACTACGCAACAATCATCTGATTTTCGATATCAAACTGGAAAAACCGTTTAACAAAAACTGTTTCAAGTAAGTACCCTTCCCCTGAAGCATCACCGAGTATCTCTTAAACGGAAACCGCCGTAACTACCTATGGTCGATTGCGACTTTTAAAAGATCACGACAACACACTATCAATAAATGCCATGCTAATATTATGTTTTGAAAAAATTCTACTTCTGACAATTCAAAGTTGTTAGTTGAAGCCTTGTGAGAATGTGCATTCCATAGAGCGATACTGACAATACTGCCATGTTGACGGAATTGTTATTAGTATTTCTACGCTTTTTGGCTTGAATCGGTAACAGAATAAGAGCGGCGTCTTATTTGCGGGCTGCATACAACAGTTCAATGCGTCTTGTTTCTTTACTAACTTCGGCTATTGGATGACACCGCTCCTAAAGTGACATCGTTCAAAAATCCTGACACGTGGCAATCATGTGAAGGAGAAAAAATGGCCAGAAATACAATCAGTCAAAATATTAATAAAGTTAAACAACAGTTTAATTCGCGTGTGGCGAAGAATTTGCGGCATGTTTTGTCTACAAAATGGCTACGCTTTATTCTTGCTGTTAATAATAATCCTTTCAGTCTCCAGAATCTCCACAATTGCAAGCGCCGGGATAACTGTTCTAGTGCAACATTAAAATTGCAACAGCTGAACTAATGTAGTTCTAGTTATCTATACATGTACCAGTCGATTTGTCTATGCAATATGCCCATTTTAATTTCATCAATCTGTGCCATGTCTGAAGGCTAAAAATAAGGAAGTAAAATTTCCGACTTAAACATTTTATTTTTCCTATCAATATAGATAAAACTCAGAGTGCAAAAACCGGTAAACTGCAACAGCCAGCAAGTTGCCATGAACACCAAGAACAATGAAAAAGTTATTCAAACGATTACATTACATTACTCTTGTTCGGACGTGGGCACCGTTCCGTTGGGACGATGATGCAGCACCGGTTCTTCGTCCAGATACGGAGCGTTGGGGCGCTGATGAACCGCCGCTCCTTCCTCACCATACGGCGGCGGTGATTGCCGCAGGCCCCCGTCGGGATAGAGCGCTTCCTCGCCGGATAGCAGCGGCACCACCGGCAACGGCTGGCGGTCCGGCTCCGTACGGTCGTAGATGCCGTCGTCGGGGAATTCGTCCATGAACGGCATTTTGGCCATCTCGTCCTTCATCGACGGACCCGTGTAGATCGGATAATTACCGCCTATACAAGAAAACACGGATTATCATCGCTCTGACGCATTGGATTTATTAATTACTTAATTTGGCAAATTATTCGATATTTAAAGCTAAAAAGGCTTCGCAAAATAATTTCACGGAAATATGAAATTTCAGGTATTAACAGTTTTAGTTCTTTTACCGATCTTGGAAGGTGTTTCACCGGTGACCATGGAATTATCCTGGTCGTATCCCTTTTCAATCGCCTTCCGCTTGGCATTGCGACGGGGTTTTGTCACCAGGAGAAAGTTCAGAGGATAAAAGAGGAAGGCTAAGCAAATATAGCTGCACAGCAATAACAATTCATTGTAAAAACTACCTCGTATTAATCAGTACAGAGCGAGAAAATGTGGTGGCTTACAACACGGCAAAAATCTGGAATGTCGCTCGCGAACCGTAAGCGTTCATAAGGAAACCGCTAATCAGCGCTCCAAAGCCTTTACCTAAAAAGATTTCCCACAAAAAAAAACAGTATTAGAGGTCACACTAAGTCGTAAATTCAAAAAGCAGCAATCAGCAGAAGAGACAATTCGCACAACTCGTCAGAGGTGCAGAAAATGTCGTACGTGCAGAATACTCACCAAAACAGTAATGGGAGGCAAACACGATGCCTTGCAGCGACGCCACGAAGGTCGGTGACAGTTTGGCAGCATAGCTGGCGGCGGTGACGACAACCTGTTGAAACGACCAAAAAAAAGTTAGATAATGGATTGCCCGTTGAATAATCATATATATAAAATATTAGGAGCGAGAACTGTCCCAACGAAACATCGATTCATTGAGAGGTGATGCGGATTGCGGACTAAAGTAGGTATCGTGTACGATGATCGTAGAGCAGTGGTTTCCACAGTTTGACAATAGAACGCAGACCGAAACGAAAAGCACGCGCACATTTGGTACATTAACTAGTTTTGTCAACGCTGAGCAGAATGGTGAACCCAAGTTGAATTTTTTTATTGCTTTATACGGTACAATCAGCTTACCAGAGAATGCGAGACGCCTTCAAAGATCTGTAAGGGTAACACCCAGTACGCTTGCCCGACCGGGACGAAAGATAAGCCGAGAAAGCGTATGGCGTACGCCACCACCCCGGCAATGAAGAGTTTCGTGTGGCCGAAGCGCTGGATCAGCTTACTGGCCAGCCCCATGGCCGGGATGCCAAAGAGCCCGCAAACGGTCTGACTGAGACCCAGCAGGACTTTGGACGAGTGCAGGTCCTCCAGCATGTACCAGAACAGGAAACTGCAAAATTAAAAAATTAACTGATTAACATCAAGCTGAGTTTCAATCAAAAATCAGTACGTACACGATAAAATACATGATAAAAGATAAATTAAATAAATAATACAGTTACACAATATTGAATTAACAATCTATAAATAGATATAGAAATAGACTGTTAAATCCAGCCGGGTACCTGGTAATAAATCCAAATCCGCATCCACAGAAGAAGACAATAACGGTCATACTGATAACACGCCGGTCAGCCATCACCACCAGAATATTTTTCATCAGACTCTGCGCCGGCATACGCAGCTGCATCCGCAGGAAGATGACCACAATGGCGGCCAGAATGTGCATGGCGGAGAACACGTAGAACGCCGGGCCGTAATCTTCGAACCCGTTGAGTTCTTCGGCCTGAAATGCGTTTCAGAAATCTTTAATATACCGTAAATCGTGAGAAACTTCACTGTCGGCGATTGGTAATAATCTATGCTGCACGCACTTTTGCAATTAGAATACCAGACAGGGGCGGCAGCAAGGAGAAACCGATCATAGAAAACATCTTCTGGAAGCCCAGATCCGCTTTGTGGTCTTGACAGAGTGCGATGGCCAAGGAATCCAGTAAAGGCACCTGTTCGTAAAGAGATAATAATGCACTGGAATTACAACTACCGGGAATTTGATTTAAAAAGAGCATGTTTTAACTTATAAGTAAATTGAAAATTAAAAAAATAATAAAAAAGATAATAATAAAAGAATTGAAATAATACAGTCAGCAACTGTAATCAAAAATTGAAAAAATAGCAGAGAATTTCCGGCAGTTTTAGAAAATTTTCTAAAAATATTTTATTTTATTTTTTAATTCATTTTTTTTTATTTTTAAACCGCTTTTTGGCAACCGTTTTTAAACTAAGTTTCGGCCAAATTCATGTTATCAAAAAAATTTGGTTTAAAATTTGTTAGCTAACGAGAGTACAGAATAATATCACAAATTAAAGCCAAAATAACAGCAGAACTGATTAAATTTCTTAAAAAAAGTTCCAACAGAAAACGTTATTACTCAAAACATTTCCCATTTAAAAATCAAGTTCGAAGACGAATAGGGAGTCAGTCAAGCGAAATTTTGTTAACGAATAATTTCTTTTCGTTAAAAATAACAGTATTATGCATGGTTAGCTGAGCAATTTTGATTTTTAGTCAGTGAGACATTCTTACCGCCATCCACATAATTGTGGTTGATGTCAGACGGAACAGGCAGTAAAAGCCCAGCGTCGCGGCCTGGCTACCGGTGTCATTGGTAGCTTTGCCGATGACCTTTGGTCGCGGAACTGGACACTTCAATCGCTGAGCCTGAAAGTCTTGTCCTATGGCGCAGTTAAAGGAGCAGTTGGATTTGATGTCTTTGCAGCGAGACTTCAGCTGCTCCGAACAGAAATGGGCCGAATCGTTCTTGTCTCCATGACACACCGCCGGGTCCAGCTGGGGCGGCGCCAGCTGGTTGGTCTCGGCACAGTCGGCGTAACAGTCCCTGCAAACATTCAGCAATTCAGACAAAACATAAACAAACGCTGGATTTCTTGAAATTCGAAATCTAGTTAGCATATTATACTAATTATAGGAAAATAACCGCGCAATTTTCGACAGAAAAATTACTGATAATTTCTTTACATACTTCTATAGATTTTGGGTAAATACTTTGTTCAATTTATTTTGGGCATAAAACTTTTCTAAATTGTGTCAATACATGATTACATTTCATGGCACTCCGGCCGCTATCTAACAGAATGATGCTTGTAGCACTTCAAATTTAATTATGAGCCGCAAAAAAATGCTACTAATATCGACCTAAAATTTAATTTTTCCCAAAATCGCTTTATATACAGAGTATTTCGATTTTTAATTTCCTTCAACATTTTGCAATTTATTTTTGTGAACTAATCCGTAACTTTTGGAAGGATTTCGCCACTGCACAACGATATCTGGCACTCTGAAACTTTTCGTAGTAAAATTAATAAAAGGAAACCATCGTTAGTTTTACAAGTTCTCTTACATTTAAACGCTTAAAAGCAAAAACAAAAAATCTTTAAATTTGTGATGTATGCAAGTATGAGAACTTGTGAAATTTTAATGTTGCATAAAACATTAAGCTTTAGAAAATAACTAGGAAAACTGAAACTTAAAATGGTAAATTTGAAAATAAGCAGAAACTCCGAATAAACACTGAAAGTCAACTAAATATACTGCTGTTTTGAATAAATCATTCTCCCGCGCGCTACAATAGGTAGCCGTTAACTGACCCTAGGCGCAGATGCTGCACATCCATCGCCGCCAGAAAATCATCCACCGCTGTTTTATTCTTCTGCGGGCATCCCAATAATGATGAGACGTCGTAGCCGAAGGAGCCGTTGGCATGACAGCGGAAGCTGAGATCCGCCACCGGGAACGTCTCGTTGGGACTGAGCTCCAGGGGCGGTTGGTAGGCCGGCGTTACGAAGTACAGCAGTAAGTGGAGTGTCACGCTGAGCACGGTGGCCACGATGAAGACCAGCCGGTAGTTGCCGATTTTGTCGGCAATTAACCCGCCTAGTGGCGGTCCGACGGCGCTGACGAAAGGTAGCACGGCTAGGATGATGGCCGTCTGCGGTACGGTAATACCTAAACCTACACGAAAATGTAAATTTTAATATCATTGACTAATAAACATTTATGTATATTTTTTCTTATATTTCTTATACTAGATCATTTTATTTGTTTATATTAACTTTTTAAATGCCTTTATTAAATTTTTTACAGATATTTTCTTCGCATACTGGTATTAAATTGTTATTGGCATTACTAAATAGCATTTTATAAACAAAAGCTTCGAATATTTTATCAAAAGAATTTGAATTGGTTACACATTGCACCATAACAATTACAGTTCAAATAAAAAAAACACCAAATTTTTCTGGATAGTAACTGTTGTATTTGTGTACAGACCCCGTTTACATGAAAATTTATGATTCAGTATAATTTTATGGGTAAGGCACACTTTAATACAGTTCTAAAAATCTGCTAATTATTAACTATTAATTAAATAATTATTATCATTGTTATTTACAAGCAGTAATCGATAATAACATTCGAACATTTCTGATAATTTTTCAGCGTTCATAAGAACCGATTCAACACAAGCAAGAGCAGGACGATAAAACAAAAATTAAACAAAATAGAATTCCATAATGAATTATCTACACTAATAATTTATAACTGGCTTTGTATAGCTGGAAAGCTTACTTCGCATGTGGACGGCCATAAAAGGTAGCAGCGCCGATATTCCTAAAACCAGAGCAAACACCATTCATCACAGACGCTTCAATCATCCCGCGGGCGCAACAAGTACCTCCATGGACGAGGAACATCAGTCCCTTCAAGGGAACCAGCTTCGTATTCACTTTACACTGCATCGTGAATCCCAGTAAAATGCACACTCTATATCACAGATTAATTACACCGGGTGACGAGCGTTGCGAAAAATAAATTATTCCAATGCAATCAAATAAGATTACAATTAAATTCCATTTAATCCATGGCGCAGATGATTTAAGAAAAAACTGAAAGAATGATGCAGGAAAACCACAACACTGAACCAGTGATGTGGCGCTGATCAAGCAGCCGCAGAATCCGATAAGATTGTTATCCGTTGTATGCCAAACTGAACAAGGCGCGCCCGGATTTATCCGGCTATATTTTTATATACGCGTCCACCGCTGTTTACACCGTTCTTTACGCAATATACACGGCACAACAACAACGGCATAATTGTCTTACAAGACAGCTCACAGCTGCTATCTTGCCGCAAGACAATTACCGGAGCCGGTTGTTCGGTGATATTTTCTTCAAAAATTTTCTGTTGATTTCACGCGTTTTACGGCTTCCGTGTGGAAAGCGGTGAAGTCGGCGCTTTTTCGCGGCCGGTGACGCCTCAAGTGGCTGACTAACGGAGTACCCTGCGGCTTGAAGCGCGACGAAGCCATATAATCTTGAAAATAAGTCTTTTCTTTGCTTTTCGCTGAAGACAGTCGCTCGAGCACTTCCGGCAAGTACGGCAAACATGGTTGTAAATAATTACCTACACTTTAATCGTGACCAATCCGTGGTTCCGGTATGTCATATATTTCACTGACCGAGCAACAGAAATATTTCAGTTTTTTAGAAAAAAAAAACACGATCGAGGTGTGGTTAACACGGTGTAAACAAACATCCGTAATTTCTTTAATCACAACGGGAGAACAGATAATTAGAAAAATGCATTTAGAAAATGTCTGACGCAAATTAAAAAGCTTCATATAAAGTTCTAAAAATTTCCAATTTTGTAAATATAATATAGCTGCGACTTTTCTTGTCGCCGTGACCTTTATGGCATACATCGACTACCGCTGTTAAAGAAACTATTAACGCTCGTCAACAGATCAGATCAACTTTTGCTATAGAACTTTTCTTTATTAAATACCGATTATTCAATAAAAATTGCTGTCACTGATAAACGAGCTGCACATACTACTCTGTACAACACATTTTTTAACCAGTACGCAGTGAGCTGAAAAAAGAGAGGCCATCAGTAATCAAGAGTCAAAGAGGCTAGCTTAACGAAGATCGTCGAAATGACAAAGGACAGCGCGCGCTTCGCATTCAGTTTGAATCGGCAGTTTTTTAACCGGTTTCTGGTGTTTCTCAACAGTTCGCCATGTACCTCGTAGTGTGTACAGTGCATACATACTGTAATCCATACATACAATTGTTGACGGTGTCATCATCGATCAAGTGTCTCTTGTTACACACCGCCAAAATGTAAAAGTTAAATGGCAGATCGCACCATGCATCGATGAGGGAAAACTGTAGTAGTGGAATTTTAACAGCAACACTGTTTTTATATTGCATTGTGCACTCATTCAGTCATTCTCAAAAGCCAGTGATGTGTTGTAGCTATATCGGTTCTACAGCACCTTGCTTTACAGGAAATCGTGGCGTGACAAGAAGTCGTTAATGATTTTCCTATTCCACATTTAACAACAAGCGCGCACAATTGAGTTTCTTTAAATTGTTTTAATGGCGCGAATCGGCATGCTTACTTTTATGCGGATAATCGCCATTACATCGTTGGCTTCCGCGCAAAATCACACCACCGATATCGTGACCGAGCAGAACACGCTCATCCGCCAAACCCTGGATAATTCGCGCTTCGAATCTGGGAAACCAGCCAGCGGCGCTTCCGTGGATCCAAGTCAACTCCGCCTTGTTGTCGTGGTGAGTACAAGCGCCATAAATCACAGCGTTTGTCATCATTACGTTGTTCATACAAATATGCAATACTGACAATGTAAACTAGGAAAAACAGGGGCTTCATTTTAACGCATATTGCGCAAACAAGCGCTTCACTGCTCGGATACAGTCCGGTTGATTTTATGCCGACAGTACTCTTTGTGCCTATTTTTTGTTGATTTTATTAATAAATCTTGGACCACGAACGTCGCATTTCGACTTTTTCTGTTTGACATTTACAATTTCTATTCATATTACACATCATAAGTACAAACTAAGTATCAAACGTTTTGGTACTTAGTCCCCACCCATCTGTTTTGGTCCAAAACAGATGAGTGATGACAGGACAGTAAGACAAGAAAAATACAGTAGAATTATACGATCAGCAGAAGAGCGTCGATTCACTTTTGAATCGACATATCGACTTATTAACGCTCACTACAATGATCACACAAAAACTCTTCTAGATACATCGTCATGCAGAGCGGACGCCGGTCTTCAGCATTCCCTGGGGCCGCAACGTCACCCGGCAATCGGCCATCCCAACCGATGCCCAGCTGACTTCCCGCGGCGTCAAACAAATGTACGAGTACGGACAGTGGATACGGCGACGTTACCAGGCCTTCTTCGAGACCAACGATCGCATCCCGAGTCAGCGGATCACCATCATCTCCTCACACACCGACCGCACCATCACCAGTGCGCAGGCCCTGGCTGCCGGGCTCCTTCCCACGGAGAACACGACCCGCCGCTGGGATTCGGAGCTAGGAAAATACTGGTATCCCATTCCAGTTTACGCGCAACCTTATCACGATGACCTGTACCTGTTTAATTATGACGACGCGGATTGCCCGCTGATGGGACGGCTGCGGCGGACCATCAACGAAATGCCTCTGGCAAAGCAGCTGGAAGCCGAGCTGGCGGTACTTCATTGATAGCTAAAACAATTCAAATTACTAAGAAGATAGACACAGAACGTTCCTTTCACAGAACGATAAGGAGAAACTACTTAGAATGCTAACCCGCATTAAAAATTTCAATTATAATCTGAACTCACCCGTCGATTGAGAAACAATTTAAATTATTACAGTAAAATAAAAAACCATGATTACGAACAAAAATTTTTGTTATTTATTTTGAATCAAAAAGTACTTAACGTTCTTATTTGTTTATGATTTCGCTAATTGGACATAATTTAAATGTAAAACAGTCATACATTTTGAATTTATTAAAAACTTTGACAGGATTTCAAGCGTGCGATAATGAAAGCATCCGGCATAGCAAACTACGATTTCTGGGGCACTACAACGGCCATCGAGGACGCCATGCGATACGCCTTGGAGTACCCGCAAACCAACGCTATCCCGCCCTGGATGAACACCACCCTGTTGGACGCCATTGAACGGATCGCCGGCATGCGAATGCACCTGATTGCCGGCGGCAACGGCGACCGGCAACGGACCCGCCTGAAGACCGGCCGGTTACTCGATGACATCTTTCACCGCATGGAGAAATCCACGAAGGACAATGCGCAGAATCTGCTGAAGATGGTCTTCTACTCTTGCGTAAGTCAAACCTGTCTTCCGCTTGAAAAACTGCTATCAAAACTAAAACAATGTCCACTCTTACAATGTAGCACGATGAAAACGTGAGCGCTATACTGGCGGCGTTGAATTTGTTTAATTATACCCTGAAAGGACCAAATTTTGGCATACCAGAATTTACGGTAAGACTTGCATACTGAAAAAACGCTTCAATCTGCTTTTGAATATTCACACGTCTTTACAGGCTTCAGTTATCTTTGAATTATTCAAAAATAATTCTGTGCGGATTTTATTGAAAAACAAGTACGGTGTTGTACAATTCGGCTCGTGGCATTCGCGGTTCAATAAGAAGTTCGCGCTTTGTAGTGCTCAAGACGAATGCGGCGATCCAATTGTACTGCGACATCCGGAGTACTACAGCGACTTCTGCCCGCTGCAGGAGCTGCGCCATATATTAGATGACGTCATCGTCAGTAAAAAACAGTTCGATGAAGAATGCAATTCTCTGCCAACCGGTTAGCATAACTAAATGCCGCTTAATAAGTTTTATCAGTTAGAAATTTTCGTTTGTTCGTCCTTTAGGAAGCTGGGCCACAACCGTTGCGCCGGCTACGCCGTTGCCTTCGACCCACATCGATAAGGTAAAAAATCCTAACGGTTTAGCACTGTACCTGTAATTCGAACACACCTATAAGGGGACAACTTTACCATTTACTCCGCGAAAACATTTAAGTAAGCGGTGTCATAAATTGCAGCTCATACGTGACAAACGCCGCGTCCGGCCGGGCAAAGGATTTCCGATGGACGTCAAAATATGAATGAGTTGCATTTGACCACTTTGGCTTGATACTACAGTTGCGAACTAGTCCACTCAGTTCTCCCGGAAGAAAATGTTAGTTAGATTTAAAATCAGATGGTGTGCGCTGAATACAAACATGTTATAAGCACTGGCAAACCGGAAAAGCTCATGGACAAAACGTTGATATGTGACGTGACATTCGACCATTCCGGGATGTGAAAGCAACACGACAGTGCATACTCATTTCATTTACTGTTGTAAAAAAGCCGCGCTTCCGAACATCTTCTATTTATAAACAGCACTAGTTCACAAGCTAGACGATATTCTGCCCATTCGACAGTTCGCTATAACCGCGACATTTAACTCATAAAATCCTCAAAATGGCGCATAGCGGTAGGACAGTTTTTCTGCGGATAAGCCTTCTCGTAGCGCTTGTTTGCGCGCAAAATCGCAGCATTGAAATTGTAACCGAACAGAAGATGCTCATGCTCCACACACTGGACAATTCGCGCTCCGATTCCGTGAAGCCGGTCAGCCATACCTCCGTGGATCCCAACCAGCTCCGCCTTGTGGTCGTAGTAAGTAAGCTATGTATATCGCCAGTTACGGCATTTGTCATTGTGATAAAAAAAATTAGATGCTTCGATCGTACGTATATGCGCGTCTCTGTTTGAATCCGATGCTTGCGATTTGTGCGCAGTGAATTTGCCGCTGTCGCGCACTATTTGCTGATTTTATTAGAGTATTGAAAATTCAAAACCGTCAACCGACTGGCCGATTTGGAATTTCCGCTTTTGCAGTCTTATACACCTGCTGTGCAATGGATCGAAGAATCAATAATAATTTCGATCAATGGATTGATGCATTTCATGTTAATGCAGTTATTTTTGAACGATTCATACAGGTGCAACGCCACGCTGAGCGAATGCCGGTCTTCAGCGTCCCTTGGGGCCGCAACGTCAGCCGGCAGTCGGCCTTTCCCACCGACGCCCAGTTGACTTCCCGAGGTGTCAAACAGATGTACCGCTTCGGGCAGTGGATGCGGCGACGTTATCAGACCTTCTTCGAGACCAACGATCGCATCCCCAGTCAGCGGATCACCATCATCTCCTCACACACCGACCGCACCATCACCAGTGCGCAGGCGCTCGGCCGCCGGGCTCCTGCCGCCGGAGAACAGCACCAGGCGCTGGGATTCGGAGCTGGGCAAATACTGGAATCCGATTCCGGTTTATGCGCAACCTTATCACGATGACCTGTACCTGTTTAATTATGACGACGCGGATTGTCCGCTGATGGGACGGCTGCGGCGGACCATCAACGAAATGCCTCTGGCAAAGCAGCTGGAAACCGAACTGACGGTACCAGACTAACCGCTGAGTTGCAAACTCCAATATCTACGAGTTTTCAGTGTTAATTTTCTTCTGATATTAAGAAATTTTCGACAAAGCTTCGTTCAGTATAACTTGCCCCAGCTAATATTTACTGAATGCGTCTCCACTAAATCAAAATGAAATTAACGTATGGTTTCAACATTCTTTTGGAAAATTTCCCATATGTCTTTCCGAAATTAGGGTTTGAATTTCGGGTGAATTGCTCACGCTAACGTTGGATTTTTTTATGTAAATAAACACCAACTGAATTTTGGACAGGACTTCAAGCACGCGATGATGAAGGCATCCGGGATCGGAAACTACGATTTCTGGGGCACCACAACGGCCATCGAGGATGCCTTGCGTTACGCTATGGAGTACCCGGAAATCAACGCCATCCCGCCCTGGATGAACGCCACGTTGTTGGAGGCTATTGAGCGGATTGCCGGCATGCGGATGCATCTGATTGTCGGCGGGAACGGCGACCGACAGCGGACACGCCTGAAGATCGGCCGCCTGCTTGATGACGTTTTTGGCCGAATGGAGAAAGCCGCCCAGGACCATCCGCAGAATCTGCTGAAAATGGTCTTCTACTCTTGCGTAAGCTGAAGTAATTTCTCGCCTGTATATTGTGAACTGGAAAAGATACACTGTTGATCAATTCCTTTTGGTGCAGCATGATGAAAACATCGGTGGGTTACCGGCGGCTTTTAAACTTATTCAATTATACACTGAAAGGGCCAAATTTCGGCATACCGGATTTTACCGTAAGGTTCTTATAGTAATATTATGCATTTAAAGCTTCAACAATCGGACTGTCAATGTGCCGTGTTTTCAAATACAGGCGTCGGTTATTTTTGAATTATTCAAAAATAATTCTGTTCGGATTCTACTAAAAAACAAGTAAGCTGTGCAAAAAATCTGATCATGAGATGCATTTATATGAGTGCATGAGATATGAGATGCATTAAATTTATTTTTCTTCAGTGCTCAGGATGAGTACGCTGATCCCATTATATATATCGTGGCATCCTGAGTGCGGTACGGATTTTTGCCCGTTGCGGGAGCTGCGGTATTTGCTGAAAGACGTAATAGTCAGTAGAAAACAGTTCGATGAGGATTGCAGTTCTTCACCAGCTACTGAAAGTTAGTATACTGTGAAGTGCGCGCAGTAATTTTGCTGGTTAGCATTATAATTTCTTGTTTGCGTCGTAGAACGCAACCCACAACCGTTGCTCCAACGACACCGCTAACTCCTACTCACATCGACAGGGTACGACATTGCCAGCGCCGGCAAATAAGTGCAAATAATAAAGAAATTGCTTTCTAATAAGAAACTGTGTTAATTACAGCTCATACAGGACAAACGCCGCGGTCGACCCGTCCCCGGATTTCCCATCGGCGTCAGAACGTGAATGCAAGACCAGTTGATTATCCATGTTGGCGAATTAGTCAGCGCAATTTTCCAAAAATTAGAAAGTTAGATGTTAATCGAGTTTGCGGAAATGAACAAAGCCGATGCACCGTCATTTAGCCGGAAAAGCAATTTAGAACTTGTGGCGTAATGTTCGGTTGCATAAGTATGTTGCTGTTTTTTCTCTGTGCATGCTCGTATTATCGGATGTTGATGTGCGAGTGTGTGAGTCAGAGCAACAGTGTTCCTTATCGTGTGTTGCACATTCTTTTCAACGTAAACGCATCCACACGGAAGCCGACAGTTTAAATGATTGCAAATAAAGTACTACTATAGCCCACATTTTAATTTTCATATTCGGAAACGTGCAGCAAACTGCCGGCGTGCATATTTCTCATCAGCCAAAATCTGTACCCAGCAAGGATTTCAAGTGGATGATACTTGAAAACAGTTGCTTTGCATGGAAGTCGTTCACTCCGATTCGACTTGCGGATTATCGAACCCTGTCATCCTTTCACGCCGGTATTCTGGTTTCCGGCCCGAAGAACCTGAGTTTCGTAATATAAGAAGAAGAACCTTCCGACGTGATGTACGCTGTAGTGTGTTTCTTGGTGTTGGCGGCGGTCAAGTGGGCAGCGTGCCAAAACACCGATCAGTATAACCAGTATACTCAGAGCTTGTTTCCGGATGGTAGCAGCGGCGGTACCTACGCTCCGTACATAGAGACTACAGCATATTCCAGTGCCAGCTATTCCGATTATACTGTCCCAACTACTGGTGTGAATGTTGCTGATGTGGAGCGCGCGGATGTGAGGATACAGAATGATTCGTTGCCTATATCAAACACTGAAGCGTCCGTTAGCCTGGATGAGCTATTACTTGTACAAGTGGTAAGCCGCCAGCGTCGCAGCAGATCTGCACACAACCGGCAACGTATACTCTTTCCACAATTTTCGATAAAATCATAAAAAATTAATCTATTTTTGAAATTAATAAGTAAATTAAATTGTAAATAAAATTTTTGAGTAAATTAAATTAGCTTAATAGCATATGTTTTATTCTTTTGATCACATTTTTATGATAATTTTACATCATATCGCATTGGTATCCGTTTATAAAAATCTTCGCAACGTGTCTCGTGAATTTTGCGAGCTGCTTTAGTAAGGCTGCTTTTGCTATAATAAAAAAAAACGCTGCAAAAGTGTACAAATAATGCAGTAACCAGAAATCACCATATTTTTTAAATGCGTTTTAACTATTGTTATATTTATTTGCTTTTCGTTTGTTATGACGGGTGCATACTACAAGAAAACCCCAACTAAATTGCTGGGGAAAACCCCAGCTACACATTCTGATTTATTAACTGATTCGTGCAACTGGATCATGAAATCTCGTTACCCGGCTTGCCTGCATGTTCGCACAATCTTAATTGTTTTGTAATTTGACTAAAAGGTTCATCGCCATGGAGAGCGCACATCCCTCTTCCAAATTCCCACCGCCGGCGAGGTACAACGCCAGAACAGTCCCTCCATCGAAGCCCAGCTGACCTCCAACGGGATCCGACAAATGTACGAATACGGACAATTTATCCGCACCCGATACCACGCTTTCTTCGAGGACGGGGAGCGCGCATCCAGTCAACGTATTAAAGTGATTTCCTCAGCCACCGATCGGACGATTAAGAGCGCCCAGGCCCTCATCGCCGGGCTGTTGCCGCCTAACGGTACGCGGCGCCAATGGAATACTCCGCTGGGAGAATACTGGAATCCATTTCCGGTGTACACGCGACCGCGCCATCATGATGCGCTACTGCTGAACTACGACATGGACTGTCCGGAATTTGCTAAGTTGCGCAACAGTATTGGGGAATTGCCGGCCGCTAAATTACTGCAGAATGAATTGCAGGTATTCTCGTACCGTCAGAATTATACAACGAAAAAGGCATTCGACGTTTTTAAATAGTGTTGTTGTCTACCTCGCATATAAATCGTAAGATAACGAATTTTTGCACTGAGATAACTAATTCGGCTTGTACTTCAATTATTCTGAAAACTGTTGGGTTAAAGAAATATTTAATCCAACAAAAACATGAATGGATTAAGTAACAGTATTATAATCCATTTTTTATTTACTGTGCTATCAGCTATTCGTTAGCTTCGATTTAATTAATCTGCGTTTATTCTACGAGTTATCAATTTTATTAGTCCTTAAAGCTTGCGCAGTGATAGAGGTTACTTTAAATTCCATGTTGATTTCAGGGATTTAAGGAAAATGTGATCAAAGCAACCGATGTCATGGAATACAACTTTTTCGAAACCACTACTCGCATCCACGACGCGTTGCTGCATCAACAGCGTTACGCCAACGATAGCAGTTACCCGAAATGGATGAATCAAAGCCTGTACGACACCATGGACCGCATTGTCAATATGCGAATGCACTTGATTGTACGATTAATTATCTCTTTCACACGAGTAAATACGGCACTTGCCGACGGTAGTTAAGGTTACATCACTGCAGGCCGGCGGAAACCGGGATCGGGTACGGACTCGCTTCCGCGTGGGACATTTGCTTAAAGAGATCGTCGACCGAATGAACACGGCCGGCCAAGCGTATAAAACTGGGAAGTCGAACGAGCTGAAGATGGTTCTTTATTCTGGTGTAAGAATCACGCAACTGTAAATTGTCGCTTTGAAATTTAAAAAAAAACACGACCGTTGCTTAGCACGACGAAAACGTTGCTGGGATTTTGGCGGCGTTGGATTTGTTCAATTATACAGTGGCTGGACCCAACTTCGGCGTCCCAAAATTTACGGTAAGTCTCACCACAACGATTTGCATCGGGTACTGCTTGATCGCAACTCTGTAGGCTTCCATCATTTTTGAATACTTCCGGAATAATACAGTGAGGGTTCTTTTCAAAAACGAGTAAGCTTACATCGCCTGAAATTAGTGAAGTTGATCAAGAGCTGCAGTTTACAAAATGACCTTTGTAGTCCCGACAACATGGCCGCCGACCCGAAAATTCTCGATCCGCCGCACTGCGGTATCTACTGTCCATTAGATGCATTCACCGACCAGATTCGTGACCTTGATGGTTGGGAGAAGCGGAGTGGAAAGAAGAATGCGGGCTGAATAACTTCACTAGCAACGCAAACCATTCAACTACCACTGGTTCGAAGACTGGAATTTCATCTGAGAATGTGGAACACCTAAACTGAAGTTTTCTTTCCCTTTCATGTAGGCGTTATTGGCCTTCCGGAATCCATCATCATTGCCGGTGTACTGGTGGCTTTCTGCCTCCTTCTTTTAGTGGCGGCGATTGTTGGTGTGTGCCATTGGAGGATGCGACGCGTGACCTATCACCAGGCCTCACCGGTATTTGCCCAACCCCTGCGCAGTTCAGCACCCAAAGACGTGGAGAATGCTCCGCCGTCCCCGTTGGTGTATGTGCGTCCCAGTCAAAAGCTGCTGAATGCGGTGGAAAATGGTGTGCATGATTCACGGTTGTGAACAGCATTGGTCCTGTAGCTTTAAAATGCATGGCTGATAATTACTCAAAGAACCTTAAAAATACTTAACGAAGGACACCAACGCAGTAAGCGCAAGGTATACGCTAGAAATGACTAACGCCCAAGAAGATGCCCATTACCAAGCGGAATGATTTAAATTTTCTGTATCTAATAATATTTGAAATTTATTTATTGTGCAATCTGGTTTGGGCAACCTTCGACCGCTATATGTAGGCAATGTTTAATAATAATGCAGGTCGGTTTCTGTCACAAATCGACACATATTGTTATGGTTTTCAAACCGTTTTCCCGCACCGGTTTGGTTGAATAAATTTTTTATTTAAGTAATCTCAATTGTGGCTGTCAACTGGAAGCGCAGACAGAAGTATCGATCATTCTGTGACATTTCCCAGTTCAAACTGCGGAACGAGCCCCTACATCTAAGAGTGACAACTACTAAGAGTTTATTTACGAAGTCCAACACGCAGACAAGCTGATGTCACCTACGGAATAAAAGAAGGGCATACAGGTAAAGCAGAGTACAGTAATCGAAGCCAACTTTGTACGCCACATGAAACGAAATATGGAAGTGGAGTTAAAGTACCGATCCGAGGAGCTAAATCCAAGCAGTGCCGCTCTACAGTAGTATAGGCTTCTGGCAAAGCTTCTGGTATAGCTTCGCCAGAAGCCTATACTACTGTAGAGCGGCACTGATCCAAGACAAGTCATATACACTATACAGTATACGAGTACCTTTAAAGTCATATGTACAAGTACTGCAAGCATAGACTGCGGCAGCTTAACATCAAGCGTAGTCATCTATAATTATCGACTGTAATTATTTTTATGTATTATTTATGAGTTTTCTGTGTTTTTTGCGTCATTATCATTTTATTAACGTTATCATGTGTGTTTTTCCGGTTGTTTGCCATTAACAGTGCAAGTACAATTGTGTCATCACCGATCCCTGTTTACTATGTTGGATTTTATCCCTAATCCAATGCGCAGCTACATACGAACAGTGTTCCTGGCTCCTTATAGGACCGCTTCCAGCTCTCTCAGAGGAAAGAAACTAAATACATACATTAATAAAACTTGCAAGGTATACGATTGATATTAACTCATTGTTTCCCTTTTGCGTAAATTCAGACATGATCTCACAAATGCATGGGGGCATAAATGAAGCCGAGAAAATTTTCAGGACGAATATCAGTTAGACTTGCATCTGTCATCACTTAGTGCCTTAGAGCAGGGCCCAGGCGAAGGTCTCCTCTATTCTAATTGTGGTAATAATGCACAAGTGGGCCAATGTAACTTAAAGGGGAGTTTTTGGGTTGAAAGTGAGGAAGGCGAAAATGCTGCATATTTGCCGAGCTGCGTTAATGCAAAGCTGCAGACATGCTAGAATGCCGCGTTCAGCAAGGACTGAAATAGTGTCCAATTGTCCATTAATGGACACAACGCGGCGGGTTGCGAGACTGTATGATTGCGGACTTGCCGAGCTGCGGACTTGCGGATGCGGTTTTACCGGATTGCGGTGCTACCGGAATGGCGAGATTTGTGGTGTTGTTGAGACTTAACGAGACAGGTAACCACCAGACAACGCCCTAAGATGTAAAATTGAGAAGCATTGCAGGGTACGTACGTGAATGTGCGTCCGTATGTGACTTAAAAATTTTTTACGTATACAAGTTTGTAAGTAAATTCAGTTATGAAGTTCAGGCTTTGTGAACTATAAATTATTTGCGGCTGCGCCGTAACTTTATCAAAACTTTGTAATGCCTTTGCTTGATTCTTGAATGCAAGTTCTATCAATTGCAGTTTCCTCTCATGCTGATGTTCAGCAGCCACGAAAACCGAAGTTTTCGAAAGTGGCACGCCTGTTCGTGTCGTGAGACTTGCAGACAGCGGATCAAGAACCTGAACAACGTACAGAAGAGGAAGAGATATGATAACGGAAAGGTGAAGTTTGCTCATGGTAAGTTGTAAAACTTTACTACACAATATGGAAAACCATAACATTAAATTCATTATTAGGTCACAAGAGCGTTTTCCGAAAGTATCTGTAACTGCATATACGCAATAGGTAAGTCTCAAGTGTATTCATTTTTTTTAGCGCCGACCCACAAATCGTCAGTTCCCCGCATGAAAATTTTATCTGTTCGTTTCCCTTAAAATCTAAATTGACTTTAATTTTTGGCATGACAATTTACTCTACAGAAATCAGAACTCCTGAAAGGTGCTATTACGAGCATGCGCATAAAATATACTACATACAATCTTGATAGGTGAACTGCACTTTTCGAATTACTACATTTACGAGTCTATAGACAGTCGAAATCTACTCTACATTTGCACTGCGGTGAATTCTCCTAAAACATTAATGCGATTCCATCGGCAAGAACTCGGAATACTGATGTCGGTGCGTCCAGTTGGTTCATCCGTGGAGTAGCACGATTGGAATCGTCCCAGGAATATCTTAAATCCTTTCCGGTAGTTTCTGTTCAGCATAAACAACAATAAAGGATTTATTAAGGAGTTGGACCAAATTACCGCCGGTATTGCAAAGCCACTGTAACCGTACGATCCATTGCAACTGGATGTCAGGAGATACTTCTTCTGCAACAATGTCGCCAGACCGTCCTCCCCTTGTCCCATTTGATAAAAATGACTAACAACGCTCGGCATCACGCAGCCAAACAACACCAACAGGATCACGACAAACACCCTAATTGAACGGAATTCGGGGCTGTCTGCCACCCGTCGGGCGATGTTTTTTTTCGACCTAGTTTCAGGCAGTAAAACGGCGTTATTGACACGCCGTCGAAGAGCATCCGCTAGCTGTATTCGCCGGTAGGCCACAAAAATCATGTGCCCATACATTGCGAAGGTAATGCACAATGGAGCAATGTTCTGCCCTATCACGTCAATAGCGTTGACCGCGAGTTGCAAACAGACAACACAAACGCAGGGTTTCTGCATGAGGCGCGTGCACGTATCATTGGTTTGGAAGTGGTACGGATACAAACCGAATGTGGAGGGAATGAACAATTTTGCGTAAGTGAACAGGGTGGGAAATATCCAGCATAAAAATATGGCGGGAATGAGCAATGATCGGACCCATCTCCGATGGAAGCTGGGATGGAAAAGGCGGACGTGTCGTTCCACTGAGATCGCTGCGGCATGGGCCAAACTTGTGGCGTTGAAGTATTCACTGGCAGCTATAAAGAACTGGCAGAAAGTGTGCCCCGCCGACCAGCAGTCATCCTGGAGCCAAAAACGAATCCGTAGAGGAATAATGATGGAGCATAGTCCGAAATCGGCCACAGCATCGGATATTAACAGCAAATTTGGAAAGGTCCGCAACTTTCTGGCGCTTAAAATCGACGCACAAAAACTGAAATTAGCTAAAAAAGCGGCGGCTGGAATGATGTAGACAACGTAATAGGGCGTGAGCTCAGCTCGTTGAGTGCATGCACAGTCTAGTTGTGGGTCCCAAAAAGTGTTAATGTCGACCGCCATAAAATAAATCCATTAAAACCAATTGGTCTTACATCTAATCGTGAATAAAACACCAGTCTTTTAATGTCGAGCAGAAGTACTGTATGAACTTAGCACACCTGCTCCCAATTAAAAATATAGCTGTGCTGTACTGTACTCCTTAACCACTAAACACCATAGGCCAACCCTTACAGGTGGACTTGAAGAGTGGGAGACTATTTTTATGGTGTAAAATTTCTTATGATAGTAAGCACGTTAGGCACCTACATGTAGAGAGTGTACTGTGTTCGACAAACGCTTCCGAGTTCTAACTGCCGTACGGTTTTCTTACGCTCCGCAGTTCACGCATTGTTTGTAAACTGGCCGGCTTAATTACGACGATGCCTCATAACGACGATGCGGTTCCACAGTACGAATACAAATATTTGATCATGGTAACAATGTGTGCCAACGTGCCAGATTATCGGTCTTATCACGAATAAACATATTTCGAAGGAGGGGCGTGGACTGCTGCATGTAAGTAAGTAGTAACTACGAACGCTGCCACTTGTAACTTGTAAGTACTCGTAATAATAAGCGCGGCGCTGAACTGTGACTGTATCTGTAATCAGGTCCGTCGCGAGACCCCTGCGCTGTTTTAAAAATAATGCTGCTCTCATGGTTCTTACCGGAAATTTTCTCCTAAAAACAAGTATCACGGCACAAATGCACACTAAGCACCAAAACAAAAAAGCATCACGCTTGAATTCTATCGTGACATCGTGCCATTAATAAGTACCGGCATAATACTTGAATTTTACGGCATGCTACATCCAAAATATTAACGGGTTACAACACAAACTGGTAGCCATTAAAATCTAGTCATAGAAAACGTTTGTCTGCGAATGGTAATAGTTTCGTCTAAGAACAAAATTCCTGGTAATCGAGTTAGTTAGTAAAAAGTTAAGCAATTATTGCGTAAATTTGCATAATAAGCCGTAAGGAGCGATTTAAAGTGTTACCGGGCTGATCTATTCGGTAAAGCCCATCATGACATCGCTCCACGATTATTCTTGCAATTCCAAGGAACCAGTACCACGCCACCCTGGGGAATCACCTTAACCAACGGCGAATCAAAATACGCATCCACCCGCAATCCTACATTGACCACGGTTAAATGGACGTGGTCATCCCCGCCCAATCCCACCGCCAGTCTGTTGCTGACATCGATCACAGCAACCAGTCGTCGTAGAAGTGCTGCGCTGTGTGCGAATGATAGCCTTCAACGTCCACACGGATCTGGCGCACCAACGGAAAGGGAAAGATGTGCGTCATCAGGTGGATAGCGTGCTCCACGGCGCGGCTCATGGCGCCGTTATCCGCTTGGAAGTAGAAGCTCAACATGGGGAGGTAGTCTTGATCCTGTGGTTAACCTGGGTCGTTGCGGCATTCGATCTCGATGAGGCGGTACGGCTGCGGATCGTATTCACCAATAACGCTGTAATTGCAGTAACGGTTCAACGGGATCGAAGGTTCCAGAATAGGCGCGAAGGTGACAGGTTCGTCGGCGATGATGTGGCGAGCTGCGGCGAAGTGAAGGACGAACAGTACAAACACACCGTACAAAAATGATCACATCTTCTGTTTCTTAAGCGGAAAAAAACAAGTAATTTGTTGTCAGTGTAAATACAGACAGTGTTAAGCTGCTTTATGCATAAAGGTAAACCAATAAAAATTTTGTCTGATGGCTGTTTTATATACGTGCGATAAATCTGATCGCGCAAAAAACCGGACTGATGGTATCTTTTCCCTCGAAAATCTAAGATCTAATTGCGTGAGTACCGTTAACAGCGTATGAGATGTCCGACCTTCGCACTAGGTAATTGTTATGCTTTATCCAGTGCATCTTCTTTGCGTAGCAATATTAGCGGGAGACGGAACAGTGTGAAAGTGAACGCGACTGCAGGCAAATTGCGGCGGACATTTTGCCGATTTCCGATTTATCTTGTTTATGATCTTTGCGTGCAACGTTAACAAGCTCGGGAAAAATAAGGAAATGTTACCGGTGCTAGAACTGACTTTGCGAAAGCCGATCGCGGTACAGATTGTGTTTTAGAAATATTCCCGGAAATGGCTCTCGCATCATAAGTTTTTTTACTTTACAAGTCTTTTTCTATAGCAAACGCGATGCCATCCGTATAGACCGAAGGCGAGAAGTGCTGTAGTGAATTCTTTAATTCTCATCATAACAGATCAGATAAAGTCATGTATTCACATTGTGCGAATTTGCTGGAAATGATGATGAGCAGATCTAGACCTGGCTGCTTTGAATGGGAAGCTGATTGTTTTCATTGTATCGCATGGAAGTCTTGATTCTGTGGGTGTCGTGTGTATTGGCGGTCAAGGCTTTTATCATACCCGTGGAACATAGGTGTACAATTACTACTATAGTAGATGTGTCCCTTGTGCAATGGTATCAGAAGCCAGGCGCAAAAGCGCAAAAAAGGCGCAAAGGTCAAAGTACTTTTTCAAACTGTATTACTATAATACACACACTGTGTTATAACAGAAACTTCTTGTATTTCAATCTATGCCAAATAGAAACTACTTGTATTTCAATCTATCTGCTGTAAAACGCCATGCATGCGTTTTACAGCATCTGCCCGTCCGCTTGGAGATGGTAAAAAGCGAGCCGTGCTTCTCGTAATTCTCAACATTACACAATTTTCCTTCAGAATTCGACAACAGTTACAGTTATAGTACCCGATTTCGGCGCACATATCAAAGGCTAGTAAAGGGACAGATCGAGTGGTAGCGTACATGAAATGTACTAAAATATTCGACCGGGAAAAGCCTCCTCTGACTCCGTAGTCCCGGTTGAGGGTTGCGGTACAGGTGTGGTAGTGGTGGCGGGCACAGTGGTAGAGTACTCGTGCAGTGCCTTTAAATCTGAACATGCGTCCTGTTCCGACTGGGTGCCACAGCAATTGCAGCTAGAACCATACGCCAGATCGCAACCTTCTTTCAGTTGCATATCACACGTGCTGCCAAATACTGCGAAAACCATCAAAACGTCACTCGAAATTAGGCCACGACATTTTTCCTAATGCGAAACTTACTCTTACCGGTGGGCGTAGCCGTGGCAAAGGTCATTATCATTTGCAGTCCCAAAATGCCCACAAATATAATCGATAACCGTACAAGCATTTCACTAGCGGATCAACTCTACAACAGTTACCAGTAATTACGCTTTATCTACGTGCGGAAGCGTCCGTTACAATAGTGCAGACTTAATTTGCAGCGAAGGGACCTCTTAACTGAATTAGGGACAGTATTTACAAGAGGTTTGGGGAAAGGCCAAACATTTTTGCTAATATTTATGTATAACGAGGACGTGGCATCAAACACATGTCCTGTTTTTTGGCGTCTGCCGATCGTTGAGACAAATAATGCTGACGGTGCTCCTACCGAATTTCTCACTGCACTTGGACAAGTTTTTGAGGAAAACTTCTCAAGTGGCTCGATGCATCGCCATGTCTGCACCGTTTAATGTAGTAGATTCGAATGCATTCTATATCGTACCAGTAAAAATTTACACGGTGAAAGATCCACGTCTGATCACTTGAGAAATCTTTTTCGCAGAACACATGCTCGGCTAGAGGGTATAATTTCGACTGGAGCGCAGTCAGCATTATCGATATGAACGGTTGGCACTTGGCAGACGGAGACCGTGCTTGGTGCCAAGACTTTCCCAAGAATATAAGCGAGAAAGTTCTACCTTCAAAAGCAGTAATTTTTACAACTGCTGTCTGATTTGTTCGGTACTTCTTCGCTTCTGATACACTTTCTAGTACCGTAACACCCTTTCGGAGAAGAACTTTTCTTTGCTGCATTATATTGCGTCAGCTATTAAACTGGTTCCGTTTTTATCCGTAGTGGTTATTTCTGGAGTATTGATTTTGATGACCTTTACAGCGGCTACACCCATCGCCACCGGTAAGACCAAGTTATCACATTAAGAAACGTTATACTCTGAAGATGCTTCGTGTTCACGATTTTTCTGAAACACACGCTTCTCTGTTCGAGTCGATACAGTATATGCACAATGGATGTCAGGGTGTGTCCCTGACGCACAAAACTTTTATTATATATTTATATTTATAAATTATTTTGCAATGAGTTCTAATATAAAGTAGGTAACAGTTTCTACTTTTTTTATAATTAGTTCTATATTGTGTTAGCCTAATTTTAAGTGGCCTTTTGGTGTTTCTGCAGTTTTTGGCTCGTGCGATATAAATGTGGAAGCAGGATGTGATCTGGTGTTTGGTGCGAGCTGCAACTGCTGTGCTACCGAGACGGAAATGAAAAGATGTCAATTTTTGATGGAAATGCATCAGTACGATGCCACCACGCCTATCACGGCTGCCACACCGGACCGGCGTCCTATCTCTAAAGCGAAGAGGCAAGCTGTAATGAGTAAGCCCGATCCGAACTACTCTTGGAATGCTCAGCTGCGCCTGTGTTATGCTGAGCCGGGTCAAGAGCCTTTAAAGTGCGATGTGGATCGGGGTGAAAACTGCCAATGCTGCGCTCTTTACAGAGAGCAACAGGAATGCAGGATTAATTTGTACTCATCGAAATGGATTGGTCGATAGACGACATTTAAATTCTTATGTCATCGAATGTTTTCTTATGCTAACTGTTCATACAAACGTATAAATATGTATAAGTTCGGTGCTTACTTCATGCAGTTTCTTAATAGTGGGTGTTGTGTAATATCGGATCACGAGAGAAAAAAAAACTTTGTTTGTTATCAAGTTACTAATACTGTTGTTGTTGCTGTACGCTGTGTTCATATGCTCGTACGTCACGTTCCTTTGGAAATTTTCGGAAGTACAATTATGAAACTTTGGAAACACAATTTGAAAATTGTAAGCATTAGTAATCACAGATGCAAGCATTAGTTAGTTACTACTTGCTGCAAATCGATATGTCCGATTGAAAACTAATTGCATATTGCATATAATTGCACATATTTCAGTCAGCAGAAGAACGAGTAAACAGGAAAG